TGATCTGATCCAGCACATGTTGGAATGGACCAATACCAGTGTCAAATACCCTGATCTGGATGCCTATCTTTTCATCTGCTTTAGCTAAATAAGCTTGATAATATCTAGTTATAAGTCCCCAAACTGGATTTGTGGGGTGAAAGAGATATCGACCCAAGAAGTGGAAAACTGTTTCTTTTCTGGGGAATAGATTACTCAGTTCCGTCTCAAAAGAGGGGATCAAGAAGAGAGACGGGACAAAGTAATTATCTGTTTTCATGATCAACCAAGGCACTTCCTTGAGAGATGTTTGATCTTCATCACAGAAAAAAAGTTTATCTTGATCATCATAATCATGGACCAGATGGAGATATACAAAAGAAGACGATATTACCCTGCTTGAATTAGCAAAAGTGCTATTCTTCAGCATTCTTCCATAACAGTGAGGAGATTTCTGATCAAAGCTGTTGAACTGACTTTTAAGGGGGAAATCTGAAGGAAGAAACCAGGAGACCTCTGGAAATGGTTCGCAAAAAAGATCAACCATATCAGCTCCAGGGTCGACAAGTAGAACACGATTTGTAAGGAGAGCATAAGGAAATGCCGAAGCTAAAGTCAATATCCTATTCCCTAATCCACTAAAGGAAATCCATACTAAATAATTACAATCCGTAGATTCAAGGTGATGCTTGGTATTGAGCTTTTCCAAGGTTTTGTTATATGATTCAGTATATGGCCCACACCGTTTATGGAGAGCTTCATAACTCCGTAACCTTGAGATTAGATAAGGTGAAGGTTTATGGAGCAATTCTTTGCGGTATAAGACCGACTGATTCCTACTGACACAAGATCTTTCATCAAATCCAGCTGCAAGAAGTCCACCTAGCAATTTATCTTTAGGCACCTCAACAGATGGGGCATAATCATCAACTGGACCTACGACTTAAAAGGGGGAAAACAAAGATTATTCCATGCTCATTTAGCAAAACAGGTATTAAGTTTGAGCAAATAATGCCATATTCAAATAGGAGAAATAGGTAAGGACTATGATTCATATGGAATTAGCAATGCCAATGCGTCTATTCTCAAGCCAAAAAGTATTAGCAAATCAGGCGGTATTTGGGAAATTTCTGCAGTCAGCACAAATTACAAAAAAAAATAGTAGATTTTACATGTAAGGCCTGAGAACTACAATCTACACAATCATTACCATGCTGTCTGAGGCACTCAAAAGACCTGCATTATATATATATATATATATTATATATTTATATAAAAGAAAATATGCAACACATAAACAGGCGTTTTATGGGAGAGAGGGGTAGGTTGTGTATAGAAACTAAGTGGAGAAAACCTAGGTTTGAACCCTGCTACTCTCTTCTTGCACACAAAATAAAAGGGGATAAAAAAACATAGTGCAATTTTATTATCATGTTTCATATCAAACCTTTAAAAGTGCACCTAAACATGGAATAGAATAAGTGGCTGAAAGAAAATTTGCAAACCATAATAATGGCATTTAATAACAGATTCATGTGTAAAAGCAAAGAATCTATAAATGAAAGCATGGCAATAACAAATGCTCAAGCAAACTTCAACTAATTTTGCTAATGCTTGATACTTCCACTATTTAAACAATCAGCCATCTTGTGGGAGGTAAGATGACATGGAGAGGAACTGGTGCTTAGTAGATTGCTTTGCAATGTGGCACAGGCGGGTAAGGTAAATCTAAAAGGCATGACCAATGTTAAAGCATTAGTGTAAAATGGATCTTACATCCGAATCATGACATTGAGCCTTATGAACAGTAGCGACATAGATCCACCAGCTTCAAGCAAGCCAACCATTTAGTTCAATTAGCTATGATTTATCCACTTAGACAAGCAAGTTAATAACCAAGCCATAACAACATTTCAACCGATAAAAATGATTCACTAAAATTCACTACTTGACCAAATAAAGCCTAAAACCTTTCAGCCAAACAAAAAGTAAGAACAACCTAAAATGCGAGTTTCATTCTGGGGTTTCATTCAGAAGTAATAAAAATCCATACTTTAGCCCAAAAAAACCTTTTTTTTTTCACTTTTCATCATACCGAAAACTGAAAAAGAAAAATGTAAGTTACCTTTCTGGGGTTTGACTTCAACAGCTCTTTCGTCCTTACTTGACTCCAAAACATCAAGAAATCTAACCTCTTTACCAGACTCCAAAACCCCATCACTTGGTGGGTCTTGAAGCACGACAGAAACTGAAAAAATAACTGAAACAACCATCAAAGCGACCACAACAAAACCCATCAACCTCATTGAACTCAACCCACATTTCCTTTCTTGATCCCTCAGAAACAAGCCTTCCCTATCAGGATCCGGGTTGGTTTGCAGGTCATTCTCATCCGGGTTTCTCCTTAACCGCTTCATATTATTAGCCCCAAATTATCATGTGAGTAAAGTTTAAAAATAAGCAGGAAGAAGAAAGCAGCGCCACAAAGTTGAAGACGAAGAGAGGGAGAGAGGGACAGGTATTGGGTGTGGTGGGATGCCGGATTCGAGAGATTTAGAGTAGGAATTGAGACAAGAATTAGGATTCACGAGGAGGGGTCACATGCGATTATCAAGGTGGTTGATGTGTTTTTCACCTCGTGTCGGTGACGTGCTGGATTTTTTTTTTTTTTATTAACATGCGCTAATGGATCTAGCCTCTGCCAGAAAATTTGCATTTTTTGCGCGCTACATTATAGTACTACTGTGGTTTTGATTATATTGGATGCTATAAAATTATGTAGATCTAGGTATTTATATTACCTAAAATATTAAATTTTGTTTTATTTGATTTATATTTTATAAAAAAATATGTATAATATTTTATATCAATATAAAATTTTAAAATATATTTTTTTATTTTATTAAATTCATGACTAAAATTTTATATTATATTACATTTATATCTTATTTTATATCATATTCATATTTTAAATTATCAAATTTAATTAAAAATATTGAATGAATTAAATGACCTAACACACATGATACGACACGATATGAATCATGTTTAGCACGGTCCACTATTAAGTAATTAAATTAGGCCAATCATGATACATATATTGTGAATTGTATTAAATTAAAAGATTTTAAATTCATGAATCGATACGACATAATCCGTTAAAAGTTATTGTTAGCATGTGACACGTGGGTTACCACAACACGACATATAAGCTTAGTCATATTATGTTAACCCATAATTGTTATAAGTGAGCTCCTAACTTTTGAATTTATTTATATTATTTTTATATTGCAATAAGATTATACTTTATATTTTGTTAGTAATTTATAAAATAAAATTATATAAAAATTACTTATTAAATATTTAAATTATTGATAGATGAATTATATTTAACTAATGATTAGTAAAAGTAAAATTATAAAAATAAATTGACACTTCAAGTAAAGGACAAATTCAATGAATAAAATAAATTACTATAGAATAACAAGTAAAAATAAATATATAAGACAACACATCATATAAGTGAATCATCAGTTGATGAAAATGAAAAATAAAATAATAATTTTATGTTTTATAATATTATTTTATATGTATATGTGTGCTTTTTTGAAATATTATAATTGTAATTGTAATTGCAATGTTTTTATTAAGTATACTTTATTATATGTCTTCATAAATATAAGTATTTTGTCAAATCACATAGATTATATATCATTTTTATTTTATTTTATTTTACTTATATTTGTATGTAACTTTTAATAATAGATGAATTAAAAAAAATAAAAAATTTAAAAAATTATTAATGGATTGTGCTTAGCATATTTTTATATAAAAAATAGTGTCGTATTTAACGCGACAAGATTGTAAAGGTAACAAATTATGTGTCATGTTGAATCTTACTCTTAATCTTCATAAATCATACTAACATAACACATTAAAAAATAATATTAAACTAACATAATTTATTAATACATAAATTAACATTTAAATAGATTGTATCGACCAACACAATTTATTTAATACCTCTAAATCTAATTTGCCTACTATTACTAGTAAATGTGCTTCTCAAACTTTAACGAGTTCCGTCTCTTTTAGTACAAATCATGACTTTATTTATATTTTGGTAAAACATAACTATATATTAAAATGTTTTTAAAATTATTTTAATAGTTATTTTAATGACCATTTTTCAAAAATTCAACCATTTGAAAAGAAATGTGTTTGGTTTCACTGTTAAAGCAATTGAAATTTCGAATGGTATCATAAGATATTAATAAGATTAAAAAACTTTTTTAAAGATATCTAATGACGGCTATTAATAAATTTTATAAAAATCATACAAATATTTATCCTACTTATCCTTCAATACATTAAAATATGTATTTTTGTATGAGAAATATATTTTATTCAAAAATTTCAAATATAAGAATATTATATTTTTAAGTACATAATTTTATTTATTTAATTTATATAAATAAACAAGAAATATAAACGTAAAATTATCACTATATCAAATGTTACAAGCAAAATTGATCCACCATATCAAAAGTAGATGATCAGTCCAATGTCCATCCTAATGTTAAATGCTCTGTTGGGTCCTTCATGATCTTGCTGCCTTAGAAAGAAAAAAGAAAATTTTTTTCCATTTTTCTGTGAGATAAATTTATCTAGTAGTAATCAAAATCCAGTAAAAATATAATAGAAGTTTGACTTTCCACTTGCAAAAGTTTGATTTTTTTTTTTTTTTGGGAATTCTGTTGAATGTAAATCTGTTGAAATGAATTTGAATCCACTATCTGATCCAACCCTTTAGTTGTAATTGCAACAGAATGATGGGGCAAACAGATTCTGAGACATTCCCCCAGAAACAGACCGTAACTCTCGAGTCTCAGCATTTTACACCTCAGCAACATGGAGCGCCAAGCAATGAAGATAAGCAAACAAACCCACAGATCAACATGACACGTGTCATCACTACGTAATTCCTTCCTAAATTTCTTCTAGATTTTTTTAATGAATTTTCTATTGTCTTTTAGGCTCTGGTGCTCCAATTCTTGCTGTTGTTGCTGTCGCCTGTTGGCTGGTGAGATTTTACCTAACAAAAAAAAAAAGGTCTTACTACCTAACCGGCTAACCGTTAAAGCCCCCTCCTTTGTAGATTAGAAACAAAATATAAGAGATAGAGCTTTCTTCAGTTTAGACAGAAAAGAGAGGGAAAAGAAAAGTAAAAGATGTCAACAGCTTCTTCCTTTTGTTCATCAACTCAGGTTAATGGCTTTGGAGGAGGACTTAGGCTTCTAAGAACCCCTCTTTCTCAACCCAAGACACTAACTTTTACAAGGTATTCTTTTTTTTTTTTCTTTTTTGAATTCTTTTTGCGGGTTGCCATTCTTTTGTTCTTATTGGGTTTTTTTGGGTATTCATTAGAGTTTTAGATGGTAAAGAAGCAAATATATGGGTGTTGGCAATAAAACCCACTTCAGAAATGTAAGAAATTTCCTTGTAAACAACCTTAATTTGTTTGAACTTTGATCTTTTTTTTCCCAATAGGGGAAAGTTTCTTTTTTTTTTTTAATGTTTTTGATACAAACGAAGGTGGTTTTGGATGAAGTGAAGGGCTTAAAATATACATCAAGAGTATAAGGTAGCTAGACTGTAATGAAATAAATGAGGTTTAGGGGTTTTGTTTACAGTGAAATCATTGATTACTTGATGTTTGGCATCTCAAATATGCAATTTGATAAAACTGTAATTCTAAGGTTGGTACTTAGGAGCAAAATTGTGGATGGATGAATACTACTAATTATTTTCAAATTTGAGCCATGTGTGTATGTGTTTATGCTAAGTTGAAGTTAGTATTGCTGTTTGGACTGTGGTCTTCAGTACAAATTCTCTATTATAACATTGCACTCATGAATCACATTGAAAATTTGACTACATTTTTTTAATATCTATGCCTCTTTCTGTAGTCTGTTCCACTATTTTTAGTATGTTCGGTTATTTGAGATAGATCACTGGTGAAGGTGTCACATTTACATGACATAAGCAGCAAATACCATTAACATTCTTACCAAATATTGAAAACCCAATTAGGTTATTGCATTTTCCTTGTAGTCCTCAAATTCTTGACATTTCTGAGATTTAAAGATAGTGAATGGTTATCTCATCCCTAAGAATTGGTTTTCTAGGGTGGAAGGTGCACGGTAACATTTTAAACCCCATTTATTGACCTTGTTTTAGGATTTATAATGTAACATTAGGTTGTAGGGACACTATAATGCTTATAATAAAAAAGTTAATTAATTGATAAAGTTTGGTTTTATTCTGGGTTTCAGAAAGGCAACAGGCATTGAGCAGCTTTTCTTATTTCAAATACTTTTTCAATTTTCCATGATTTTGAGGAACTTTATTTTTTATCATCCCCCTATTTGCCATACAATTTTTAACTGCTGTAGTCAAGTCCATAATTAGTAGCTCTCATTGTTCTGAATGAGGGGAGAGTGTTTAAGAGGTCTTTCTTACGCCAATAATCTGAATTTTTTCAGATTCAATTTTTAAGGCTCTTGTTATTTTGTTTAGAATTATGTTTCTTCTATGCTAGAAAATGTTTTGTACCTTCCCTGTTATAAATACATGTGTGTTTTGTCTTCTTGGTAGAAAATAGGGTTACACATTACTTGAGAAGATATAAGATAAATGCATAAATTCTATCAGATATGAATTCTTCCATGTCTCATACAATATTTTAATATGCTTCTGTTACTTTTTCTGAAACTATTAGGAGGAGAATTGCTACAGTAGTGAAGGCAACTGCTCGAGTCGATAAATTCTCAAAAAGTGATATCATTGTTTCTCCATCTATTCTCTCTGCTAATTTTGCAAAGTTGGGGGAGCAGGTTCTATATTGCGCTTTTTTCTTGTATGATGAAATTACTTTCTGATTTTTTTGTAAATAATAATTTTCAGATATGCAACACGTTTCTAGAACACAGACAATGGACTATAATCTGCATTACTACTTTCGTATTTGACTTTATGCCATCAGTAACAAACCTTTTAGCTTTGTTAACTGCTTTTGTCTTGTTTTATCTCCATGATATTTTGAACTCAATATTGAGCCTGCTTTTGAAGTTTGACTTTCAAGCTTTTCTAGGTGAAAGCAGTAGAAGTGGCAGGCTGTGATTGGATCCATGTTGATGTAATGGATGGCCGATTTGTTCCCAACATTACAATTGGACCTCTTGTGGTTGATGCCTTACGACCTGTGACAGATCTTCCGCTGGATGTGCATTTGGTATGCTTCTTTTTGCATACCTTATCAGTAATCAACCAGTATTGATAAAAGAAAATATTTGCTAACCTGAGATAGATGCACTGCAGATGATTGTGGAACCAGAGCGGAGAGTTCCAGACTTTATTAAGGCTGGAGCAGACATAGTCAGTGTTCACTGTGAACAATCTTCAACCATCCATTTGCATCGTACACTTGGTCAGGTAAGAATTTTCTTTCTGCGAGCTTTTCTACTATATTTTCTATGATATAATGGGGATTTGGCACTAGCAGTTGCTTGATTTAATAACAGCTGCTTGCCAAATGAACTGTTGATTAAATATTAACTTTACATACAAGATGCGAATAGAATCTAGCAAATATTATCTGCAAATGAAGTGAAGCCCAAACTTGAAAGCATTCATAATAGTGAGGTCGTATAAACCAGAAAAGTATGCCTTGTTTTCTCTTGCAGAATCTTACATGCTTTTCCACTTGGAAGTTGTCATCTGATTTTATTTTAGAATATTGCTACATGGGTGCCTGCTTTAGGTTGAAAGCTAGCGATGAATAAATTTATGTGTGACAATCTTTTACCCTATATATGGGCTTCTTACCACATATATGCTGATGGGATGCGAAGGTTCCGATTCTTAGGAGCCTGTACAATCCTACAGAATTCATCCTGTTCAAGCTAGTTCTGTGTTTTGATCTTATTTGTCTTCATTATTTTTCTGAGACATGATCAAAGAATTACTCATTGATGCTTGAACGGGACATTTGTAATAGCTGCATAATTTTTGTTCTGTTTTTGCACCCTATTTTTGCTGGTACAGCTTTTTAAGTATTAAATTTGTTGCCCTCACTCCTACCTAAAATCCATTGGTTCTTAAAATGTCCTTGTCAGCATGCCTGAAAGTTGTATATTGCAGGTTGTAGTTTTTATTGTCATCATGGTGTTGTTGATACTAATGGGAATTTTTTTTATTGTTTTCCATCATATACGTAATAATATCCTGTTAGCTTGCTATTGATGTTGCCTGCATTGGCATTGATTAAATTGCCCATCTATACAGCGTCTTTTGTGCAGAGATCCATTTACTATTTGAATGCTGTTAGTTTTCTCCTAGTTTTTCTCAAAACTTTTCTTATTGTATAGATAAAAAGTCTTGGCGCGAAAGCTGGAGTTGTCCTAAATCCTGCTACCCCACTTAGTACAATAGAATATGTGCTTGATGGTGAGTTTTTATTTATATTTCTATTTCTTTTTCCAATTTCGTTTTTTTTTTTCCTGTAAAAGAATGATTCTTATACAGCATATTGCCTACCAGAGCCAAGTGGTGGATCTATGCTGGGCCTTGCCTGTTGATAACTTGAACAAAGGATATATCACAAAGTAAAAACCCTTGAGAGATAGTTAAAAGAATATTCTAAGAATAGCTAAATTCAACCTACTCATACTTTTGACTTTAAGGCCTGTTTTTCTTACAAAAACGAAACAGTCAACAGCTATAATCCAAAGAAGGATAAGAGGTCCTTCACTACATCATCATAACCCATCCAGTACAGATGTTAGGATTCATTCATCTATGTAGAAGGAAATTGACATGATAATCTCTCTTTTGCTTTTGAACAGTGGTTGATCTAGTCTTGATTATGTCGGTCAACCCTGGGTTTGGTGGGCAGAGCTTTATTGAGAGCCAAGTGAAGAAAATCTCCGACTTGAGAAGACTCTGTGCAGAGAAGGTATAAATTGCTTCTGTCTCCGTATGTATCTTCTATCTATTTAAGCTTTTAAAATTTGATTACATTTTCTTTTTATATTTCCGATACAGGGAGTAAATCCATGGATTGAAGTGGATGGTGGAGTTGGTCCTAAAAATGCATATAAGGTAGCCCATTAAAATCATGTGGTTTTCCTTTCAGACAACATGCATCTATACACGCTATAACCTGCGACCTAGATTTCTCTGAGTTATCATTTGTTGAGAGATAGGCCTCCAGTTGCTTTACCATTGACATTGTGACAGCAAGTGGTGTTTGAATGAAGCTTTAGTGGTGATCAAAGATATTTTACATTTAAACTAAGAATGCCTGCCAGGATGGTTCAAAATGCAGACCTGCTGTTGAAGGCAGGTTGAGTGGAAAATGAAAAATGGATGGCCCTGTTTTTTCCTGTCAAATCTATTAAAGAGGAGTTATGTTGATCATATCATCCATGATATTCATTACTAGGAAAAAACTGGGTGGTGTTTCTGTTAGAGCTCTCCCCTTTTGGGGTAGTTATAAATATTTCTTATCTTGTGAATTATGGAATATAAATTGAAATGGTTTTCATTGCTGGCAGGTTATTGAGGCTGGAGCTAACGCTCTAGTGGCTGGTTCAGCTGTGTTTGGAGCCAAAGATTATGCTGAAGGTACGGAAAAAGGAATTATTTATTATTTTTTGTGCATATAAATGAATGCATTTTAACAAATTTGTGTCTTGAACGATTTAACAGCTATTAGAGGAATCAAAACCAGCAAAAGGCCAGAAGCAGTGGCTGTGTGATTTATGACTGCCCAAGATTTGATTGGCTCCGATGTGTGATATTTGTATTTGTATTCCCATGTATGTTACCCTCTAACTAAATAGAAATTTGCTTGATTATATTTTGGTGTATAAATTCCGAAGCTGTTACAAAGAAAAAAAAGATAAAATTAATCTCATTGAAGCCTGTTTTCTAAGATTCGTTTCAATAACCTGTTGTTGTATCTGCTTATAGGATTGCTTGAATTCTGCTGCAGGATGCAAAATAAAAATGAAGATATATAAGAAGTGTTAAAGCATATGCCTACAACAATTTTTTGGTTTCTTTCTGATAATCTTTGTTGTTAAATTTGGCATTGCTGTCTTCATGTTTGCAGATAATATCCATGTCATTGTTGTTTAATAAGCAAATTTTCGCGACAATCATGTTGTCAGATAGGTCCTGATGCCAAATGATTGATACATAAAAGAATGGAGGCTGTGGTAAGATTGCTCTTTTGAAGCATACTTGGTTTATCATGTCTTTTTGAGGAATTCAATGATTCATATGTATCTCAAGCATTTTGTAATGAACTTGCCAGTTCCATTCATTTCAGTTAAACAAGTATTATTTAATGTCTGTTTTTTTTCATAAAAATCTTGCCCAAGCAAGTTCCATTCATTTCAGTTAAATAAGAAAAGAGCCTAGCCTAGCCTAGATATTTGGGGTGAGTTTTTGGAGGGCTAAAATTTAGAGAGCAAAATTGAAGCTGAAAGGGATGTACATAGAATGAAGCTACCTTTGGCGTCCTGTGCCCTAAATTATGCAACTCACTTCCACAGTCTGGAACCTTTAATTTTCTTGATCGGTACTCTGCCAGGTTTGAAATCTCAGGAGAGTAGCCATATTATTGCGTGCTGACAGTCAAATATTTGAGGGCTTCATATATATCTCAGCCTTGAGAGGATGATCATCATCCCAGGAAACAAACTCACTGATGTAACTAGCCACCTCAATTGAACTACACCCACGAGCCCTTCTCTGCTTTATCTGATCTCTAACTATCCCTTTCTTATCCCACATCCCTTTGGCAGCATGGATATTGGACGTAGCAACATTGTCCTCAAAATGTCCAGGCTCCAACTCCAGCAATCGACACCTAACTTTTTCACCAAGCGCAATCTCTTCATTCCAGATTACAAGCTCCCAGCAATGTCCTACAGTCCACTCTTTCCACTTTACCTCATTAGCCTGACCTGGTGTATTGAAAATGAAATCATAAGCCTCTTTTAGCAGCCCAGCTCAGCAAAAAAATGAACCATGCAACAAAAATGAAAAGATTTTGGTCAGATTCTTTGTTAAAATCAATTAAATAAAAATTGAATTTGAAAATTAGGATTAATAGGCTAATAGTGATATCGTTCAATGAAAAAATTAATAATATGTAAAAGATTAATAAAAAATAAATTCTGTACAAAAATTTTGACCGACGTCTAATATACTATCAAAATTTTGAATAAAAATATCGATTCAAATAACATATCAACATATATTTAAATTATTTGAAACTTTTTATATACTTTTTTTCAATCAATTTAAAATTTAGTTTTTATTTAAAAAGTTTATCTATGCTTTATCCTTTACTATTTTGCTCTTTTGAAGAGCATAATGGCATCAACTATTTCACAATTGCTAACCTCGTGCAAATTGCCCTGAGGCAGGAGACTAGATTGGAACTAGCAATAAGCAACTCTTCATGCAATCATTACTTGTTCACTTTTGTGCTCCAAGTTAATAATTTACCAAAATTTGCATTAGTCTTAACTGGTAATGGAGCACCAAAGAATTTGAGTTAGTTGAGCATTGAAATCATGATTTCTCCAGCCAAGCAGCACAGCATAGCTGGCTTGCTTTCAAGATTCAGGAGATCTTCATATACGAATAATACATGGGCATGCCAAGACTTTAGGTCTTCAAGGATTCGAGAATCAAAAGTCTGGCATATCATGGCTTCCAAACATTTCAACTTAAATGATCACTGGCAGAACTTCCCCTCTTAGCAGCAAACAATTTGATGCAGTGCCAACAAAAATTGCACAACCTCAAGCTCTGAGGTCAGAGAGAGAACGCACCAGCAATATGGGAAAAATTCACCCATCAGAAACATAGCCTAATCACAAAATGACCTTACTGTTCTCATTCACTGTATACTGAAGTTCTTTTTGCTCCCCTTAATTCAAAACGCCCAGGCTCTGAACTGCTAAATCCTCAGAGCACCTTAGAGCTGATCTCAGGTCTCCAATCTCTTGATAACCCCTGGCTACGAACATGTTGATGGCAATGCTTGGCATGATGCCCATCTTTATCATATCCGCATGCAACATCATCACATCAATCACATTCTTGGCTTGAAAGTGACCCTCTAACATGACAATGTATGAGGGCACGTCTACCATCAAACCACCGTATCTCATATCTGAGAAAAATTTACTTGCTTCAAATAACCGGCCATCCTTGCACAGTGCCTGAATCAAGCTTGTATACATCACATGATTTGGAGAGCAAAAGAGGCCATTAATCTCATCAGTTACATTTGCACTGATACCAGTTCTAGTCTTCTCCAAGAAAAAGCTGAAAGCCTCAGAAACTCTTCCATCCTTGCAAAGGCCATCAATTAAACAACTTAATGTGAAAGCATTGGGTGTTAATCCCGATTCCAGCATCTCTTTATGCAGCCGGAAAGCCTCCTTCATATTACCATTTTTACAGTACCCATTAATCAGAGCTGTGTAAGCCACCACATCAGGAACAAGGCCTTTGATAACCATTTCTGAGTAAAAGCCCATGGCAGTTTGCATATTTCCAGTCTTGCAGTAACCATCAATCAATGTAGAGAAAGTGATGACATTTGGTGCTACACCATTTTCAGTCATTTGAGAGCATATCTCCAAAGCTTTCTCCATGTTACCCGCTTTGCAGTACCCATCAATCAGGGAATTGTAAGTAACAGAATTAGCCAAAACTCCATCTTTGTTCATTTTCTGTAACAAAAAACTCCCTTCCTCCACTCTACCTATGCTACAGAGACCCTTGATCAGTATGCTATATGTGAAAACATCAGGCAAAATTTTTGACTTCTCCATTTCTGAGCTCAACTCCACTGCTTCACAAAAATTACCTGCCCTACAGTAACCATCAATCAAACAATTGTAGACAAATATATTGGGGAAAACACCATACTTAACCATACAAACAAAATAGCTCCTTGCTACTACCAATTCACCAACCTTACAAAGTCCATCAATCAAGATACCAAAAGTAACAATATTTGGTCCCAACCCATCACCAATCATCATCCGATATATTTCAAAGGCACGTTCAACATTATCCATCTTGCAATATCCATCCATCAAAACATTATAAGTGTACAAATTTGGAAGGAAATACCAATCTTTTATTAATCTAAACATACATTCCGCCTCAAGCATTTTACCTTCATTACAAAGAACCTTAATGACAGTCGTGTACACAACAACATTGGGTCGAATTCCTTTCATTAACAGATCATAAAACAACTCGCGTGCCTTTGAAACATCAGCTTGACAACAACAACAATTTATCAACACCCCATAAGTAACAACATTAGGCAAAAACCCCCGTGAAAGCAATTCATTATAAAGATCCCACATCGAATCAAACCTGCCCAACTTAACTAACCCATCTAAAAGTGCATTACAAGCCTGCATTTGAGGGAAAGTTCCGATTTTTCTATAAACCCACAAGGCATCTTCGATTAGACCCATCTCGGAAAATGCAATGATTAAGGATCCAAACACATTGGGAGTGAATTTTGAGGTTTGTAATTTGCTAAGGGCATCGAAAATTAAGTGGCAAGCATGATGGGGTTTCGAAGAGCTTTGGAGGGATTTAATGAGGTATTTTATCAAACACCTGGCGTCAAAGTAAAGTTTAGCACCGGTCAAGATGTGAATCATGGCTGAATAAGGCTCGAGATTCTTCAATGGGTTTAAGAGTTTAGCATTGGAATTGAAAAGGTTGAGTGCTTGGTGAGGGTTTTGGGAGTCGAGGATAGCCTTTGTCAGATTCAGATGCTGAGATGGTGATGAGAAAGAAGCCATTTTGGAGAGGCATAAAGGGTATTTGGTGTAAACAAATGGTGTTCCCTTACGCGGGAATAGCTTCATCATTTTCAATTGAGATGTTTACATGGCCAAATATAAATTGTACTAGAAGTAGAATTTGGTTCAGGTTTCGGGATTGCGCACGGCACACCAATAAATCTTGTTTGATAAATTTGGGCTTTGCTATTGTCACTAAAATTTTGAGGCGTATGGCCTAAAGTTATAGAATCAATGATAAAATATTGAAAATAAGAATTTAATTTTTAATAATTTTAAATATATATAATTGTTATTTATGTCTAAAAATTTTAAATAGAGAAATAATAAACATATATTGAGAGAAATAAATTAAATTTGATTTATGAATATTTATATTATAATATAGACTCAAAACATTAAACTTAAACAATATTAATTAGATTTGTAGATATTATAAATTTTAAAATGATTATATTTATTAATAACTAAATTTATGTAACTTGAAAAAAAAAATTTTTTTTCATGACTACCATGCTACAGTAAATAAATTAAATCCCTCAAACAATGACTTTTAATATAAGAATGTACGCATGGATGTTGATGTTTAAAATGAGGTTTTTAGGGTTCGTCTTTATAATAACTGGCCCTTTAGTTTTATCTAATCAACTTTATTTTCAAATGTTAGTAAAACAACCCATTCCCTCCAATCCACCCAACTCTAGAGCTCTACAGCAACTCCTCGTTTCCCTCCTTAAAAAGTGTAACACAATTAAAAAATTTACTCAAATCCACACCCAGGTCATCATTAACGGTTTTTCCCAGAAAAATTTCATCCTAGTAAACCTTCTTTCATTCTATGTAACTTCTGGTAATCTCCTACATGCGCTTAAAATTTTTGGGACTATCGAGAAACCAAGTACTACAGTCTGGAATCAGGTTATCAGAGGGTATTCGAGAACCGAAAACCCCGGAAAATCAGTTGAATTGTACAAGCAGATGGTTGCAACGGATGCTATCCCTGATGGGTTTACTTATTCGTATGTTTTGAGTGCTTGTGCGAGGTCTGGGATGTTGAGAGAAGGGGAACAGGTTCATGGGAGAGTTTTAGGAGATGGGTATTGCTCCAATGTGTTTGTGAGGACAAATTTGGTTAATTTGTATGCGATGGAAGGTGGTGGTGATGGCATTGGTTATGCTCGCAAAATGTTTGATGAAATGGGGGAGAGGAATGTGGTGAGTTGGAATTCTTTGCTTGCTGGCTATATTAGGTGTGGGGATATTGATACGGCGAGGAGAGTTTTTGATGAGATGCCAGAGAAGAATGTGGTGTCGTGGACGACACTGATTGCAGGGTTTGCAAGGAATGGGAAGTGTCAGCAAGCTTTGTCTTTTTTTAATCAGATGAGGAGAGCACGTGTGGAATTGGATCAGGTGGCATTGGTGGCAGCATTATCAGCTTGTGCTGAATTGGGTGATTTGGAATTAGGGAAGTGGATTCACTCGTACATCAAAGAGACATCTCGGTTTAGAAGCCAGCCATTGTTGGTGTCTTTGAACAATGCACTTATTCACATGTATGCTAGTTGTGGTTTGATTCAGGAAGCTTATGAAGTACTTAGATACATGCCGGAAAGAAGTACCGTTTCTTGGACAAGCATGATCATGGGACTAGCAAAACAGGGTTTTGCACAAGAAGCTATTACTGTGTTTGAGTGTATGCTAAGCTTGGGAGATAGAGAAGTCAAGCCTGATGAAATAACCTACATTGGAGTTCTCTTTGCTTGTAGTCATGCTGGATTAGTTGATGAGGGTCGACATCATTTTACACAAATGACTCGAGGTTGGGGAATTAAGCCCAGGATTGAGCACTATTGCTGCATGGTTGATCTTCTCTGCCGTGCTGGTTTCTTGGATGAAGCATTCAATCTTATTGAAACCATGCCTGTAAAACCAAATGATGCTGTGTGGGGTGCCCTACTTGGTGGTTGTAGGATTCACAAGAATGTTGATCTTGCCTCTCAAGTGGCTCAGAAATTGGATGTCGAGCTTGACCCCAACTATGCTGCTGGGTATCTTGTGCTGTTGTCAAATGTGTATGCTACTGCCAAGAGGTGGCATGATGTTGCTAATGTGAGACAAAAAATGATAAAAATGGGTGTAAAAAAACCCGCAGGTCGGAGTTGGGTTCAAATTGATGGTGTTATTCATGATTTCAGGGTAGGTGACAGCTCTGACAAATATGCATCTTCAACCTATGATATCCTCTGGCAAGTCACTAGACAGGCAAAACAGGAAGGTTACGAGCCAGACATATCAGCAGTGATTTCCGATGTGGAGTAATAGGTAATGGTTTTGAGCATTTGGTATTTGAGCAAGGATCTGCTGTCATTCCTTCTGTAATTACCAAGTTCAGAGGCTGAAAAGTCAGTAAATCCTTTCAATGATTCAATTGTAACTCGTCATCACCCAAGTTCAAATGCTTAAATCTTCTCTAGTATAACTACTAACCCGGCGCTAGGCATCAACAGTAGCAGCCTGTTTCCTGTATTTCTAAATTAACTCTTTCTAACAGCAACAGTGCAAGGAGTTTTGAGCATCATCATTTTCTTTTTATTTTGTATATGGAAAATAATTCAATTTTTTTTATTTTCTTCTGTATCCAAACACGTCTTTTGCTACTTTCGAAAAAAAAAAAAAAACAAATAAGAAAAGTGCTAACCAAACAGATGTACATAAGTAAACGTACAAGGTGGGAATTGGGACTAGGGTGTATTGGTTACCAACCTACTATAAGAAATGGGAATGACTTGCAGTTATGGTTCTTGAAGGTTTGTGCACGACGGCAAAGAATGATCCTTAGTGTACATCTGCCATTTAACTTCCTATTTGGGGCTTCTCTTTTCTGAAATTATGTCACCAAAACCACATGGCTAGATGCTTATGTCACATGTACACATTTCCAGCCCAAAAAGTATGCCTATTCACAGGAGGCAAACCCATCATTTTATAGTCTAAGACCATCCCTCACCCTTTTATCTTATTGACGTGGGATTCATGACATTCTCTCTCATTCAATTGTGCAACGTTTTCATTGCATTGATTATTTCATTTCCACAAAGAGGATTGACACTCAATTTTATACGATAAAAGATTGAGGGTTTTTTTGCATTTTAATATAAAATTTGAGGGCTTATTTGGAATTTGGATATTACAATTTTTTTTAAGTGGTTGTCATTTGATAATAGAGGAAAAAATTGTTTGTATTGAAATTTGAATATTAAATATATTAAACATCATTTTTAAAAAGTTATTACGTAAATTAATTGAACGAAACTTAAATAATTTCTTCGATTTAATTACTTTATATATTTATGTAAGACAATCATGTAGACAAACGACAAGGAAAAAAAACGAAAACATATATATATATATATATATATTGATGTTGTCTCAAGATAAAAAATAAAATTTAATATGTATAATTACAATTTAAGATTTTTATTAACAAGTCCTATGAGCATTAGTGATTAGTAAGATTTTATTACTTGCATTTGCCACTTATATTTGCCGTTTAATACAATTTTGTTTTTCTAACTAACTTAAATTCATAATTTTTTCTATCAATGAAAGTCAAATTAGGAATTTAAAACTTAACTCAATTATTCAATTGATACATATATTGATATTATCATAATTAATATTATCGTAATTAATACTAATTACTATTATCATAGTTAAAAGTTATTATTATCAATATTATTTTGTATATATGATATTGATATTAGTTCAATATTTTTATAAATTATTACATAATTAGTTAATATAATGGTAACAATATTAAATTATAATAGATGAAAAAAATTTTACGATCTAAGAATCAAGATGGATAACACAAGATTAACAAACTATTTAAAAATACTAAAAATAAAAAAAATAATTGCATTTACGCATTCTCGAATCATACTAAGATTTAAGTCCATAATGATTCTCATGTATACATAATCATATTATGAGCAATAAAGATAAACAATCATGCATGATATAAATTAATTTTAAGTAATTTTCATCAATTCATATTAATATTATTTATAATGTTTTTATATCAAATTCAAGGTTATAAAAATTAATAATATTATTAGATATTACAATTATTTTTAAGAGATAATATTTAATAAATTTAAAATTTAAATTTAAACACAAACAACTTCTTCTTTTATCCTTTATATTACGTCATTTTATTCCCAACGGGACACTTTAATAGCAAATATTTAAAATTTTATTTTAAAAGTTTTAGAATTTTAGGATAAATGGAGTGAGATTTATGGTATAAAAGATGGTTATTGTATAATTCAATATCATATATATACATATTATATAAAAAATATTATTATCATTTTATTAATAAATAAAAAAAGTTAGGTTATCATTAAAATAAGAATTTTAATATTTTATCATCAAATAACTTACCATTAACTAGATTTAAAATTTAATTTGAACGTGAATTAATAAAGATAAAATTCTTACATCTTGAATAAATTAATTCATAATTTGATTTTAACTAAATTAATCGCTTAAATCGATTTAATTTGACTAATCGATAGATTACTAAATTAATTTTGGTAAGTTAATGAAAATGATTTTAAAATAACTTTAATTTTTGATTAATTTGATTTAAAATTTTAATTAATTAAACTAATCAAAATAAAAAATAAAAAATACATGAAATTGATCATTTTATTTCATAAATTATTAAAATTTTTAACATAATATTTTTATATTTAAATATTTTGTTAGATAATTTTATTTAGTTTATTTAAAATATAAAAATTTAAGATTTAAAATATTAATTAATTTAATTATATTTATTATTTAATTAATTAAAAAAATTAATCGAATTGATCAAATTAATTTGATTAATTAATTTTTAAAATTAATAAATTTGATTCGATAAATAAAAATTATGTAATATAATATAATTTCATTAATTTAATTTAAAATTAATTAAACTGATAGATTAAACACACTCTTTCGATCTTCACCCTTAAATGAAAGCCAAAAAAAATAAATAAATAAATAAAAGGATAAAAAAAAATCTCAAATGCGCCTATGGAAAGGAAACCCACCGAACGAAGTAACCAAGGAAAATCCTTTTGGTACAAGAATTATATAGAGTTGGCTAAATGCAGTTGGCGCGTCCACCCTATCCTTCTGAAAATCTCAATTATCAATAGCAGACAGAGAACAAAACTTCTTTCTTTTTCTAGGCCAAAAAAAATGGGTCCGACAACGTCCGATGACAGATCCCAAATCTGCTTCTTCGATTTAGAAACCACCATCCCTGGACGGCGGGGCCAAGGCTTTGCCATTCTCGAATTCGGAGCCATTTTAGTTTGCCCCAGAAGGCTCGTGGAGCTTGACAACTACTCCTCCCTGGTCCGACCCGACGACCTCTCTTATATTTCCCCTGCCTCCGTTCGCTGCAACGGTATCACCCGAGACGACGTCGCTGTGGCACCTTCCTTTTCCGAAATCGCCGACAAAGTCCACGACTTTCTCCATGGTCCGTGCCTCACACTCTAATTTCCCTTTTTTTTGTAAACATTTGAAGTTTTTATTTTTTATTTTTTGTAGGAAGGGTTTGGGCTGGGCATAATATAGTGAGGTTCGATTGCGTGAGAATAAAGGAAGCGTTTGAGAAGATTGGTAGGCCGGCGCCGGAGCCTAAGGGAATTATTGATTCATTGGCGTTGTTGACTCAAAGATTTGGAAGGAGAGCCGGTAACATGAAGGTATTTTAAATTCATATTAAAAACCTTAGCTTTATTGTCAATATCATGAAAAATCCTTAGGAACTGTATTTGGTAAACTACAAAAAGGTTTGGGTTTTTTGTTGGATGGTATATGGATGTTTATCTTGTTAGAGTTGCTGGTAAAACCTCAACCAACCAGGCCTAAAGGTGTGCTGGTAAAGCCAACGATTCCGACCATGTCTTGAAAGGACTCGGACTTGAATCTGATCCTAACGCAAACTCAGTTATTTTCTGCTTGTAGAGTAAATGTGGCAAAAGTTTACCTGAACTCGCGGAGGTTGCTAGAAGTCCTAGTCAATACAACCCAAAACCCCAGACCTGAACCTAAGCTGAAATGTTAAAATCTGTTAAAAGATCCAATCTGCTCAATGGACATCTCTAATCTAGCCCATTTTTGCGTTTGTCTGAGTTATGTTATATTCCACGGGGAGCATGGAAATTCTATTGCCATGTTTGCTCGTTGTGTGATTCAAATTCCAAACACCATTGAGATCCTTGCTTAATTCTTTGAATTCTTAGCGGCATTTAGTTCTCTATTAAGGTATTGTAAGCTTTAGGGTTGATATGAAGTTTTGGTTGATGATACGTCTATGTACTTCTATGCAGATGACCACTCTTGCAAACTATTTTGAGATTGGAAAGCAGACACACAGGCAAGTTTATGATGAATATAAACTCTTTTCACCTTGGATGGCTAGGCAATTTATGTTTCCTTGAAATAAACTTTTTGCTTTATATGATTATTGATCAGGAGCCTGGATGATGTTCGCATGAACCTTGAAGTTCTCAAGTACTGTGCAACAGTTTTGTTCCTGGTATGGTAATTTTAGAGTGTAAATGCAGTAGTACTTGTGTTTTTTTGAATGATGTGCCTTTGGTGTTTTGTATGTTTAAGAATTCCGTATTTCACATTTAAAAATTTAAGCACCATTTTCACAACTTTCCTTCAACTTCTGATATGTTAAATCGTAGAGTTTGATCAAATAGTGCTTTATCCATATGGTATGTGGATAAACTCTTGGAATGGCAGTTAGAATTTAAGATCCTCTAAGTGTCATCCCTCTATATACCCCAGCTCCTACTTTATACCATTGCCAGCTACTTCTTTGGATAATGGTCCACACTTTGGTAATTCTTGTGTGATTATAATTATTAAAATCTATCTTTTGAGATGTTTTACTACTCTTCCTCCTTTCCTCTCATTGAGGAAGCTGATTTTCTTTATGATATCGTTTTTGTTTGCTTCTGAGTTGTGCTTATATTGTTATCACTGCTGACTGCATAATCCTTGCATTGAGTGGATCCGCCGCATTGGGTATCAGTGAATTACTTTTATATCCATGTAGTACGAGTTCCTTTAATTACAATTTGCATATTGGAGTTTGGAAAAAAATTTGACTGAGTTTTTAACTTAATGTAGGCCTTTTTTTTTTTTATCCTTGTACCATGGCTCATGCTCTATAATTGCTCTATGGTTATAGCAGTGCATGCATTTCTTTGTATTGATGTGATTTTGAATTGGTCTTGGAATGCCTTGTTGCTCTGCAAGTCAAGGATGATATCTATCCTGGTCACGGAGATAGTTAGGTGGGCATGTTTTATAAGATTAATTATCTAAAATATGATCAAATCTTATACTTATCCACAGGAGTCAAGCCTCCCAGATATACTCACAGCAGACATTGCAATTTCCCCAGGACCAACAACAAGGAGTAGTATTAATAGCAAGTCATCTCCTGAGGGACCTAGCCCAAACATGCACACCCTTTCTTCAAGTTTAATGTCTCAAAATGTTCCAAATTTATCTCCAATTGAACTAGAAAATGGTGAACACCATTCTATAATCTCTCTTCTGACTAGCCACACTGGAGTCGTTAATTCAGATGCATCTGATCCAGCTCAACCAGATCCATTTGACATGGGTCTGCTCAGAAATGAAATAAAAACAGAGGCTCTTCAATCAGATGTCACCATGGAAGAAAAACCTGAGCTAGAGTCTCCTAAGATGTCTCCAGCAACAGCTATTGCTGAAGGTTGCAGTGGTTTTGCAGGATTCCTAGAGCCTGATGAAGTTTCTATAACTTCTATCAGTGCATCTCTGATACCATATTATCGTGGCACCCGCCAAATAAAATTGTTGCAAGAAGATGTTGCTTTGCAGCTTTTTTGTTCTTGTTTGAGAGTGCGATTTGGAATCAGTACAAAGTTTGTTGATCAGGCTGGTCGGCCACGTTTGAGCTTTGTGGTTGATGCTTCTCCAAGTTTATGTAGGGTTCTGGATGCTTGTGATTCTGTTGCAAAGAAACTTTCGGAGGATTGTGGAAGCAGTTCTGAGTGGAGGCCTGTTGTGACCAGGGATTATCATTACATCAACAGCTCAACTGTGAGACTGCAGTAAGTTCTCATAGCTCGTTCATTTTCCTTTTGCATGGAAATGAATAGCTCCTAGCTTAGGAAAAATGATGAAATTTTGCATTGCAGAGCAAGGAACGGAGCTTGTTTCACATCAAACTACTATTTTAACTCAGAAAATCCTTATAAATTTCCTTCACCCTTAAGTGTAATCCTTCCAAAATGGAAAGAGAAAATAGAAACAGGCAGTCCTGATTCTTGATTCACCAGCACATAGTTTATTTTTTTTTTCTCTATTATTCTGCTGATGTGTTATTCAAAAATGATTGGATAACTGATGTATTAACTTCAATGTTTTATGTGGTTGATGGAAGAATGAAGTGACATGAAAGTTTGGAGAATCTTTTGATTTGCAAATTCTTGAAAATTGGAGAAGGCATAATTTTATTAAACTCTTACCTCTACAAATTTGCCTGATTCTTTGACTTTTTCTGTCAGCCTACCTACTGTAGTCAATGGGGATGTTGCCCGATATGCCACAGAGATACATCAGAAAGACTGCTCTGGTACAGTGCAAAAACTTGTGTTTAGCAAATTTGATGCTGCAGAGCTTGGTAACATATTTAGAAAAGGGATCTTTGTGGATGCATTCGTCAGCTTGGATACTTATGATTATCAGCAGAGCGCAGGTATTCGTTTGGTGGCTAAAAAATTGGTTATACATTCTGACTAGTTGGAGTAGAAAGGTAAATTTCAGATTGTTTCCAGATATGTAATAGTGTTGTCTATGTTAGCCTGACCCCATACATATGATTTGATTTCTCACATTCATTCCTTTAGGATGACAAAGCTCACTGATACTTTGTACCAAAAATGTAAAAGAGAGAGATTGATACTACTACTGACAATTTATGTAATTGCAATTTAACTCTAATGTTACATGCAGAGTTTGCAGATATATAGCAGAAAAGTACTATAGGAAGTATAATTTTTGAATAAACATAAGACCTATGATTCGAACGATTCTGAGAATTGCAAATATCCAGCTACAAGCTGACTACTAGGAATTTCTTAAGAGTCCTGCGAAATGCATCCAACCGTTTTTTTTCTTCTAGCCCTTTTTTTTTAAATTTTAAATTTTTGTAAGTAAAATTATTTAATTATTCATTCTTTTTCAAACAATTTTTCAAAAATTTATTTTTGGAAACTTTTAAGATTTTTTGAAAATCTATTTTCAGAGGTTTTGGAATGTACTAAAATATTTTAATACGAAATTAAATACAAAATCAAATGAAAAAATAGAGAGAACAAATTATTTGAAGTTTTAAAAGGTAAAAAATTACTTAAAAATTTTCACCAATTTGAAGTAAAAAATGTATAAAATCAAAGGTAAATTGTTTTTTTTTTTTATTTCATTCTTAATTTTGTAAGATTTTATTTTGAAATATCTTAGTACAATTCAAAATTTTGAAAAATTTATTTCCAAAAACCTTTAAATATTATGAAAATTCATTTGTGAAATTTTGTTTGAAATAAAATGGATATTAAATAATTTTACTCACAAAAAAAAAAAAAATTGAAATGTTAACAGAGAAGGGTGGGATGTATTTAGCAGCACTCATTTCTTAATTTTCAAGTTGATCTTATTGATCAGATAATTATAATATGGTATGAAAATAATATGAAAAAAAATATAAAAACGATACAATTTAAAAGGGACAAAAATTATATATAAATTTGAAAAAAAATTTTATATTTGATGTGTTAATACGAATTATGATTTAATAATTTTTATATTTTTACATATATTTGATATAAAATAAATATAAATAGATATATAAATTTGTAGATTTTATGTAAAAAAAAACCATTAATTAACCTATTGTAATTAAAATATTTACTAAATAAAATATGATGCATTTGGATATTTAATTCAATTACATGTGTATGCATCTTTTTTTATTAAAACATAAATATGAATACCTGTTTTCTTAATAATGAAAAAAATACGAAAAGCTTTTAATTAAAAAATTAAAAAACCCATTTTAAATTTAATATGTTTTTTGTCCTTAATGAACTTGATTTTGTGTTATTGTCCTGAACTATAAATAATTTTGAATAAACTTTTGGAAATTTGTTTCTCAAGGAAAGAAAAACAGAAAGACGATTTAGCATTTTGCACATGTGCTATTGTGGTTGGCACGTGGCGTGTTTACTTTGGTCTCTCGCTCAATTCACTTTTCCGCTGGACTATCTACATGTCAATTTATTTTTATAGGATATTTTTTATAAAATAATGTTTTTATATAAAAAAAGAGTAAGAATTAAACGCTTTTTATTTTATTTTCAAATTTTTGGGGGGTTTCAATTAATAGGGATGTCAAAGAGTAACGTGGCCTCCTCTCTATCTCTACCAAACCAATCCAAACGCTTGCCTCCCCTTCGCTTTTTCTTCCACTTTTCTCTCTCCCCTATCCCCTCTTTCCGCCACGTCATCTCCTCTATCCTTCTATGCTTGCGCACTACGCACCCGTCTTCCCATCACCACCCTCTATTCCTTCCAGCCAACGCTCCGAATTCATCTTCCTAATCCCGCGTACGTTAGTCACATTCAGTATCCCAAATTCTATCTTATAAAAAATTACTATCTCAGAACGCAGAACCCAAACGAAAAAGAAAACCCTTTCCTTTATCAGAATTCAGGGAAACCTCTCCTCCGCCCTTCCCTTTGGTTGTTATGTTAACGAGCGTCAGATCCTTGGTGAGCTGAAATGTAAGCCGTTGACGACCCTGACCGTCCGATTGGGTCCTCTTGAGCTTTTGCATGCCGTTTATGGAAAGTGATTCTTTTAAATAAGGGAAAAAATAAGTAACTTTATTAACAACAAACTTAGTCTTTTATTAGGACCTAGGTGGTGTTGTATGGACGGGGAAAAAGGCTTCAATCAGAATAAGGAATCAGGAAAATTGGGAACCCTAACGCCAACTTTGTCTCCAATTTGGGTTGTTGGAGAGAAGATGACTCTTATCGGCTTTTTCTTGTATTTACCCCTTTTGTAATTTTTTAATTTAGAAAAGAGATTTTTAGGGAGTGTGTTTTTTTTTTTTTTTTGGGGGGGGGGGGGGGGAGGGGATATTTTTGGAAAAAAAGTTATTTTTTTTGGGTTGAGGGAATATGGAGAGCAAAGAGCTGAATTTGAATAAAGAGTGTAAAGCAGGAGGAGGAGGAGGATATGGGTTTACAGATAGGAGCAAAGTGAGGATTTTGCTATGTGATAATGATACCAAGAGCTGTGAGGAGGTCTTTTCACTTCTTTTGAAATGCTCTTATCAGGGTATACTTCACTTTTGTTAGTATCTTTACCTTTTTCATCTCTTTTTGAGTTGTAGGTTATGTTTATTCTTTTTTATTTATAAGTTGATTTTTTTTGTTGTTGTTATGGTTGTTCTTGTTGGTCTGTGTGTTTGTGTTTGTTGTTGGGTATTTGAAATCAAATTTTGTGTGTTGTATCTTTTGAGTTTTTGTGTTAATTTATTTGTTGCTTTGATTTTGTTTGAATTGTGTGATTTAAATAGTTGGTCAAGTGAAACTGATACTAAGGAGTTGATGCCTTAATGTGTGGATGGAACTGGTTGAGTTTTGTTTTAGGATTTTGAATATTGAAGTACAGTTTTAAAGTTGCTATTATAATTTGAAAGAATAAAATAAAATAGCTTTCTACCATTTTCTTGTGTGAACAAAAAAAAGAAAACACTAATTTTGTCAGCTGTAACATAGTCAGAACATGCGTAGGAATGCTTAGATATATATTATTCTCTTCTATAAGTTTTTCTTTAGTTATTTTCTGATTATGCTACTTTTGCTTACTGAATTCTAGTCTGCTGTTTTGACTTGCTTTGCTTCACAAGAGCTATTAGTTCCAGAAACTTGGTAAAAAGGATATTTGGGATATACATTTAATTCCCTTGCCTGGTTGTCTTCTAGTTCCTTGACTCTCATGCTTTGCCTTGTAAACAGACAACTGTGGTCAAAGTGACAATTTTTAGTAGGATGTGGATAATAAAAGAAAGAAGGATAAGAAAAGAATTCACTTGAGAGGAAGCACCAATTAAAGAGAGATTGGGAGAATGGTAACTTTTGTGTGTTTGGACATATATACCTAGGGCCAAGTATGCTGTAGAATAGAGCCTTTTGATAAATATAGAATAATAAGGATATAAGTAGACTGAAAATCACATGGATGACATTTTAAGTTCAATTGTATTCTATTCCTTGGTGACTATCTGCCAAGATGAATAATGTTTTTTCAGAAATTTTAGAGTATGTTCATCATGTCCCTGATTTAGGTTGCTTCTACTTTTTGTAGTAACTCAACTTTTTATCTTACTTCTATAATTGTGTATTGCTTTTAGGAGTGCCCTTTACTCTCATGACACTTTTCATGTATTTATTTTTTGAAGTGATGTGTCAGCTTCGTGATTCTGTGTTACTTTTTATTTGCAGTGACTTCAGTAAGGTCTGCTAGACAGGTTATTGATGCACTGAATGCTGAGGGACCTGAGATTGATATCATACTTGCTGAAGTTGATCTCCCAATGACCAAAGGAATGAAGATGTTAAAGTATATTATGCGGAACAAAGAACTGCGCCATATTCCTGTCATTAGTAAGTTTGTCTTGTACCTTCTTTTCTTCAGCCATCCAACTTTCATGATAGTGAATTCTCCTTTTAGTGTTTGTGGTCTGATCATTATATATTTTTCTTTCCTTTCTATGATAAGTGATGTCCGCCCAGGATGAAGTCTCTATTGTTGTTAAGTGCTTGCGGCTTGGTGCTGCTGACTATCTTGTCAAGCCTTTACGAACCAATGAATTGTTGAACTTGTGGACACACATGTGGAGAAGGCAGCGCGAGGTTTGTTTTTTAGCAATTTACTTTTATCTTTATCAGCTGGTCTGTGTTGTATTTGTTGTTGTTTTTCATGATGTGACCTGTTTTTTCGCTGTCCTTGGTTCTCCTCTATTTAAAAATAGTTGCATTGCAGTTGATACTCATAAGTGTGTAATTAGGATGACAATTTTGGTAGAGGGAACTGTAATTCCGTTAACAGGCATTCCTTCAGAAGTTGATAAAAATTTTGTATGTACGGATGTGTAGCAAAAACCATTTATTGATATTAACTTAGATGTTTTCTCTGGCAGCTTGGTCTGGCAGAAAAGAACATCTTGAGCTGTGACTTTGATCTAGTGGCATCAGACCCTAGTGATGCTAATACAAACAGTACTACTTTGTTCTCGGATGACACAGATGACAGGTCTCGGAAGAGCACCAATCCAGAGATGGTAGTTTCAACTCATCAGGAAGACAAAGTGGGTATTGAAGTTGGATAACCAAAAATGTGTTTGTGTGCATTTAAAAATTAGGGTGAAAAGCATGTTTGACTGTGCACTGTGAGATCATGAACTTATGCTCTAGGAAATGACCTTGCCCATGACACTATGGGTGTGAAAAGCATGATTCCATTATATGTTCCAACCGTTCTAAAAGTTTCACCTTTTATATGTTTGAATTTTGCATACAATATATGGGTCAAAGTACTAATCTTAGACAACAAAATCAGTTATTCAAATTGTGTAGTTGCAAAGGAGTGATTGCAATTACCAAGAATGAATGGAATCAATTAAGGGCTAGTTTAGCATTGTTGATGCGTTTGAAAAAAGTTTGGGTTAGAAAAAGTGCGTTTAAAAAGTGTGATAAAAGTAATATGGTTAAAAATTTTAAGTGTTTAGTATTGCTGTGAATAATTGAAATGTCTAAAAAGATATGCACAAAATAATAAAATATTAAAAATATAGGGTAATATAGTGATTTTCTATCCCAAAATTTCTTTTCCACTGCAAAAGCACCTCTTGAGTAGCTTTTTGGTTTGGGTTGCATAACCATGCTTTTAGATTTGAAGAACCATCATCAAGCTTGCCATATGACTCTTTCCGCAAAACCTTGAGGCAATTGAGATATTCCTCTTTAACATCTGTGCCAATGTTTGTACATGTCATAAATTTCACAACCTGTACTTAGCGTTGTAAATGTATGGCAAATCAATGGTGTTAAGAGTGAAATGTATGGTTTGTGTTTCCTCTTTCAGTCTGCTGCTGCTACCATAGAGCCTCCTCAGACTGATTCACCAGAATGTCGTCCTGATGTTCCTGGAATAAGTGATCGCAGAACAGGTTGACTGCTTTTAAACTGCTCCTTGCCTAAAACTTGTTGTGCTGTCCCTTGAACATGACTTGTCATACTGTGTTCAGCTTACAGTTGTTTACCATATTAGAGAGAAATCATCTTCTATTAATGCATGGGATACTTTTAGGAATGGTGTGATATGACATCATTTTGCCTTCTATTATCATATTCTTTCAAAAAAGTGAAGTCTTGAGTTTGAAGCAAATTCTCTTTAATGTTTCTTCTATGAATGCATGAGACTGTTTTTCTTAAGCTTTGTATCAAATTTAGCCTTTCTTTTCACAAAAAAAAAAAAAGAGTACGACTTGATGAGATTCTTTAAGGTTTTGACACTGGATTTAATTTTAGTTCGTTTGATGGCTGGATTTCTGTCTGCATCACATTTCTGTTTATTTTCTAATACCAGTCGGATGTTTGTGCATTTGAGGCTTTGCAAACGAATATTGGCATGCCAGTTTACATGATGTGAACTGGGACTTCATGCTGAATAGTCTCTGTCTTCTCTCTAATCTATAGTTCATGACAAAGCAAGCACTATTTATCATGTGGCAACACTGCAATACATGAAAAGCATGGCTGTGATTCTTTTCTGGTTTCCAAACCTTTTCATTCATGGATTTCTCTTATTCAGAAGATGTTGGAATGCTGTTTTTTCTTTTTTTTTGCAGGGCAATTTTCATCTGGTCCAAAGAGGAGTGAGCTAAAGATTGGTGAGTCATCAGCCTTCTTTACTTACGTGAAGTCAAGTGCAGTAAAAAATGGCACTCAAGTGGCCACCCCTAATGATGAAAATGCCACACAAAATAAGATCATTGAAGAGAATCTTCCAGAATCTGGTCAACAAGTGGTTAATGATGCCCAAGTACAAGAGAATGGAGAAGCATGGGAAAACTGTTCACAAGGTGATGACTTTCCTAGCAGCAGCAGTATACCAGATTCCCTTTCCGTGGAGAGGTCCTCTACTCCTCCTGTGTCAATGGAGTTCTCACGACAAAGGAATTTTAAGGAAGACAAGTTTTCTCAGGTGTTTGTGATTCCAACAAATGAACCTCAACATAATGTATCTGGTTTACCTACGCCAAATGCTTATCTGCACTATATGTCAGGAGTTTTAAATCAAGTTATGATGCCATCATCAACCCACTTGTTTCAGAACAACTTCCAAGACCCTCAAAATCATACTAGTTCTGCTGTGCTACCTCAATATAATCATCTTCGACAATGTCTTTCCCATCCTCATGTAAACGGGATGGCATCGTTTCCATACTACCAGGTTAATATGTGCAGGCTAACTGGTCAGATGCCAACTGGTCACTCATGGCCATCATTTGGAAATTCATCTTCCAGTGAAGTGAAATTAAGTAAGGTTGACAGAAGAGAGGCAGCATTAATCAAATTTAAGCAGAAAAGGAAGGAGCGCTGTTTTGATAAGAAGGTTAGATATGTTAATAGAAAAAGGCTAGCTGAAAGGAGGCCTCGTGTTAGGGGACAATTCGTGAGGAAGAATGGAGTAACTGTTGATCTTAATGGGCAACCTGCTTCTGCTGATTTCGATGAGGATGAAGAAGAGGAGGAGCAGGCATCAAGGGATTCTTCTCCTGAAGATGATACTACAGGATGCTAATGTTAAGTTCGTATATATTGAGCATCTTTTTATTTGTGTGTATCTGCCTGTTTCCTCTATGGAAGAATGAGAACTAGTGGCACAGTGTTCCATTGAAGAAATCTAGACATAAGTGTTTTGATTAAAGAAAAGCACGGATCACAGATCAGAACAAACGTGCATCCCCGAATATCAATCAGGTGAAAGCAGCTGGATTAAGTTTATTGCAAATTGCTTCCATCAGGATGCCAAAGTTACTCAAGTTCACCTTATTGAGGTCAGCGGCAGCTCGAGGAACTAATACAAGGAAACTCTTGATTGAACCAGTTATCCTGTGGACTGTATGTCAATGTAGATCACACTTTGTAGTTTTATTATTTCCATGGTTCAAATTTAAACAATAGGTGATGATCCAAAGGCCTGTACAGTTTTTTTCTTTCAAGAAGTGACTTTTCAAAATTGTTAAATGAGAATGTAAGCCTGTAGGAGTTTTCAATGAAATGCAAAGCTTTGAAGCCAGTTGTATATATGTATTTATATATCCCTAACTTACTACCATTGTCAACGAAATGAATCAGTTTGAACGGATCTTCAGAACTAGTTGCCCGTTGATTATGATAACCAGTAAGAGTATTAATGTTTCGAATTTACATTCTTACACTTGTGCTGATGCTGCCTGTTTCAGTTAGTGAATAGAATATCATGTGACAAGCAGTCTTGACTTTATTGAGGTTTGGCTGATCGGTGGTCACAGTTGAGGCATGGGTCGTCCTACTTCTGTCTTTGTTGGGCCATAAGGGCACTTTTCAGGCCTTTGAAAATAGCCCAGGGAGCCCAAGAAAACAAAAGGAAAATTGGGCTGCTCTTTGAATAAGTAAAACTGCTTTGAAATTGAGGAGCAGAAAGTAGATGCATCAGCAGCTCTTCAATTTTTGTCTTTAAGCTACAGCCTACAGATATGATAGAAAATGATGAAATTTTGGAAGGCTTGTTATTAGAATGGGAAAATTTCCATTCCATCAGTCTTCACAAACAAAAACAGTCATCAAAACCAAAACCCGATCATCAAATAAAGCAGCAATGGTCGATGGTAATGATCAGAGATTCTCTTCCACACAATGACCTTTCCATCTTCCCTCCCATTAACCATGAAAATCTCCATCATCAAATTCAACGGCAGCAACAGCAACAGCAACAAGACCCAACTTCCAAATCAACTCTTTTACCACCGTCCGGTGCCAGCGACGTCATCCCATCATCCGCTGATCGTGGGATTGGAGAATGGTTGGCAATCGGGCTTGAGATTTTGCGTGCAAAAACCGTTAGCCTCGCTTGATATTTCGGTTATGAAAATGGGACGATTGGAAGAGCATTTCGGTCTTTTAGGGGGGTTATTGACGTAGCGGCGGTTGTGCTGTTGTGGTGGTTGTGCAAGCGGGTACGCCGGCGGAGATGTCGGAAAGAGAGCGTGGAACAGTTGAAGATGATTATAAAGTAGAAGGACGAGGTAAGGTGTTTGTTGAAGTGCTTGTGTTAATAGTAGTATCTATTTTTGAAGTTTTTCAATTTAGAAGGGAAATAGTTGGATTAAATTCCTTTTACTATTTTATTTCGGTAATGAATTTTGGAATTAATTAAAGTAATATTGTGCAGAAAATTGTAGGGTTGTTAAACTAGATTGCTCAAATGAATCAAGCATTGGTAGCACATCATAAAGCACTAGCTTCAAAGTTGACCGATTGATAGCATCTGATTCAGAGTTCAAGATCAAGTCCAAGACCCACCAAATTGATGGCGATCCCAGTGGTGTCCCAAGACCAAGAGTGATGCATTGCACATTTTAGTTAGTTGAAAATTGAAATCTCTAGTAGTGATTAACATATAGTTTTTGTCTATTAGAGTATATGTTATTGCTAATATTTTTCCCCAAATTTATAAATATATATAAATTATATATATATATATATATAAATTCATAAATCACTCAAATATCGAAGGAAGACAAATTGAAGTTAATAAAAGAATTATACTCTCCTGTTCTCAACAACAGCACAATGACAACAGATCATCGAAACTAACTCAAACTGCTATCAAATTGAAAATTGCCTTTCAACTGAGGAATTACTTTACCTACACATTATGACACGTTCAATATGCTCACTAGCTCTGTGATTCACTTTTTCGATGTGCCGAATGACGAATATCAAGCTGATCAACAATCTCCAAAGGAGTCACTGTCTCATTCCTGATCCTCTTAATGTTGGGGCCTAACAGTTCTCTATGTTTAAACCCATATAGCTTAAGCACCTGGTTATCAGCAAAATTGAAAGCCCTTTGCATGCTGCTCAAGCACCTCTCAACAGGGTAATCTCCATAACTCCCACAGGGCTTGCAACCAACAAAATGAGTCACAAACGGCCACCTCTCATCTCCCAAGCCTGGATGATATTTCTCCATCATCTCCTCATACCTATCAACCAGCCCTGCCCAATACCCATGCAAATAATACTGATTCTCAAGAAACACCTTATCCATCCACTGATCCTTTTGCGAAAGCAACAAGTAAATCAAAGCCGACTGATCATCTGCTTCAAATGCCGGCCTTCCTTTCAAATTAGCAGTCAAAAGCTTCCCGGCCTCCTCACGAATAGGACCCTTAGGTCCCATTGGCGCCCATGCATCAAGCAAATCCAAAGACCACTGACAATTCCTAAACAGAAAACTACCCGTATTCAAAGCAATCCATGACTTCTGCTCGAACATCAAATCAGGGTACCCATGAACAACCAAATTATACTTATCATACTTGGACAACGGAATCTCAAACACCATATCCGTAAAGAAAGCATCACTATCCATCCACCAAATCCACTCAACTTCCGGATGAGACAACATTAACCTCCTAATCAAAGGCAATTTAGCCCAATACCCGGCCAGTTCCCTATCTAAATGAGCCATATTATAAACAATTTCAATCCCATGAAGCCTACAATAATCAATCTTATTCTTTATCGCTTTCAACAAATAATGGTCTCCTATAGCATTATCACACGGGTTTGGGGGCGACCCAGTAACGAGTAAGATTCGAGCTTTTCCATTTACAAAAGTAGGGAATTCAGGCTTTTGGGAAAGCCAGACCTTTCGCTGCTGATCCCAGTCCGAAATTTTGGGTCCGAGGGTGAAGGTAATATTAGGATTGATCTCAGTTTCAGGAGGTTCGTCCGAATCGGTAGGGTCGGAGTCGGAGCGGATCTCAGCTAGGATCCGGTTAGTTTCTTCGATCAGATTTTGGTTGACAGCTTCGGCTTCGGAGCTTCCCAAATTGCCGACGCCGATAGTGCCACGTAGTACGAGGATGGTAACGAAGCCGCAAAGGATTGTGATTTTAATATTGTTGAAGGTCTTGTGGATCTGCCTGCCACGCGGCATTCCTGGAAATCCAAGGGTTCTTCGTCCACCGACAGCGACGTTGTTGGTTGTGGGTAAGCCGCCTCCGCCTCCGCCAGTGGCAGATCTCTTTTGGGGAGTGAAATTATCTTGACCCATAAGGACTATTCTCTCCAAAATGAAAAACAGGCCATAGAGAGAGATCTAAGTTTTCGTTTCCCTCTCTTTTACTCTATAACTACATCACTCTAAATGCATATCTCTAGACTAGATCATCAATGGCACTGGCATTGGCATCCCGTATCTCTCTTTTTTCTTTTTTTATGGTTTTAAATTGCAGAGAGATCAGAGTGAAAATGCAAAACCCTACAAAAGGAAGGACTGATTTGAATGAAGAAGAAGAAGATGGGAAGTGGGAAAGATTGAGATTTGGTAATTGATAGAGAGTGGAGAAAACGTGTTCAAACACCGACTGTCAAGGACTTGTCTTTCGACAGACATTGCTTTTACATTTTGTTTTAGTAAATAATAAAAACATCATTATAGTTATGTGCATTTACCTTGGCTGCAACGCGTTGATTTTGAGGATCCAACTTCTCCCCAAGACAAGACCAAAAAGAGAAGGTCGTGCAAAAACAGCTCTTCCTTCTATTTTATTCCCACCAACAGCCAACGCTAGTAAAGGAGCCTGGATTGCACGTCCCAGAAAGATTCACTGTTGCATTACATGGACAGGCCACGTGAGTGATGATGGCTGAGGCTGAGGCTTGGGAGCACCTCAACCGCTGCCCTAAAACCAGTTCCATGTGTCATGTGCAAAATGATGCTTGCTCACTTTAGCTTCAGCTCTCACTCATGCTCAATTGGTCACTTGGCCCCTCCCTTATTAATTAAAACTCCCCAAAGATTTCTGTTAGGTCTTAGCACTCTGCTCAACAGGATCAGGAAGGATCTTTATGACTTTCAACTGGGGACTCATCTAATCATCAAACACATTTTTTAAGGTTGATGGACCAGGTTGAAAAGCAAGCACATTATCATAGAATAGGATTTTGTCAAGGACATGGATAGACACACAAACTCCAATCAGATAAACAAGCAGCTTAAAGATGCCAGATTATCAAAAGCAAACACATTTTGTTCCAAGAATAAAATCTTTAATATTGAGTAAAGAAATAAACCAATCATTTGTTTAAAAAGAGTAGCATTCTTCTGATTACTAATCAATGAAGTTAGTTACAAGAGTAAGGCACCCTTTAGAAACAACTGGTGTTAGGGAGCTGCAAAAGGGAAGATATTTCCATTTACCATTTATTTGGAAGAAAATTTCTTCTTTTTCTTCATTCTTTTCCTATCCTTCTTTCCCTTCGTAGTTTTCTGATTAATATTTACTGGATTCTTAAACATGGTACAGCCCTTGAGATTCCCTTCCTCCACCTTTCTTGTTGGCTTGAAAACTTCAGTGATTGAGCTGTCTAAGACATCACTTGAGCAGGAAAGACCAACACCCGTAGCCACAGCCTCATCCCATAGCTCTCGACCCTTTTCAAAGTCCCCTCCCCTGCAAAGTTTTGGTATGAGCACATCATAAACTGGCCCATACCTACCCAGTGAACTTCTCTTCATCCGCTCAAACAGCTCGAGAGCAAAATTCACTCTCTCAACTCCACAAAGGACACCAATCAGATCATAGTAGAACTTATGATCTGGGGTCAGCCCCAATTCTATCATCTCATCCACTATCATGTTACCCTTGCCAAATCTTCCAGTCAAGTACAATACTCTAGCAACAAGATAATAGGTGATCCAGTCAGGAGCACAACCAGACTTTTTCATCAACTCCAGAATCCGACATGATTCCTTCACTCTTCTTGTCCTCCCCAAACAAGACAGCACTATATTATAACTGATTGATGTTGGGGCAATTCTATAGGACCTCATTTCCATCATCACATTCAGAGCCTCAGGAACAAGGCCAGAAGGATTACGTTTAACATTTTTCCCACAAAGGCACCTAAGAAATGTATTATAGCAGTACAAATCAAGCTGAACACCAGCCGACTTCATCTCCTTGATAACTCTGCGCGCTTCCTTCACATTCTCCTGTACAGACCACCCATAAAGAAGACTCCTATATATACAAGGCTCAACACCAGCAATCTTATCTTTGTGATGATAAACTACACCTTCAGCTTTCCTAGCATGCCCTTTAGCACATAAAGCATTTACAATAGCAGTCACACTGAAATTATCCTGCGGGCACTTGAAATTTTCCAAGTTCTTAAAAATACCCAATGCCTCATCTTGTTTCCCTAATTTAACCAGCATCTCAGCTACAACACTAAAAGTCTGACTCTCCATTACCCGCCCCCCATTCCTAAGTTCCGAAATCAAAATCTCCATTGCCTTATGATCCTTCTTTTTCGCAAATATTCGAACTGCATAGTTAAAGTCCTTATCTTCCAAAGCAGAACTCAAATTCTTAACCGACCACAAGAAAAATCTCAATAACCTTCTAGTAGGAGCTTCATATTCGCAAGAATTTATAATTTGAGTAACAAGTGTCGATGATAAAGAAAGTTTAAACCCGTTTAAACTCGACTCCAGGTCATCCAAGCCACCAATTGTGCTCGAAACAACTTTACAAAGCTCCTCCAAGCGCGGTGGTGTTGTTGTTGATGAAAATAGAGAGCATAAAAGATTTTTGTGTTTCTGGGTATTGATAATTTGCGTCAAAAAGCGGTGCCATTTTGGTCGAAACAACAAATACATAATTTCTGAAGAAATTTATCAAACAGGTTGCCTGCGTGATATGGAATTGAGATCGACCAAAACTGACAAAGAGTAAGAGGAAATTACTGCAAAAAATTGACCCAAGATTGGAGAAGTAATATTCAGTGAGGGCATTAGAGAAAGCATGCAGCTTGGCGAACGACTGTCTGAGCCAGAATCCAAAAGCAGAGGCCGTTAACCAATAGCTGAGCCATGTATAGCCAGGGCCCTAAAGGTTTTCGAAAATCAGTATTTATATAGGTATATTAGACTCCCCGTATTATACATAGTGGCCCAAAAATAAACTATTATCCCAAGTTAAAAAAAAAAATTGTAATTATAAAAATTTAAATTATATAAAAAATTCAATTCTAAAATCCCAATATCAATGTATTAAAAAATATTAATTGTTTTGTTCATATTTTGTTTATAAAAACAAAAAAAACAAAAGAAATTATTTTAGTAGACGTGACCTATATTAAAAATTATTTTATAAATAAAAAAAAATATATTTATTTAATTTTTTTATTGAGTTACTACTCAACCAATCACTTTAATAATAATAATACAAATAAGCATAAATATAATATATAAATAAAAACATTATTATTATAAAAAGACAATAAATATAACTATAACCAACAGCAAGACTAATTAATTTTATATAAGTTTATAACATGATTGACAGCCTAATTCTTTCTTGATATTGATAGGTTCAACTCGATCTTATAAGATTGATTTTTTTTAAAAAAAAAAAATTGAGTTTCGGATCGAATCAAATAATGTTAAAAAAAATCGAGATTAGGTCGAGTTCGAGTTTTAGATAAATTCAATCTGATATTATATAAAAATTATTTTTTAATTAATTATTTAATTTTTTATTTATATATAATTATATAATTATATTTTAAAAAATAATATTTTATTAATTTCGAGTTGGATATGATTTATACAATATTGAATCGGATCATATCGGATTGGATTCGAATATAAAAAATTAAAAAAAAATTCAAATCAGTTCGGGTTCAAATTTTATGAATATAAAGTTAGATCAAATTCAAAATGAGTAAAAATTTATCCCGATCCGATCTGTTACCAATCTTAATTTATAATGTTAAAAAGTAAAAGTTTTAATTTGATAACTTTTAATATATTTTAATAAATGTCAAGCAACTCACTAATTAGCTTCTCCTAACAACAAATTATGTTATGATAAGCATTCTAAAGTCTATTTTAATTATTCTCTCGTCTCACAAATAATATTTGGATTGACCATTTTTTAATCAAAATTTTTCCTACTTTGAACATTGATATTTTAAATATTTTATCAAATTAAAATTTTATAGAAGTATACTTGAAAAGCTCTTCATTCAAAGTTTTTGGAAAGTATTTTTTTTTCATATTTTAATTATTAATATCTTTTAAATAAAATGAAGTTAAAATTAAAAAAATTAATTATCAAAAATCAAATTGAAACCGTTTTTATGAGACAGATGGAGTACTTAGCTTTGAGTAAATTATAGAAACATAACATTTACATTGTTTCTGAAACTCAACCATTATTGAAGTGGCAGCTTAGTTAAATTTTTCTACGTGAGGAAAATTTGGAAAATTTAACTGTCACATCAGAATCATCACTAACATCAGCGGCAGCAGCAGGGTTGGCTTTGCAGTCACCATTTTCACTTGGATTTTCCAAAACAGTAAGGTTACTCTTATCTTGTGGTGGATCAATCTGTGATGAGGCCTCTTGAAGCTGCAATGAATATTCTAAGTTCCATAACACATCTCCCATACTAGCTCTTTCAACTCCATATTCTGCTAAACATTTCTTTGGAGCTTCTGCAAACTTTTTGAGTGATCCTTCACTAATACTCCCAGAAATTTTAGGGTCAACTATCTTCTCAATCATACCTTCCTTATGCCACTGCACTGCCCACTCAGCCAAACTAACCTGCTCCCTTGGGAGCCTAGGGCAAGTAACTGCCCTTGCGCATAAAATCTCATAAAGGACCACCAAAAGAGTAAACATCAGATTTCACAGTACGCCGTTGTCTCCTGAAGTATTTGGGATCAAGATACCCGAAGCTATCATTCACTGCAGTGCTAACGTGGCCTTGCTCCATAGGTGCAGCTTTTGAAAGGCCAAAACAGACTTTTGCTAAAAAATTCTCATCAAGAAGAATATTTGTGGTCTTCAGATCACGGTGGATAATTCCTTGTGCTGTACCAGTGTGGAGATAATGCAATCTTCGAGTTGCCAATGCAATTATCAAGCCGTTGTTTCCAGGACAAAGTTGGTTTGCATGAGCCGTAGAGATGGTCAGGGAGTGGACCATTAGCCATGTTCTTATAAACCAGAATCATCTCTGATTCCTCATAACAGAACCCTATGCGTGATACAAGATGGCGATGCCGGAGATTGGAAAGCATTTGTTTTTCTGTCTGGTATTCGTTTATGCCTTGTTCTGATCCCTGGTTTCCCCTTTTTATAGCAATCTTGGTTCCATCTTCTAGAACCCCAAGAAACACTTTCCCAAATCCTCCAACACCAATTACTGTCTTTTCGTCAAAATTCTGTGTTGCGTTTTGTAATTCATTCAGGGTGAAGAACCCGCCAAGACCCTGATTAGAGTAAAAACTGGAGTATCGACTCTTACTTTTTCTGGAGCCAAAGATGCTAGATTTCCTAGAGCTACTCTTGCTGCTTATGAAACTGGTATGGCTACCACGAACAGGTAGAAGCCCTGATGAGAAGCTATTTCGCTTTTGCCAATCATGAGGCCTTTTTTCCCACCTAATACAAACTATTCCAAGAAAGGAAATTGCTAAGAATGCATAGAAAGCCCTGAAATTGCAAATACTTTCAATTTACTATATCCCACCCTTGAACGAACCATCAACAGCAAATAAACCATCCAAGCTATCAGCTATGTTGCTCATCTTCATGACCTCCAAGCCATTGAGGATGGCATTAGGTAGACCACCATTGGATGCTGGACTAACTTGAACCATGATGGAGTCATTTGCGATGGCTGTGGCATTGAGCACAAAATCTGTGTAATACGCAATGGCCAAGTCACCAGCTCTAGCCGTGAGATCGAGACCTGACACCACCATTAAATCGTTTATATATACATTGAAGTACAAATCATGGCGGGACTTGCTTACAATGTCACAAAAGTGCATCCTGATGAGATAAGAAAAGCTTGCATCAACGTTCATCATCCAAGTGAGATTGAAATTTGGTTCCACAGATTGAGCATATGCCTCAGTTGTCATCCCTTCGGCAGTTGCATAAACCAAATCCGGGGCAACCAATGGAGTCATCCGTTTATCAGGCTGGTATTTGATATTAGAACCTGCCACGGCTTGAGCTCCTTGGGGAAACACGTTGTATGGGGTATCAGATATCCATGTCCTTGACAATGTATCAGTTTTTGGAGTTAAGGTCGGCCCTCCCGTATTCAATCGATAGCACACTTTTAAAGCATAATTTAACAAGCCATTATTATTAATTAACAGTGTTACCTCGGCGTACTGAAGATTCTGAATCAGAGAGAAGTTCATCGGGGATACCCATCGATGAATGCATTAAGAATCCTTCTTGGGCTTGAAAAAGAGGGAGAAATATTCAGTAGCATTAACAAGATATTCCTTGAAAATCACCTTAGTATCATCACTCACAGAGAAGTCACGTAAAAGGACAAACTTCTCTGTATGGACAGTGAAAACTGCAGTTTTTAGATCATACGGAGGGTGAGGAAGCGGGTAAAAGTAGAGAGGAACCTAATGTTTCCCTGGCTTGGAGATGAAAATTGCATATGTTGAATGATCAAGGAAAATCCTTGCAGTTTTACATAAATCCTGCATGGACGAAGCCGAAGGGGTGGAATTGAAGAGGGAGCTGCTGGGAATGGAATCAATTGACGCTTCTAGCCCTTCTACATCTTCACTGGTAAATAGGTAAGTACTTGTTTGAGAATCTGACTTGAATGTTCGTCTATCATCAAGCTTTGTTTCGCTAGATGATCCACAATCAATAAGACACCATAGGAGAAGGGGCAGGAGATGAGAGTTTTTGATTATCACCCCGCTTTGCCAAAACAAAATTTGCATGGTTTAACATTAGGGGGTAAAGGAAAACGAAGGGAAAAGAAAGGGAGGAGACATGAAGAGGCCTTGCTGGCCTATAATGATCTCCCCTCATTGCTCAAGGCGGTGGCCAGAAACCCCCGTATACTAATGTGGCAGAGACGATGTTTGTGATGGTTCGGACATGCTGGTGGAGTGGTGGCTAATGGCAAAAGGAACAAAGGAATTTGTACGAACAAAAATGTTGACGAGAATTAGGTCAAAGGTTAGTTTGTTGGAAGCATGTAGGAAGAGACGTGCAAAGCTGTAATGTCAATGAGGTTTCTTCTTTTATTTTTTATAAATGAGGGAAGAAGAAAGACTTGGTAAAATGAGATACAAGTACCTGAGCTATGCGCTGGGCCCTAAGAAGCCAGATCGTCACCATCTTCTTATCTTAACAACAAACTATAGAAGGAAATAAATGTTAAGAGCTGTGATATTTTAGTGTGACATTATCAACAGATTTAGGATCCCTCGCTTCAAAATCAGTATATCTAAATTATAGTAAAATAAAAGGGGAAGAAGGGTTGAAGATCTTTCTTGATATGTCAACTGATAGGTTTTAAGAGCTAAAAGGTATCCACTGAACTGGTAAAAATCTAATATTTCAGTTGTAAAAATCTAATATTTCATTTGTAAAACTTAGGTTCAATCTTCCTTTCCAACAGCCATCCTTCTGTAAATTCAATGTAAATCCTATCTAAGATCAAATGTCTACCCTGTATATGGATTAAAAAACCTTCCCGACTTAAACTTTCATGTACCAAAAAAATAAAGTGAAAGGTTAAAGAAAACAACAAATAAAATAGTTCTTTTATTATTATTATTACTTTGATATTAAAGAAATTGGGTTTAAATATTAATTTTACAACAAAAAAAAATAGGGATCCACAATCTTTATTATGTGTTCCAAAGAATATTGAATCGATTTAAAAATAAGGTTGAATATTGTGAAAATATAAGTAAAAAATTACAACTCGTATTATCATTGTACTCTACAGCCTTGTGCTTCTGTTCTGAGGTATATTAGTCCCCGTCTTATCCTCTGCAAAAGAAAGTGGTGATTAAAGAAGTGCACTTAATGAGATTTTACACCATATCGCCTGCCTTGCAATGCATAACAGATATATTAACTGGAAAATCATTACCTCACTTGTGTCTCTGATTCGCAGGAGTTCCAATCTTTCTGGAGGCCTCCGATTTGTCAGAGTAGCAAGCTGAACCAGGGGTATAATTTATAACTAAAAATTTATTAAAAAAAAAAAATGAACCGAGCACTACTTCATGATGGGAGCAAGAACTGTACCCAGAAACTGAAGCGCTCCGGATCTTGTGTATTGGGCAACATTACTTCAACTTTACAGAGTGCCTCGAGCCTTCTTCGATCTGTGAAGAAGTCAGGGATTGTAGTAGAATGTCATAAAAAGGAAGTAGAACTACATGCATTTGATGTTATTTAATAGGGGTTTCAGTTCCAGTAATTCAAATCAACTTGCAGTAGCAAAGAAATGTCTTGTAACCATAACAAGTTCATCAGCAACATTGGCTCTTCATGTTAGAGAAAACTCAAGGCCATAAAATCACCGTGGCTCTTCATAAAAGAGGATTATCAACAAGGTAAAAACATTGCCCATAAAAACCCAAACCTTAAGTTTGACAAAAGTGATTGAACATGACAGCTTTTCCCCATTTTAATAAATAGTAAGATTAAATCATATCAGTTTGCCTTGAGAAAAAAATGGGGAAAAAACTGACGTGACTGTGGCCCCATTTCCTAGAAATTTGACTTTTTAAAGAATTAATACTAGATGAGTAACAATAATGAAATGACAAATTAAGCTATGAGTTATAATTCTCAAAGTGTCCTATGAAACAGATTTACCCCTTGTTGCTTCTTTTGCCGAACTTAACCATGACCGAGCATATGCTGCCGCATTATTTGTCAACTGCTGCAACTGTAAATATCAAAGACATTACATTGATACTAAATATATATATATATATATATATAATTAAGAATGTAAAAACCAATATGAACAACATGAGGTGGGCGTGCTTCTATCATGCCACATTCAAAGGTATCAAAATTAATGGTAACATAAATATATCTTTCTAAAAGTGAAGAAAAAAAAAAAAAGAAAGAAAAGGCATCAAGCAGGTACTAATCCATGTAGGCTAATCCACCACTACCCAGGAGATGCCCAACCAGCATAAGCTAAAGACCATAGCTGTCTCACCCATGAGCTACGGAAAAGATGATGATGAACCATTGTGCTGCCACCATAGACACAAAGCACTTATTAAATACAAATTTATCCTCTTTTGGAGGTAAAAATGGTTAACATTCCTCCCAAAATGCTTCCCTAAGTAAAAAGAGCAAAATGAAAAGAGACAAACTTCACCTAGCAATCTACTGTTTTTCTCTAATTTAATGTATTTTGCTTCATTTTATCCTTTCAGAAATTAATAAGGGCAAAATAATACAGATGGGAAACAATAATAGAGATAATCATACATTTTCTCTATCTCTTGCATCTCTTGGTGGAATGTCTTGTACCCACTCAACCTCTGCCATTCGATATCTGCATTAAACATTACAAAAGTATGATTTCCCACAACAAAATCAAGTAGGTATGAATAATGGAAATTGCTAGTAAAAGCATATGATATACATGACCCAATGATGAGAAGACTAACCCATCTTGGTCCCAAGTTCTGCGGATGCGAAATCTCCGGCAACTTTCAATCTGCATGCCATTTAGCTTATATAAATATGAATATGCTTTTTTCTTTTCTTTTTCTAATAGAATTAAATATGAACATATTATTATGTAAGAGGCCGAAACTGCTAAAGTGTTTGGGTCCAACATAAGCATGGAAGTGGAGACTGTTCTGTCACAGACCCAATTATCAATCATTTACCAAAAAGAAAAAGGCTTTCTGCAGGAGCCTATTATTACTTTCTTACAAGTTCAGCTACTACATTAATAAACTTGAGAATCAGAAAGATACAAATCATATTATTGGATCAATCTTCTGAACAAAAAAATAATAATAAAAATAATTTCTTTTCTGTTTCTCATAACTAAAAGAAGCGCTCAGTGATCTGCTCATATACCTAAATCTGTGCCAGTAATGCATTAGAAAACATGTAAGTTCAATTCAAGAAGACAAGTCCACTGGTTAGGACATGACCATCTAGTTGCCAACAAGCAACATGGGAAGCATTTAGACTTGCAGAAATTTCTAAGCTAGCAGTTATAAAATCTCCATGCATTTCCTCAGTAAATAATCCATCAAGTGCCAAACCAAAATATAATTTGCAGGTAAGTAAGATACAAATAGCCAGCTTCTTCTTGGCAGTACCCTCCAAAATAGAAACACTTAAAACCACTTCACCCTTTTTGGAGGGTTGTACAGGGTACAGAAGTTTGTTTCTAGTTAAAACACAAACCGTAGCTCAGCTTTCCAAAACTGTCTGCAGGTTTTTCAAAATTCCCCACTTAAATCTGGTCAAATGTGCAATGACTAATTGACTATGGTCATTGTTACATTAAATGAAAACACAGTGGTCAGTTGAAAGCTTCATAAGAAAGGAAATGCCTTGTCGAAGCTCAATAAATAACGACTCTTTTGATCATAGAGAAAGAAGATAAAAAATATTAGCATGCAAAAGTAAAGAGTTTAAAACAGAAATGAGTAAGATTTATTTTTCAAAATTCATCAAACCAGTAAGAGGCCAGTATGTTTATGAATGCGCTCATCCAATTCATCTGATTTCAAGTGATACTTTTTTTAGATACATGAAAATTAATACATCATTATTTGTTCACCTATCCAATATTATTTGTCCGCTATGAAAGGTCAATAAGCATTTATTTAAGGACTTAGTACTCCACATTTCTCATATGGTGGGCAACTTAATCTATGACCAAGCTCAAAAGTATTATTTTATTTATGGACTTATTACTCAAGTTTATTATTTTTAAAATTTGTGCCCTACTAAAGGAAACAAAATTTTGAAATGGGTGCCAATAGTCTGTTGGTAGAGTGCTGGACTCATATTTCTACCGACTAGGGTTCAATCCCTGATAGTCTCAAGTACCACAAAAAAAATGAGATGGAGGAATGCACATAAATAAAAGCTATATATGCACATAACACAGAAAAATTGTAATTGAATCAAAGACAAAGGAAAGTTGATAATGTTTCACCTCCAGAACAAAGCGTCCATCAGGTAGAGGCTCACACCTACATTTTTAGAGCAAGTGACAAGACCATAAGGTTAACAAACAAAATACTCCCAAACATAAGCTATGTTGCAAAGCTTTTGCATTAAAAAGTAAGAGGTGTAAAAGCCACCTACTCAGTGATCTCCACTTCACAAGCAAAATCAGCAATCGAATCTGTAGCAGGATCACGGATGACCTACAAATATAATGGACCACCCAAAAAGTAAGGACTTTTGGCCATTCAACATGCCTTGACAAAAGGAAGAAGAAAGAACCACTAAGAAAAAAAAGTCTACCATTCCCATCCTGCGATTCCCTTCCATTATTCTCCTCACCTGTTTTCAAGCAAATAAAAGTAAATCCAAATCCAAAAGCAATCCCCTCAAGACACAGGAAGTAATCAGCTTCAACATATGATGTGCTAAAAGTATAACCATGTGACTAAATTTGCTAACCTATACTTCAGCTATCAAAAGCATGCATACAGCTCACAATGCGTTATGGGATTAAGCATCTACCTAGAAGGAGGGCTATTGCTTGCCACGACAACCAATTAGAAAACAGAACAATTAATTAATCATTGAGCAACCACTACCAGGCTAACTAGGCTTTAAGCCTTGCCGAATTAAAGATCAAATAATGTCTGACAGAACGAGGTTATGATCAGAGTTTTTTTCATGTATTTAAGATTGGCAAGATATGTTAAAAGGAAAGAGGGAATGGTTGTGACATACACAGAGCTTGCTAGCAACCAGCAAGCACAACCCAAGTCAAATTTAGAACAAAAGTAACTCTGCCAAGAGGCTCATAAGCATAGTAAGAAGCCACGAACTTTGCACCGCCAACATAGATTTGGATTTAAAAACAACCACAACATATCCATTTTTCTAGACTTTATCATACACAATTAAGATTAGAGAATGTATGAAACTCACCATAAGTCTGTAGCGTGGTTCAAATATGTGGAGCGGAAACCTCTGACAAGGGATGACAACATCCATGACGAAAAGAGGTATCAGATCATTACCAAAATTGATCAGACTGTCATGCTCTGACTTCCTTTCAGCATATTCTTCAGGGAAGTTTTTTTGTATGATGTTGTTTAGCGTTACACTATCAAACAAGTAATGTAATTAATACAGTCAATCACAAAGAAACCATGATAGAGCTTTATTGACACCTTTCAAAAAGAAAACAGCAAATTAGCACTTAGCAGATCATAAAAAGTTCAGATAGAAGAAAATCCCATGCTCAGTAAGCATGGACCATATGCAGATGTGTCCAGTTAAGGTTTTTTTATATACCAATTGAATCAACTGTGATCTTAAGATTCATAACTTCTATCTTTCTGGTCCATGAGAACAAGAAGAGCAGCAGCCTATTGTATCTCCTACATGGAAGCCATGAATGGTTGCTTCTCAACTAATTACATGAGCTAGTGTCAGCAGCAGTGATAGGAGTTCTTGATTCCTTTTCATTATCCTAATAAAAGCACTTCAATCAATAACTGCAGGTGAGAAGCTTACCTGATTGCGCATGTTCTAGGGCTAATGAAGAGCACTGTTCGGCACAATGGACATTTGTTGCCTATCATTAGTACAAGGTCAGATAAAAGTATAGTGATAAAAAGTACTACTAGAAATGGAACCAAAACCCACAAATACTCACTACGATCCATTGTCTGAAATAGACATGAGCGACAGAAAGAATGCCCACAAGGTGTTGTTATAGGCTCATATAGTAACTTCAGACAAAGTGTGCAATCAAAGTCATCAGTACGTTCAGGCCCCTCATGGCCTCTAGTCCGCATCAAACTGGATGGCATTCTTTCCAAGCTCTGAAGAGAAGCCCGGAGAATATCACTGCGTTAGCAGGAAAAATGTCATTCAGATTCACAGAATTTCTTGTCAATAGATGTCAAATTTAAATAATATCATAAACAACCTGAAAGGATCAAGTTGAAGACCAGAAAGAATAATATCCCGCGCCATCTCATATCTTTCCAACTGCATGACAAAAAAATACAAATTCTGGAGAAAACCAAGACAGCATAGATATACATGCGCATGTGCATGAGTAAATTAAGTTTAATTAGATGTACATAGAGAGGCCCATAGGACTTTAAGCTTGGACCTCTTTGTATGTGCATGTGTAAACTGCATGGTCAAAACAACAGAAATGCTGGAGAAACCAAGACAGCATAGACATATATGCATGTGTAAATTAAGTATAATGAGATGTAAAGAGAGAGGCCCATATGACTTTCAGGTTGGACCCCTTTGTGTACATCATCATCATCATCATAATAATAATGATGCAATCCATCACTTACCAAAATAAGAGCATTGACCTTCAAGATGTAGGATCGTACTGCATTATTCTGCAAGCTCATTAGCCTCTCAGCATCCTTTAGAGCAAGCTGAAATAAATGTCAAAAAGTTTCTCTTTCAGAATATCTGTAATGATGATATAATCCAAAATACAAAATGTACTGCAACAGGCATACTTCAGCAAGTGTTGTCATATCCAGCCCATTCAATGGTCTATATTCAGAAGCTGTAGAAGGTCTATGTTTCAGAAATTGACTAATCCTGCATAAGAATCGCCACAAATCCTCCATCATGATTGAGTGGTAGTACAGAACTTCTTCAAAGAATGCCAAACAAGTTTGGCATAAAAAGAAAAGTAAAAAATATATACATTTATATGTGTGTATGTTCTATCTATTTATGTACATGTCTCCGCAACACAACGATGATAAACATTGACAAAGCCTAACCTCATATAGGCAGCACTTCTGTTACCAAGAATAACAGGATCCCCAGGTTTCATGTTATTGGCCCTTGAGTAATTGTTGATTGCCTGAATGAAGTATGCTATTTATCAGCAAACGAACGACAAAATAATTCTTATTAAAACTTTGCCATTGTTGCTTTAGTCATCAACATTTAGGACAATTTATTTGGAAATTTTGGTTGTCATATGCAGAAATATTTATACACCTAAACCAATTCCCAATGATGATATGTAAGAATCCTAATGCAACAAAAAAATAGAAACCAAACCACGTATCTGCAGATTATATAACCAGATCTATATAAATTCAATAATTTGTTACATATATGATTTTTTTGGGTAAAACAGAAATGAAGAATTTATTGTAGCTAGTTTTCTCACCCCACCCCCCCAAATAATAATATTTCTCAAGCTAGATCACTAACAACTCAGAGATTTGAGTCCAAGCAGTTTCATAAATTTATGAAAATTTAGAAATTCTAGTTTTTCTACAGCAGCAATAAGTAACTTTATAAATACAAGGCATCAAAACAAGATGCATGCATAAATGAAACTTAAGTTTATCATATGATACAGACTAATCCTAATACCTCACATGTTAGATCAATACCACATAATATAGACCTAAAGATGCGGTTTTTCTAACCTTTCACAAGGATAGTCTAGCATCCTATGACCCACACAAACCATTAATCTGTTCTATTTTCTTTTCCATTTCTAATTACCCTACAACAACTTCAACCCAAACAGTGTCCTTGCCCTAGATATATGTCATTTGACATCAGTAAAGAATTAGCTAAAAAAAAAAAAAGGCAATTGATAAACAAGTCAAAACATTTTGTAGATCCCAATTCCAATTCACTATAATAATTTTCCAAGAGAGGTAATATTAGAGCGTTTTAAACCAGTGAATAGTATCCTGCATGAACATCAATAGAATCCATCTAATTAAGCCCTTCAAACTATTTGGGTTTGCGTTTCCACTTTCAAGAACTAAAGAGATAAAAGTACCTTAGTAGAGATATCTCTTTTTTTAAAATGCAAAGAAACTCACAGAAGGAAAATACCATGCCAGATGAAACAGATTCTATTCAACAATCAACAAAATGGAAGATAGCAATAAAAATTAAAAGAGCCAGCAAAGAAAAATTGAACCTCCTCAAAACGATTCTCTCGGAATGCTCGGTTTCCATTCCCCACATGATCATAAACAAGACTATATCGGTCCCATGGCAATGATCCCACTCCTTCATTCGCCTACACTTCAGCCAATGTTCATTAAATTCCCAAATATAGTCTTAAAATCACCAACTCTGCATGGTGAATATGCACAATACCTAGAGTAGATTTTTCATAATTGCTAGAAAACACGGACAAAATAAAACCTCAACTCCCATATTTATCAAGGTTTGCCAGCTAAACACAAACTCCAAAGGGGCAGATCATCACCTTTTTTTTTTAATTGCAGTGCAGTCATTACAGCCATTATAACCAATAATAGACCACCTATTTTCTCTCTCTTTTTTTTTTTATTTTGACCAAAATTTAATGTGCCAATTAAAACATTTTCCAGTTAAAAGTAGCACATCCATAGAGTAAAGGAATAAAATTTCATTCTCATATTAGTTTCCTAGGAATTCTCGGCAACCAAACAGATAGTGAAAGAGGAAACAAATAAAGAAGACAGTTAAATTTTGTGTTTTTTCCCTCATTGTTGTCAGCTACCAAACAATTCTAAGATAACCAAAAAAAAAAAAAAAAAACAAGTTTGAAGAAGTAAACGAAAATGGAATGAATACAACTGTTTGATCTCCAAGAAAATGCAAGAAACTAATGGTAAGTTCATTAATTATTTCACTCTTAGCTCTTTAATTTCTAAAAATATATATATAATACAAAAATTAAAATAGAAAATAGAAAATTTATCTCAACTAAGAAAAATAACGCAACAGAATATATATTATAGTTTTCTCAGCCCTCAAAAAAAGGATCAAGTTTGTTTAATACTAAGATTTTAAGCGCTTTTATTCAAAAGAAAGCCTAAATAAATTCTCCTAAATCCTGTCAGTAAACCTTCCTGATTAGACCAAATAGGAAAACGGTTTTTAATGAAAAACAAAAAATGCATGCTATTCATTCTCATTTTCCTACATTTTCTGAGCAACCAAACAGTCTTCAGAAGTAGAAGAAGTACTCACCCAAACGTAGTCTTCCACGTCATCAATTCCTTCCAAGACGATTCCAGAAGACGACGCCGACTCGCCGGACATTGTCACAAACAAAAAAAAAATCGAAAAAGGAAAAGAAAAGAAACTAAAATGAAAAGAGAAAAACAAAAACAAAAAGAAGTATCAGCTCGGAAACTGATACCGAAACGGAGAGGTTGAAGAGAAACTCTGGAGCATCGCGTTTCTTTCTCCGTCCTTCGTTTCTCGCATGGACCAAATTCTTCTACGTGTTCGCTTTTCTTCTCTCTTTCAATCTTCCTCTTCAAGAGTCCTTAAAGTGTCCACTTTCTCTTTTTTTTTTTAAGATTTTAGAGGCTGAGAGTTCTTCTGGCAACTCAGCCCCTTCCCTTTTTTTTTTTTTAATTTGTGCAGTTCTCTTCCCAAGTAAGGGCCGGCTTTTATATGTGAAGGAGAGGAACTCCAGTGTTTTCGTCTTATCACTTTGTTGGTGCATTCGCAGGATGGTCAACGCTACTGAACTAAAGGAGTTGTCCAGGTGGTTGTTTTTCATTACGTTCTGTAGAATCATGGGTTAGTGTACGGTTCAGTGAGAAGTTGACTCACAGAACGCGATACTATGATCCGTGTGTTATACATTCCTGGTTCCTTTTGTTAATGGTGTGGTTCCACGCAAATGCACCACCTTGACCACGACATTGACCGTTGCTATGTAAGAAAATTAGAAAATTATTGAATTTTGATAAATAAGCAGGAAGTGCGACTTTTTAAAATTTATTGATAATAATAAAATAATTAGAGGGATAAACAAATTAAATACCAACAATTTTTTATATTTATGATTTATTAAAATTAATAAATAAATAAAAATTAAATATATTCATAAAATATTCATTAAATGTTTTATTCATTTACATTTGAGATGTAATCCAATCATAATCTATTTGTTTAATATTATTTATAAATGAATCATGAAATATTATTTATTATTATTTATTAAGTTTATAAACCAAAAAAAATTAAACATATTTATAAATTATTCACTGAATATTTTATTCATTTACAATCTTAAAAATAATTGAACACTCGGAAAATCGAAGTGAAAATAAATAATAATAAAATTTGTAGATTTTAATAATATTATTTTTTTAGTCAAGTAAGGCTGGATTGTCAAAAAGAAAAATTAAATGTCCACGCGCATAAAGAAAATTTGTGGCTTTGCGGTTATACTCCACTTGTTTTAAGTAATAGGGGAATTTAAACGCGGATGAGAATGAAATTGAGTTGGAGCCAGAAAATAGAGGCTATTAATTAAAGAAAGCCGACTGAATTTGAGCGAAGATCGGCAACCGTCGAGCCTGAGATCGCCACCTTAAAACAAACACCAAATGACAAACTTTTGTATGCTTTTGGCTTTGCTTTAAGACAAAACGCCCGCACATGATCCATGAAAAGCTACAAATCATTGCCAAAAAAAAATGGGGGATTCGTCCTTTAAAAATCAAACACAATCGACATTCAACTAGGAGTTGGTTTTATGTTATAAGGACTTGGCAACAATTCTGTTAATATCAATAGTAAATGGTCTTGGTTTATTATTTTTTTTACAAAAAAAAAAAGAGGGAATTATAAGTATTAAATTTTAAATTTTAAATTTAAATATAAATTTTAAAAATAATTATATATATTAAGTGAATATTTTTATTAAGTTACTGTATCAAATTTATTATTTATGTTTAAGTAGATTCATCATCCACCCAAGTAAATTTAGATTTATTCTCATTTTTAATAATAAAAAAAGCATAAAGCCATGATATATTTGTGAGAAATAATGAGAGGTTTGTATGGGCTAGGTTGTGTTGCATTAATAATATAGCCACGTTCCATAGATGATATCCACATTTGAATTTGAAAGAGCCGAAAACCTGCTCTTTTTATTGCCTTTTTTTAGGGGAAATGATGGGATAATTTATATACTGTATAATGTAAAATATCAATAATTTATATATTTATATTATATTTTGTATAAAAGTTAAGTATTATAATTTATATTAATATAAAAATATATAAAATATTTTTTAATTTTATTAAATTTACATATATTTTTTATTAAAAATTTAAATTATGTTATTTCTATATTTTTATTTATATTTTTGTATCATTTTATTATTAATTGCTAGGTCTACACCGTGATACAGATGGAGATTGGGATGGGAAAGCAGCCAAAATAAAATTAAATAAAAAAAGCAAACAAAAAAGGGAGTTTGCTTTGTTGGCTTTGTTTACATGTACCATTTGGAGTCATCACATACTATTTATCTTCCCCCACTCGGTTGGATTTATGAACTTTAAACAAACATTTTTGCATGTTATAGTATCCCACATACCTACATAATGGTAAAGTTACCCGCAAGTTTCTTAAAATCCTTCAAAAAAAAAAAATAAAACTCAAATGAAGCTCGAAAATATATTGATCATACTATAAAAAAAAAATATTTAAGAGAAGTTAAAATAGTTGTTTTCTTTTCTTATAATGGAAGTCTTTAGTTGGTTCAATTGATAAAATATATGTTTTTATGTAAATTTTTATTGAATTCACTATTTTATGTATATATATATATATATTTAACATTATCTAACTTGAACAATATTACTCCTATAATTATGTTTAACTTCAATGAAATTAACTTACTGGTAGATTCTTAAGGACTTTTTTTCTTTATTTTATTATGTTATGATTTTGCTTCCACAAAGATGTAGTAAATAATGAAAATTGAATTTTTATGTCTAAAAAAAAAAACAAAGTGTAGGTGCTTAGTTTTGATCTCAAGACAAAAAAAAAAAACGATTAAAGATAAAAATAATAAATATTTTTTATATTTACATTTTGACGCGTAAATCAATAAATATAAAATAAAAAGAAAGTAATAAAAAAATTTTGAAATTCGACTAACCTACTTTCCTAATACATGAGCTTTTATATTTATGGATAAATAATGAAAAATCAATAAAAGACAACAAAGACAGTACTGAGATTGATGTAGTACTGAATATGTTAGAATGATTTAACATGTTAAGTCGACACAAATATTAAAATTATCTTTAATTGTCTGCTAAAAGCTTATAACATAAAATAATAAAAAAATTACTATACTCTTGCAACCATTACATGCCCTTAACAAAAAGAAATATAAATCCAATGAAATGTCAAAAATACTCATATAATTAAGATATAAAATGTACATTGCAATCCACTTTGATGAGGATGGTACAACTATGGATTTTTATTATTCAACTATTTAGCTTAAAATATAATGATTCGTCTTTTCTTCCAAAAATATTAAAGATGTTCTTTTTATTTTTGGCAATTCTATCTTCATATAATTAATTTAATAAAATCAATCCAAATCAATAATACCGATCTCTATTCAAATATATTAGCTAAACTTCATAAATTTATCACATTATTTGAGACCAATAAAAATAATTTTTAAGGTTTAAAAAGTGATACATAATTATTTTCTGTTATACTTTAGTTATCACCTCTTAAGCGACGATCCTTTTTTTTTATTAGTTTCTTTTTTTTTTTCCTTCATTTGAATTGGCTCAGCTTTTGGAAACATGAATGAAAAAATTGAGACAAAATTTGCACAAAAAAGCTAGAACCAAAATTCCATTCTACCCTTTCAATACTAAGAAAGAGATTTACAAATCTAATTACATTTTATCAAAAAAATCCATTAACAAAATAATTATGCGTCATTTTTAAAACTTAAAAAATATTTTCAGTCAGTCTCAAATCATAAAATATATTTCTGAAATTAATTTAATTATATAAGATCAAGTAAATGCAAGTAGAAATTAAAAAGTTTTAATCAAATACATATAAATAGAAGTAACTAGTATATAGTCAATAGTGTATAAGGGCAAGAAATTAACTAAATAAAACCTAATAATTGGTTTGTCATTATTCTTTTAAATTTGTCCTAAGGTAATTGGAATGAACCACTTTGATTCACATCAGCAATGGCAGTTTGTCCGTCGACCTCATCACCATTGGCGCCCGAATTTACAGTACGGACGATGGACTTGCATTTTCTTTTAAATTTTTTCCACTACTCTATTATTTTAATTATTTTATTTTTTTTGGCACAAACAAAGTCACCATTTGAGAATTAAAAAAATAATTACTAATATTCAAATGATCATATATTACATTTAAACATAATTGTATGTATGAATCAATTTGATTAAATTTTATATTCAAATTTGGTAAAAAAAAAAATTTAATCCAACATCAATTTGGCTAGATCTTATTGTCGTGTTGATAATTTGGCAGTCCAATAAAAGAGAAGAAATTAAGAGCACGTGTCAAATTGGCCGTACTTAAGGAATCTAGATTCTAAAACTTCTGGGACTAAACAAGTACAAGGGCTGCCTCACTCGTTTATAATATTGATTTTTGGATATTTCGGAAGGTAATCCCATTTCCAGCAGCATATTAATATTTGACCCTTATCTTGATTTAGTATAATTTTTATTTGTCATATTATGCTTAAGCTCTATTATTTGTTGAAACATTCTTTTCATGATATTCAGGCCGATCGAATCATTTAAGGTAAAATATTATAGCAATACTCACATTTAATAATAATAAAAAAATACTGAAACATTGAGGAATATATGTATACACATGCGGTAGGTAAAATCATTTTAAATTTTTTTATTTTTTTGAAAATGATTTGAATTCAATAAATATATGTATATATATGCATGTATGTAATTAAACATTATGTTAAATATGTAAGGAATAAATAAACACATGTAATATCTTAACACGAGCTCGAAAAATAAGAATATATAAATATAATTATTTTAACGTAAAAAATATAAATATATAAATATATTTTGTTTGATCCAATTTAAAATAATTTATTTTAAATTTAATCCACTAATAAAATGAATTTTTATAATTATGAAATTTTTAGAATAAAAAAATCACAAAAAATTTATTACTCAAAATTTAATATAAAATCAAACCACACTCTTTTAAATAACTTATTTGACTTTTATTTTAATGTCTAATTATTTGTAAATACCATTTAAAATCAAAATATTTTATTTATAAGCATAAAATCTCATATAGCGCTACTATTTTTTAACGTGTGATTTAAGACAAATTTTAAATTTGTATAATTTTATTCAATTTTTAATATGAAATTAAGAGATTCCAGATAAATTCTTAATAAAATCATGATTTTTTTTTTCTTATGCTCTAGAAACAATTCGAATCTTCTTCTCTTAAAAAAAATTCTTGATTATATAATATATATATATATATAAATGATGTGTTCTCAAAACCTTCTTGTTACAATTACAATTAGAGGTTATGATTATAATTTTGAGGGTAAAGTTTCACTTTTGAGACGAAAAGGAGAATAAAACAATAAGTATTAGGGTGTATCTGTTGGGCCCAGATTGTACTTCCCTGCTGCCCACACAGTACCCAATCCAGATTCCAAACGGCCCATAGACAACAACAAATGATAGAATAACATTTCAATGTTTGGTCCCACCACATCCCTCCTCAGCCCCTCTTTATCTACACATAACTAAAAGTACCCTTTATTATTATTTTTTTTTAACAAAAAAGTTTCCTTTAATAATCTTTTTAAATTTATTTAAGATTGCTCGCGCGTTATTACGAGTGTATATGATAATTTATATATATATATATTTATTATATTTTATATAAAAATTATGTATTATAATTTTAAACATAAAAGATTATGATAATAAGTATAATGTATAGACTATTAATTTAACTCAATTCAATTATATAAAATAAAATAGATATATAATAATTTAAAAATTAAGAGAATATTGATATATATATTCAATTAATCAATTATAATTTTTTGAAAAATTTAAATTCAAATTTATAAATAAAATATATAAATACTTATTATTTAAAAATTTTAAAAATAAAAAAATGTAATGCGGGCATAGCTTGGCTAATTTTCCTAGTCTGCTTTATATAATGTACTACTAAAATAGTATAGATTTAATATTGGAATTAAACTATTCTTAAAAATATTAATTTAATTAAATAATTACTAAATAAGTTATAGAAAAAAAATTGAAAACAAGAAAATAAAAAAAAAACTAACAATATCAAAGATGACATTAAACACATTATATAAATAATAAAAAGATATGAAAATAATATAATTTAAAATTTTAATAAAAATAATATATAAATTTGATAAAAATAAAAAATTATATTTTTTATTTAACAAGTAGATATAAATTATAATAAAATAATTTTTATATTTTATATATATTTAATACAAAATAATTATGATAAAAATATACGAAATATCAAACTCAAAAAAATATAAGTAAATACATAGCCTCTTGCCAAAAGGAAAATTTGCATCAAAATCTAACACTAGTAGATGACGTTATAAACCGTTATCAAAATAACAGCGCAACAAACCGTTACCAAAATAACAGCGCAATATGCATGGCTGCACAGTACGCACGTTAGCATTGTAATGCTACTAAAAAAAAAATCCCAGGAAAAAAAAAAACACCGATGTAATTTCACATTGAAGATTAGGGTTTCGTGTCCTTCGTTCTTTTTTCTCTATTGGGTCTCTCACTTCAACCTTCCTGGTAAGATCACTAAATCCCCAAATTGGCTTTCTAATTTCTATTTGATTTTGTTAAATTTAGGCCTTTTTCCTTTTACTTCCAGGAATTAGAAAAAGCTCAAAGCTTTGAAATTCGTTAAGGAGAAAAAATATATATTTTGGGAACTTTGAGGGGAAAAGATGGATGAAGGAGAGGGAGGGGATCAGATGGACCTGTTCCATAGAAACGAAGCGATCTCAGCCGTTGCTGACGAGGGTTTTTTAGGTGAAGAAGATGATGATTATGATGATCTTTACAATGATGTTAATGTTGGGGAAGGGTTTCTTCAATCTTTAAGCAAAAAGGAAGATTTAGGTTTTAGAAATGAGGAAACTAAGAATAGTGCTAATAGGAATGATAATAGTATTAATAATAATAGTGGTGGGAAAGTTAGTGGGTCACCAATTGGTGCACCGGATTGTGGTGTTTCAATTCCCGGAGTTGCAGGTTCTGGTGAAAGAGGGGATTCTAGGGTTTCTTATGAGAGTCAAGGGTTTAGAGGTGGCGGTGATGTGAAGGTACCTAGTGCAGGAGTTGCTGGTGGTGGAGGTGGGCTTAGGGTTGAATTAGCGCAGTCATCAAGTAAGTTGAATGAGATGGCTGTGGAGCAGAGTGGGAATAATAATAGTAGTTTAGGTGGTGTAGGTGGTATGGGACAGCAGGGACATGGTGTGGGAAATGCGGGGAGTGTTGAGAATGAGGGTTTGACGAGGCAAGGAGTAGGGGGTGGGAGTGTAAATGGTGTTGGCCGTGGCGGTGGTTCTATGATTGAGAATGGGGGTGGAAATGTGGGTGCTGCTGGTGCTGTTGCTGGTCCTGGTGTTGGTGCAAGTGGGGGAAGTGGTGTTGGTGGTGGTGGTGGTGGTGGTGGGACGATATTGTTTGTTGGTGATCTGCATTGGTGGACGACAGATGCTGAACTGGAGTCAGAGTTGTGCAAGTATGGACCCGTGAAGGAAGTGAAGTTTTTTGATGAGAAAGCAAGTGGAAAGTCAAAAGGATATTGTCAGGTTGAGTTTTATGATCCAGCCGCAGCCACAGCTTGTAAGGAGGGAATGAATGGACATATGTTTAATGGAAGGCCTTGTGTTGTTGCCTTTGCATCACCATTTACTGTTAAGAAAATGGGAGAGGCTCAGTTAAATAGGAATCAGCAGATGACACAGTCTTCTCTTTCGCAAGCTAGGAGGGGCCCTAATGATACCGGGGGTAAGACTGGTGCCAGTAACATTCAAACTGGTGGGAATTATCAAGGTGGGGATAATAATAGAGGTTATGGAAGAGGGAATTGGGGAAGAGGCAATTCTCAGGGGATGGGAAATAGAGGGCCAATTGGTCCTATGAGGAATAGGGGTGGTGGGATGGGCGGTAGAGGTATCATGGGAAATGGTGGAAATGGATTTGGACAGGGTATTGGTGCGACACCTCCTCTCATGCACCCCCAGTCAATGATGGGTCAAGGTTTTGATCCTGCTTTTGGGGGACCCATGGGAAGAATGGGTAGTTATGGAGGCTTTCCTGGTGCTCCAACACCTCCCTTTTCGGGGATTTTATCTTCGTTCCCTCCTATTGGAGGAGTTGGTCTGCCTGGAGTTGCTCCTCATGTTAACCCTGCATTTTTTGGAAGAGGTATGCCAATGAATGGTATGGGGATGATGCCCACAAGTGGTGTAGATGGACCAAATATGGGAATGTGGTCAGATCCCAGCATGGGAGGATGGGGTGGTGATGACCATGGTGGTGGGAGAGCTGGAGAGTCTAGTTATGGGGAGGAAGCTGCATCTGACCATCAATATGGCGAGGTTAGTCATGATAGAGGTTGGCAAAATCCCATGAAAGAAAAAGATAGAGCTTCAGAAAGGGAGTGGTCTGGTTCATCTGAAAGAAGGTATCGTGATGATAGAGAACAGGGGTATGATAGGGACATGCCTAAGGAGAAGGATATGAGCCATGATTGGCCAGAAAGAAGGCACCGGGATGACAGAGACATTGGTCAAGAACGTGATAGGGAGCGTGACAGGGATAGGGAGCGGTCTCGAGATCGTGACCGCGATCGTGATAAGGACAAGGATAGGAATCGATATAGAGAAGACAGAGACAGATATGCAGATCATCATAGGTACAGGGACCGTGAGCCAGAGCATGATGATGATTGGGACAGGGGACGGTCATCAAGGACTCACAGCAAGTCACGATTATCACAGGAGGAGGAGCATAGGTCAAGATCTAGAGATGCTGATTATGGGAAGAGGCGACGGCTTACTTCAGAGTGACTTACCTCATGCTTCTTATAGCTGAAATTTTCTGTTAGAAAAATTGAAATAAGAATCAGTAACTACAGAAACCTTGGATTCATCATTCTCTTTTGATATCTCTCTCAACTGGTGGTGTTGTGGTCATCAATTCATCAGCCCTTCTTAGTTCATTGTCTGAATTTGTTGCTTGGTTCTCTTCCCTTGGAAGATGGTCTCAATTTTCCATGAAAGAAGTAAGTTCCTGAACTATGGTTTTCTAATTATATTGTCTGAGTATCTCATTATCCTTAAAAATATCATTGAATTTTCTTTTCTCTGAACGTGTGGGGTTGTGTAATACTTGGGTTGATGTGCATACGGTACAACATTGCTTATAAATTTCTGTATCTATATTCATGCATCTAAATAGTTGAAGATATCAAAATGTTGCAGTAGGCTAGCTAATATTCATGTAATGATCGTCTTTATTTGCTTTTCCGCTATCATTCATCAGATTATGAATGTTTATACATGCTAGTCTTGACTTGTGCTGAGTTTAATGTAAGGATTCCTTGTTTTACATGTGTTTCTACCATATTTTATGAAAGATTTAATGTAGGTGCTGAGTTCTTTTAATCTATAATTTGGGAATTATTAGTTGTTACCCTTCTCCTTTTTATATGCTGTTGATTGCTAATAAAGAATTTTCTGGCTGTAAGATGCAAAAATTATCTTCCTCAGATTTACTTTTTGATTTGCTTATAGGTGTGGTTTTTGCAGTATTCTTGCTTATGTTTGTTAATTGAGTTAAGCAAAGCATTCATTACTGCTTGGTCAAGTATTGGATCTTATTTTATTGCGCATTTCTCAAGTTTACTACTGCTATTCAAAAGACAATTATGTGACTATAGTCTGTTAAATCCTTTAGGAACACGGTTCCTAATTACAGATGTTACAAATTTCTTTGATTTATAGCTTGAAGGTATTTGATCTTGAGATTTGAAGATGTTCAGCAGAACTATGGGTATCTTGGAGATGGAGATGATCTCAGCCTCGAAAATTTGAGAGAGACAGTAGATGGCGTTTCCTTTTGCCATCATTCATGTAGAAGTGGAACACATGCTTTTAAGCTTTCAGCTTTCTTTTGCAGTTATGTTTAAGTTAATTAACACTTGATGAAACCAATGTTGTGGATGATATTATGGCTTGAAATTGCTGAAGTCTGAGATATGGTGGATTATTTCAGAACTTAAAAGTTTGAATGTGATGTAATAGTAGGATTTAGTTGAGGATGTTGCTGATGTGCATTTTCTGTTGGCTACTTGTTGTATCGTTTATTTACCCCTGTTTGGGTTAGTTTTAGCTTACCATTATGTTAACCTTGCCATTTTTTGTGAAAGGGGGGGGGGGGGGGGGATGTAGAACACCCAACCATTTGATTTGAGCAATGCCATTGTTAGTTATATCCTTGAGAATTGTACAAAATGACCTTTGTATATACGGAAAGCTTTTATTCAAGCTTCGTGTTCTTTGGCATTTAGATGTTCTGATTGAATGAGTTGCTGAAATATAATTCTTGCATATAGGGATTTTACATGCTCATTATTTGAATCACTAAAATCAAATATATCTATATATATATATATATATATGTATGTATATTATATATATATATAATTTTCTCAGTGCAAATGGTATTCATAAAATCTAAAAAAGAAGATTCTCAATATTTGGAGGTGTTTACCATAGCATTGAGAGTTAAAAACTTATTTATCGCCATATAAACTTTTCTTTCATAGGCTCTCTCGTTTCTTTTCCCATTTCCAAAGAAAGTCTGTCTCATGTGCATGTATTTTGATTCTTTTCCTTAATTTTTTCTTTTCATCTACGAGAATGGCAATTTCAATTAAATCCTCTTGTCAGTATCATTGGGTATTTATATTTTAGGAAATTTGAGTTTGTATTTAATTTGTATTTGAATGACTTGATGATTCTCAACTTGGCTTGGTGTTGCAATTGAGTTATATGTTTTGATTTTTAGCTCTTTTTTTGTAAGAGAATCATGCACAAGGGATGTTTGCTAGTAAAATATCTTTGTGGAGCAATTATTTTGTAGGAACTGCTATTGGTTTGAACTAATATACAACCTAATCATGGCCATACCGCTATGACACCACCCAAAGAACATTAAGCTAGAAAATCCAAGGTTGTCGGGTACCATGCTGGAGGCTCCGTCCAAGCCTTTGAGGTACTGGCAAAGAAGAGATCACGAACAGGGAAGACAGAAAGGCACCTAGATATGGACAGCCGAACCATTTGTTGTCTTAAGACAGGGATAGCCAAACCCAATGGAGTAGTCAGTTGGGTCAGGCTTAGTTTGATCATAGTTTTTGACATCAAATATTTTTGAATCAATGGTCCAAAACCTTTTCATGAGAATCTGGGACTGCTAAGCCACCCAAGTGGCCAAGTTCCACCCCAATACTCTCCCAAAAGGAGAGAAAATAATATAACAATCAAAGTTAATTACTAGATACTTGAATTTTGAAAAAAAAAATATAAATTAGTATTTTAAAAAAATTATATAATTTGCATCTAAACTTTTAAATAATATAAAATTTATGCCCTAAATTTTTAAATTATGTATTATATTAATTTAGATTCTAATTTCACTAACCATATCAATTTATATATATGACATTTAATTAATATTATCAATTTATACATTCACCATATATACTATCAACATTTTTTTTAATATAAATGAAAAAAATATATTATTTACCTAAATTGTAAAAATTATCTAAGATCAATTAATTATTTTTTTTACGTAACATCTACATGAAAGTTTTTACAAAATATTTAATATTTTTATTTAACAAACAACATGTATATAATTAAAATATACTGATTAAATATCATATAGGTGAATTAAGTTAGCAATATTAGAATTTGAATTAAAATCATGTATATTATTTGAAAGTTGAGGATACAAATTGTATTTTATTTTGTTAGGTACTAATTTGTATTTTTTAAAATTCTTATATAAAAAATATAATTAATTCTAATAATAATAATAATAATATCTTAAAAGTCATAGTTAGAGAAATTAATTTGTTTTTAGGCAGTAAGAAACTAAGAATCAATTATCTGCCAGTTTGACCCTAGCTTTTAAGTAATTAAAAGAATACCCCTTTTTTAGCCACTCGCCTAATTATAACATCAACTATTATGAATAAAAGGATTGAGTTGCTGACTGGTTTCATATTAACTCTACAAGTTGTTCAAACCGTTTTATCTGCCTTTTTAAAAATTATATTTAAAAGAAAAAAAGGAATTTTTTAAAGATAGATTTTTTTAATTATTTTACAAAAATAACTTTTTTTGTCAAAGACAGAACACAAGTACACCACACAAAAAAGTCTTTAAAAGTTTTTTTTTTTTTTTCTCTTGTATCAGACAAATCTAAACTTGAAACTAGTTGGAGGTCAATTTAAAAAGTGGAGGAGCCCGTCTAAAGTCTTAAACCATTGAATTAGAAAAAGAGGGAAAAAATAAAGTAATTAACGAATTCAAAATTTAATTAAATTAATTTATGCATTTATATTTAAGAGATGATTTTTAATAAATTTGAGATTTAAACTCTAACATTTATAATTTTTTATTATTCTCAAATTACGATTTTTTTATACTAAAAACAAAAGTAAATAGTGAAAATTCTTTTCCATCCTAAAAGTTTGAGCTATGTCCTTTGAGATACAAATGTAAACTTGGAATGGATTGACAATGAGAAATTATTCGAGTGTTTACCAATTATAAGATGGAAATAGATTTTCTTTGTACACTTAAAATATCTTTTTATTTACATATTTTGAGCTCAATTGAGATTAGGGTTAGCACAAAATTTTCAATTCAAGCCTGCTGCTCCTCTCTTGCATGTATGTATATGGAGGGGAAAAAAAAATTGCAAACTTTAATTTTTGTTTATAATTTCCTTGGTTAATTTACTTTTCCAACTATTTGCCAAAATTTCAAGTAAAACATCAATTCCTTGCTTAAATTCTTCTTTTAATAACCCATAAAATGGAATGCCAGACAAAGGTCAGAAATTGGAGGATAATTACAACAAATCAAAAAAAAAAAAAATTGTAGACAAATATAATCCATTTGAAAATGAAAAGGAAAACTCAAGTTTGAACAACTTAATTTAACTTTACTATTTTTTTTATATAAAAGAGATCGTAATTTATGAATAAAAAAAAATTATAAATTTTAAATTTCTTGAATATCATTTTTTAAAGATAATTAAATGAAATAATTACATTAAATTAGAGTTCACTTTATTTATTTTTTTGCCAAAAGCAAATTTTGACTTCTTGCTGCTTGTTTTTTTCCAATCCATTATCTATAATCACATTATTGCACATGATTCTTGCTTTATATTGAAGTTATTAAATCACCAAAAAGGATCTTTTAGAGATTATTATCTGTCATTTGGGCCATAGACTTAATCTATTGACCAATAAGTTCCAACTAATCTAATCTTTTTTTTTTAAAAAAAATAATATTCAAAAACAGTTGAAGTATTTTAAAAAGAAGATTCATGAAATAATTTAGGTATTAATAATTGAAATTCTTGATTATGTTTTTTGTAATCAAAATCTTAGTTAACCAAAGGATCGTGCAACTAATAACATTTAACTCAATGATAAGTACGTATATTATTACTTAACAAAGAGTCGGATTTAAATTAATTTCCTTCTCAAAAAAAAAAGGAAACTATGATAGTTATTCAAATATTTTTATCAATGGGAATACATAAAATTAACAAAATGATTTTTTCATATAGGGATTGTGCATGCTTCATTATATAATATAAATCATTAAAAATACAAATGTATATTATTCTTCCACATGCAAATCATTAAAAGAAATACCAATATTGTTGTATATAAAAAAATATATACATTTAATCATTGAATGATTAGTTATTTTATTAGATCAATAAGAATATGTACAATCTTTTATTTTGTTTTTTTTTTTTTGTAGTTAAATATATTCTTTTGAAGATACAATTATGATTAAATATTATATTCATATAATTAATTAAATAATTAATTAATATATCATAATTAAATTATAATCATTGAATAATTAATTAACAAATTAAAACATAACTAAACAACTAAAATCACATATAATAAAACTTAAACCTAAAATCTCAAAATTTTAAAATCTCTTGCTTATCACTAAATTAAGGTATCATTAATTATAGTATTAAAGTTTGACCTAACCCTAACCTTAAAGGCTTGAAATTAAATTTATTAAAATATTAAAAATATAAGAAAATATTAACATTTTTTAATCTTCTAACTCAAAGTGGTTTGTAGGCTATTGCTTTGATTTATATATATATATATATATATATATATATATATATGCTTGTCTAGATTAATATTTCATTAGTAAAACCAGCTTAACCCTAATCTATATTGAGCTTTGAAGATCGAGTTTGGTTTAGAATCAAAATTTTTTTTAATAAAAGTCTAAAAGTAAATACGAATCAAATGGATAAAGTCATCATAATTAATTAATTTATATATTGGTTGAGTGGGGCTGAAAAATCAGTACAAATCTAAAAGCCCCTTTTTAAATTAAAAAAAAAAGTATTGTGAGTAATTGAATTAAATTAGATCATAAAAATTCAATTTCATCAATATAATTTAATTTCAATTTTATATTAAAAAATTCAAATACTATGATTCGGTTTAGTAAATATTTTCCAAAATTGTAATCAAATTTTTTTTTCCAAGATCCAAATTTAACCAAATAATTAAGATAGATATCCCTAAATAAATTAGGAGAAAAAAAAAAAAAGAGAGGAGTGAAGTGTTTTTTAGGCAAAGTTAAGGTAGTTGAACTCTTGAAGGGAAAGAGAAAGTACAAATTCCCAATTGCAATTTGAAGTCATAATCCTACTTATTTTCTGGTGTTGAAAGAATTTTTTAAAAAATAATTGTAGAGAAGGGAAAATAATCCAAATTTGTCTTTATCAACCAATCCATTTTTTTAATTAATTAATTAATTATCATTAAGTTATATAATAAGAATTTAATAACAAATCTTTTTTAGTTAGAAAGTCACTTAAAAACATAAATTTGACCCTTCAACCAATGGCTACTGTTTAAAGATAATGCCATATAAATTAATATTGTTATTATATGAGGAAGAATCCCTAACAAACCAACCAGGTCAAAACGACAGCGCACCAACTTCATGATACCTCATTATCTTGGGACCCATGGACCTAAGCCAAGTCGTTCCAAACCCACCTCAACTTTGCCTGGCTTTTTTAGGCTAATTTTCATTATAATATATATATATATATGTACATGAAATTATCTGAATTTTGATTATTAAAATTAAAATTTAAAATTTTATCATGAGATCTTATGATTGTTGACTATAAAAAATTAGAAAAAAATATTAAAAAATTATCTTATTTTGACTCGTATTTTAATTATTCGATATAAATCAATTATATTTATTCATTTATCCATTTATATTAACGTAATAGTGATGATTAATATTTTATATTGAAAAAAATTCATAATGTAACTGAAAAATATTAGCTTGCTAAGTTAAATTAACCCCTAATTATAGATAAAAAGAGTATGATGTGATGGATTAAACAAAGGGTGTGGATGGGGTCCTTTTCTCATCATAATTATTAGATTTATATAAAGATAGGAAGCCTAAAGCCATCTTGGTATTTAAGCTTGCCTTTTGCTTTCATATGAGTTATTATTATTTATTTTCTTGAAAGCAAAGAATCAATCCCTTACCATGTGAAACATAACTAAATAAGAGGGTTGGCCCTACTCAATACATATACAAGAGTACCATAGTAAATAAATAAACTATTATCATTTTTAGAAAATACCTTCTTCTTCTTTTTTTGGCTTTGGTTTTAATTTAATGTCTATAAGTTATTTTTCTCAAATCCTTATATAAATTTGACAAAATTATATCTCCTTAATTATTTGTTCTTTTTCTTAATAATGTTGAAAACGGCAGAAATCTTAATATTTAATTTGTTAAAGTTATAAGTTGATATTGAGGATTTGAGACCACATGAAAGGCATGAAATATCATATGATTGAAGATCAATTAAACATTATATAAATAGGAAGAAGAATAGCATTACATATAATAATGAGTTTCTTGTGGATTATCAAAAACAAGCAACTCTTTGCATTATCAAGGAAGTAAAAATCAAGCCATGAATTAGATAATAATTTCTTTTGCTTTTCTATTAGTAAATTTACATCAAGGAAAAGGTGTTTTTCTTTTTCCATGATTGGACAACCCGAAGAGTCTCATTGTTATAAAAAATCTCCAAGCAATTCCACCTCTGCAAATTTGTTAGTTTTTAGTTGTTGGCCAATCTTATTCATTTAAAGAAAAAAAAAACCCATCCTCTCCTCAAAGTCCTCTAGCCTACCATAAAACACCATTTCAAGAAAACTTAAAAAGGGGGAGACATCAAGGTTTTGCTTGTATGCTTCTCTGATATAGAGAGGCACTTTGGTGAGACACATATTTCATGCTTTTCTCTCTCTCAGCAATGGAAGAAAGACCAAGAATTCAAATGGAGAAGGCAACCAAGATCATAAGAAGATCAATCTATAGCTTCCTTCAAAATTATCAGTACCTTACTGCAACAGCTGCACTTGTTGCTTTTCCCTACTCAGCCTCAATTCTCCTTTCACAGCTCTTTGTTCCCTCATCCCCTCTCTTGCCATCAATTCATAACCGTCTCAGGATTCTTTTCCAGGCTGCAGGGTTCCCTTCTTCAGAGTTTTTTACTGTCCTCAGTTTCAAGATTTCCCAAACCATCTCTTCCTCTATCTTTGCACTTCCTTTGACCCTCTCTTTCCTCCTCATAGCCAAGGCCTCCATAATTCAACATCTCAACCACCATAAACCAAACTTGCCACCTTCCTTTTCTTCAGTTTTATCCCTTTACAAGCCTCTCCTGACTACACACATATGCAATTTCCTTTTACTCCTCTCCGCAAATGCAACAGCCTTCTCACTGCTATTTTTTGGCTTCAATTTTCTTGAAGGATTTGGATTCTCATCCCCAAACTGGCTCCTCTTTCTGTCAGCTGCAGGGGCTGTTCTTTATTCCATCATTGTTGCCAATGCCCTTATAATATGCAACTTAGCATTGGTTTCATCAGGAATGGAAAGATCTGGTGGATATTTGGCAATTCTCAAGGCTTGTGTTCTGATAAGGGGAAGAACCTCAACTGCTTTAATATTGGCTGTACCTGTCAATCTGATTCTGGCAGCTATTGAAGCCCTGTTCCACTACCGCGTTGTGAGAGCTTATCACACTGGTGATATGATGAGCAGCTTTCCAATGGCTTTAGAAGGGGTTTTAATTGCTTACTTGTACTCCACATTTTTAGTTCTTGATACTGTTGTCAGTTGCATGTTCTTCAAAAGTTGCAAGACAGGTTGTTTAGTAGACCAGGAAGGAGGGTATTCTTACAGGATTGAAATTTCAGAGGAATATGGCAATGCTTATGTGAAGTTGAAGAATATTGAAGAACTGCCATAGAAAACGTCGGAAGAAACAACCAGGGATCATCAAATTCTTTTCTTGAATTTCAAAGCAAAAGAGAAAAACATTGCACATATAAGTTCATACAAATAATGTTTGTATTCAAGATTCATTTCTGTTGCTTGAAGAGAAACCAGGCAACTTCTGTGAGATAAAGATCCATATATGGGATATAGACTCAATAGTCAAGAAGCAGAAAGAGATTTTTTTTCTCCCTTTTTCATCCCTTTTAAAATTCTAATATTTTGTATTGGAATTTGGAAACTACTGTTCTTGTATCATGTATGCTCTGTAAACAAAACTAAATACTGGAAAAAGAAGAATGGAAATTCCATATTACAATGTACACAGCTTGCCATGATGAAGAAAATATGAGATCTCAGAAAAGATCAATTTAGCTCTGATCTGGGTTAAAATAATCTAGTATGGACAAATGAAACTTCATGGATTTTCTTATTAGTCAAATATTTGGACTTGGTGGAGCAAAAAATATGACAGGAGAGATGAGAGCAGCAGATATGAGATAACTTTTTTATTCAATGTTGTTGGAATATGGCATATTAAGGCAAGTGGATTTAACCAACTCTTGCTGACTTTGTACAAAATTGAATCGTTTACCATGGTTGAGGACACATTGGCATTGGTTTCTATTACATGGTCATTAGAACTTGATCAAGTCAATCACTCCCTGAGGTTGACAAGAAAACTAATAACATTGAAATGTTCTCCATTGACCATGTGAATCATCTACGAATGGAATCTTCTGAATCAGGATAAAGACAACGAATTGTAAAGATTTCCATTTGAATGGTTAAAAGAGGAGAGAGGGAACAGTTAATTTCATGAATTACTTCTTGAGGTATCAAAATGGAAGATAGCAAAACAGTTTACAAATCGGCAGCTATATTCTGGTGCTATATTACAATTACACTAAGAAAGCCCCTCTTCTAATTTTGTCTTTTCTAAAACCTAACAACCTATCCAATCTCTTCTATGGTGGGCTACTGTCAAAAATCCCAATTTTTTCAGGAATGGAAACAAAAAGAAAAAGATTATGTTACAAGATAAAGAATTGAATTCTACCGTAAGTGGATGGTTAGAGCTTTGTACACTACACTTTTTCATGGTACATTGCGACTTTTTGGCTTTACAATCCCACAGGCATCCGCTCAGGTGCTGAAAAACACATGCCAAAGGAATGGCAGAAGCTGAGAAGAAATCGCCTATCATTGCGAAGTGCTGGCCCATCACTACAAATTCCCCCTGAGAATAATGCTACAAGGACCATAGCAGTGACCTTGATAACTTGCATTCAGAGAATGGCGGAAGCTGAAAAGAAATCGCCTATCATTGCGAAGTGCTGGCCCATGACTACAAATTCCTTCTGAGAATAATGCTACAAGGGCCATAGCAGTGACCTTGATAACTTGCATTCAGAACCTCTGCTACTTGGTTGTGATCATAACCACTCTGCTTAGAAGCTTGGTCCATCAGATTTCTACGCCATAAAACTCACTCATCATTCACAGTAATGGGATCGAACATCTTCCCATAAAAAATGTCTCCTGAAGCCCTATGCATGGTTCATGGCCTGGAAGCCTCCAGGACAAGGCCCTCTCACCTCATTTACAACATCTCTGGAGGCTTAAAATTGAACCAATACCAGAGAATATGAGGCATCTCAACATTACTCAAAGCAGCATTTCCTGTGTCATTCAGTCAAACTCTTTAGCACAGACGCCTGCTGCTTGCAGAAGCATATTACCTTATAGGTAGAGAGAAACTGATCCTCAACTATTTTGCACCCTTCCTTGTAAGGTTAATTCCCTTAGCATTGTCCATTTCAGCCTCCTTATCAGCTTTCTTTTTCTCCAATTCAGCCTGCTTTTTATTCTCTTCATGTGCTTTTCGAAACAACCTCACAAAATTTAAGAGTGTTGCAGTAACTGCATTGATCAATACACCGTCAGACACGACTAATTCAACTTCAAATCACCATATAAAACCAGTTTACTATGATGAAACATGTTGAACTAGAACATAGACTCTAATACATGAATATTAAAAAAAAAAAAATCTTAAAGCATGACAACTAGGTTATTTTTGGCTGTTGCTTTTACTATTCACTATCAGCTCATGATTTTGTTTCAACATAAAACCATTATGTCTAAATTGGTGGTATTTTTAAGCCATTTACTCATTATTAACCAAATATACATTTACTTTTTACCATCTGCTTTTGCTTTATAGAAAAAGTTGAGAAAGTAACAGAGACCAATTGAATAGAACCTTACAAGATCGAAATACCTTGAGGACTGTTTTATTTTGGAAAATGTTTTTCCGTTTTACAACTACACTTTTATATATATATGATCAACGAAATAAGAAATATAAAAGTTTGGAAACACTTGTTTTCTATTTGGGTTGACTTGTAAAATGGCCTCTGTCCTATTCATCTTCTGTCATGCCATGTGTCATAAATGTTCAATTATTGCCATGTCAGCTATTATCACGTCAGCAAAAAATTTTAAAAATAAAAAATAAATCTATTTTTTAAAAAAATAAAAAATTCAAAAAAAAAAAAAAGATGATGTAGAAATAGTGATCAATGACTAGACATTTATGCCACATGTTATGATTTTATTGGATATTAATGCCATGTAAGCAACTTAATTAACAATGTTAATCTGCAGTACCAAAGTGTTTGATGAAATAAAAGTTTAGGTACCAAAGTGAGAATTTTATTTCTTTAGATACCAAACTAACAAAATGTGTATAGTATAAGAGTCATTTTTATATTTAATCCATTCTAATTTTCCAAAATAACTAGACAACTATTTTAAATTGTCTTTTAACCATTTACTAAGTTTGGAAACCCTTTTATTTACCTTGTTTTATTGATCATAGTTAGAGTCAAAGTGGAGATGTAAAATGGAAAATATTTCCCAAAACTAAAAGGGACCTTACTTCCTTACATCTTTTCCTTGCCTCAATTATCCAGTCTTCACATTTCTCCATAATTTAACAAGTATTTGAATTTCCTAAGAATGACAAACACACCAAAATCACCTTTTATCCTTCTCTAGATAAAATGCTCATCCTCATATCTACTTTTTTACTTCTTCTGGTAGATTTTCCTTCTCTTTTGGACCTAACAAGACAACTTCCCGAAACATTTTGCCCATATGATGACTGATATTACTCTTTACCATTTGATGGGGGAAAAGGATAAGGAAAAAGGGGGTTGAATGGGGGGTGGAGTGTTGGACAAAAAGGAAAGAAAGATGGGTGAATAAAATGCATTTTTCTAACATTCTCATTACGCACATTGTAGATAACTACTCAGGCATAATAGGTATGGAAGGTATTACATCCAGAATCTACCTTGCTCAAAGGGGCATCGGGCAGGATCCTCACCAAAGTAGAGTGCAAGTGCATCTGCATTTCTACCCTGTCAATCAAAAAGGTAAAAAAATCAATAATAGAAGACATAACCAAAAGAGTTTGGACAAAATGAGATACCGTATGAAGAAGAATGTCAACAGTTGGTGAATTACCACCACAGAATATAGATTTGTTACGGATGCCACCTCCGTTTCAGCAACAGAAACGAATCCCTTTAGTGTCTAAATTAAAATAAAAAAAAAAAAAAACGTTAGAACAATGAAAGTATTCCCTTGACAAAAAAAAAAAAAAAGGTGATAGTGTTTTATGTAGGTAACAAAACCACAGCAAATGCTCACTCCATTGCATCAGAAAATGATATAGAAACTGATGGTGTTTCAATTGGAAAGGACTACCATCTAAGATCAGAGAACATTATATAAAGAAACTTTAAAATTGGAAAGTATTATTGAAACCATCTTTTTGTTAATGTTCCACTATTTTAGCAATAATCACTTCTTTTTGTTAATGTTCCACTATATTAGCAATAATCACTTGTGCGTCAAAGCTAATGTCTTGGTCTAACCCCAACTTTTAGGCGTATGTCATGTTTACATAACATTTCTCTTATTCTATTTTATAAAATAATTATTGTGCAAAGGGTGAAAAAAAAAAAAAAGCTAGCGGTCAATCAGACTTCATTGACAGTCAATATGGAATGTGACTGAATAAAATAGTCAACATGTGGTAAAATACAGTGTAGAAAATGCAACAACTTTGTACGTGTATGTTGAAGAACAGAAAGCAATGAAACAACTATGTACCTTCCGGAATACTTCGGACACGGGACCATCATTTTCAGAGGCAGCCAGCTCCTGCTTAACCTTTTCTAATCCCTTAATTATAGCTTGCATTTCTTCTGCTAAAGATTTTAATTGTATCTGCAAGGACATAAGGCTTCAAACTAAACATAGTGTTACCAAACTACAAACCTCATACACTAAAAGACTGATGGAAACCTTGGTTGCAGCCTCAAGACTAACAAATTCCAGGTGAAAATCTAAAAGTGCTGGTGTCTTGGCAGCTAGGACCTGAGACACAATAAAACACAGTTGAGACTCAATTCATATTGACAGTTGCTGTTTGAATCATAAACAAGTGTCCAGTAGCAATGTAACATATAAACTGGGTGAAAACATAATTCAGGCAAATCTTACAAGAAACAGAATGACCTTAACAACATCACAGAGGAAAAGAAAGTAACCAAACCTTGCAAAGATAATGCATTAGCGTCATCTTGCTGTTAGAAGCGCGAGTATCTGTGAGCTTTAGAAGACTGTCCAACTTAAACCCAACAGCAGAACCTGTATGATCGGAAAGATTTGAAACTTCATATTAAAGGAACATGCAGCAGTTGAAAATTTTTCACCAACTCAAATCTGAAAAGTTGATCAGCATTAAATGCATAAAGAACTGACACCAAACATGGAACTAGTAGTTTTGTCCAAAAAACCAACTGGAACTAGCAGCATAACGAGGGATAAAGAATTTGATTGATGCCAGCATCATGTAAACGTTCAAAATAAAAGATAAAAATGTGGAAATTGGACATTAAAGGACATAAATGCATACCCACTTAAACCTCTAGCTATTGACAAGATTGCGTTGACAATTTGCACCAGCGAAGCAATCTTCCTTTGATTTAGAATAAAAGCAGGTGCTTTTAAGGAATTACATTGCTCAAGCACTATCAAAAGAACACTATACTAGACATCTATGGAATTAGAACCCAGATAAACACCAAGACTCTGAGATACCCAGCTACTTCTAAAGTTAAAAGACAAACAAGGAACAAATATGCAAAATTCAGAAAAACATGCTTCACCTTTCTTCTGATATCCAAATAACATTTGACATTTCTTCTATCGTAAGCCTTGATAGCACATGAGGTCATAAAGTAAGCCTTAATAGCAACTATCAGACGCGATAAGCATACCATCAAGACCACATATTATGCCCTAGGACTACACAGACTAACAAGATTTCCAGTTTAAGATGCAGGAATACTGCTCAGAATACTGTAATTTAACCTCACATGCAACAGTGCAGGTAAACATAAAAGCAGGTAATATTCACATGCATGAGTCTAGACAAACATCAATTACACATGGTTTAGCTAGTAAATCTCTTCTCAACATAATCTTTTATAAGCTGCAGTTCTAGCATCAAAGACTGACACCAAAAGGAAAATTGAATATGTCACTTACCCCTTGCAGTTCCTTGGTTCAATGTATTTCCCAGATAGAGAATTTTCTTCATTATGTCCTTCAGTTTAAGGGAATTTCGAACCTAGATAACCAATACAAAAGTAGTAAGACAATGAATGAATAAAACTGCAGTCAAGTCCACTCAGCAACATTAATGATATACCTCATCACATGCAGAATTTACAGTGTTTAAGCTCCTTTTAAATTCAGAAATCTGCAGGTGGTAAAAAGTGTAAGAACACAGGTCAAAAGGGATTCAATAAAACAAAAGGGAGAAAGCAAATAAGAGATTAAGTATTAAACAGTATTATAAATTTCTCAAATCAGATTAACTAAGGAGATACCGCCAAACCTGAGAGCCGAACTGAATCTTGAAAGAAAACACTCTTAATTTTGACTCTACCCGTGGCACTTTCATCAGTTCCAAAAAGTACTGAACATGAAAAATCAAAAGCCAGTTAGGGTTTAGAAGTTTTTGGAAACATGGATCAAATGAAAGATGCAACTGGAGAAGCATCCAGGAACTAATTACTTTAGCTAGAGTTTCTTCATTAAAGAAAAAACCAGAATGACATTTATCTTGCATTTGATACAATGCTATATAATAAAATCTCTAGCGCTTTATTTATCTCAATGTTAGATCAACCAAAATCTAGTAATATAAAATAGTAAAACTTTATCTGGCCTTTCTTTCCTTTTTTTTTTCCTTTCTTTTGAATAAGCAAAGGACCCATATCACTAAAAAGAACCAAGGAAGTCCCAACAGAAGTAAAAAGCTAATTTTAACAGAACAACATAATATAAAATCAATAGCCACTTGCACTTCCATTCACTGCTGCCTATTTAATAAAAATCAGGAGTATAAAAGCCCAGGAGCTTTGTTAAGGGTAATTCTTTCCTGAAACATCCTTCTATTTCTCTTCCTCCACAAAAACCACAAAATCAAGAGGGATGAAAACCCATCAGTCCCTTCCAAGACCACACTCCTTTCCAAAGGCAAATATGTACTTTTCCAATATCTATTTCAGTCAGAGAAATAGCTATGAACTCTAAGAATAAGAATTAGAAAAAAAAAAAAATGAATGAAATGAAAATTTTACAGAACTTGATCAATAATAAATACATAACTAATGCTCCCTCTGTTTGAAAATAATGATCCGCATCACCAAACTTTCAGACAACAATCTTAACAGAATTCGCGCTCATGAAAAATCCTTTACTTTCTCAATGAAGCCATTAATGATGATATCATTACAAAATGTAATTTATAGACACACAGACAGAGACTCGAGGAAAAGGAAAAAGGAATTAGAGACTAAAGTACTCTTCAACATTGACTATAGTAAAAAACACAAGACATCAACTCTGCAGGCCTATCAGGACAAAGCTACCTTTCTTCTCAAATCCAACAGCTTCTACTGCTAGATCAACTAAGCTGCTGCTAAAATATTGAGATTCTCGCACATTGTTTCTGTTATTGCTTGTGCATCTTCCTTGATTAGGCATTTTATTTACTAGCATTACAGATTCATATTTTAATTCATAACTACACAAATTTCTGCATTTTATTTACTAGCATTACAGATTCATCAAGATTCATATTTTAATTCATAACTACACAAATTTCTCTGGCATTACTATCTTCATTAAGGAGTTATCAGGCATCGATTGTTCCAACAATAATCATAAAATAATAGTGGCTACGACAAGTATGAACTTCATCTTGGTTTACATGTCCTTATCAAAAATGCAAAAAGATAAAAGCAAATCAATGCTTAGGCACCAAGTACCATCTTTAACCTATAATTTGAAAAGAACTTGTCATGGCTAAAATGTCTCATTAAGCATAATGTCAAAGGGTCTTACATAGCATAATTTGTGAAGTTAAGAACACATATTTTTGGATTATTGAAAATAAACACTTAATTCTATACATCTAGAAATAGAAAATGTGATACTTAAACAAGGATAACTGAAGTAATATATAATATAAATGCATACATAAGTACAAGAAATTATAGTCTCCTTTTAGCACAAAAAAAGGGAGGAAAAATTAAAAGAACTTGAATAACTCACTTTGAATAGGCCAGGATATTGTATTTCATTATCATTCGAAAGCATCTCAATTTTAAAAGAAAAATCTTAAACTGGATGGCATAAGAACATTTTTATATCAGTGATGGGGGGATTTAAACCCAGCTCTTCAAGCAGGGTGATGCATGTGTCACGGCTCGAAACTTAAGCTCCGACCCATGCGGCTCCAGGACCCGGGCGTCCACTCATCCGGCATCCCAAATCAGCCTAACCGCCACGGTTCACACCCTTGTGAGGTATTGTCCGCTCTGGCCTTCTTAGCCTCACGATTTTGTCCTACAAAAGGCGTCTCACAAGGAAGAGATTGTGCGAACCCTTTTATACCCCAGTGACCCTCCTATTATATTCGATGTGGGATTCAGGACTCCTTGGGTCCGTGACATTCTCCCCCAACCAACCTCGTGACGCCCTCATCACGGAGGCTGGCCACCCTGCCTACCTCCCTAGAGGCGCTTGGTGTAGATCGAACGGTTTAGGACTGGCTCTGATACCACTTGTCACGAGTTGAAACTTAAACTCCGACCCGTGCGGCTCCAGGACCCGGGCTCTCCTATTATGTCGATGTGGGATTCAAGACTCCTCTTTAGGTCCGTGACATTCTCCCCCACCCAACCTCGTGACGCCCTCGTCACGAAGGCTGGCCACCCTGCCTACCTCTCTCGAGGCGCTTGGAGTAGATCGAACGGTTTAGGGCTGGCTCTGATACCACTTGTCACGGGTCGAAACTTAAGCTCCGACGTGTGCGGCTCCAGGACCTGGGCCTTCCTATTATGTTCGACGTGAGATTCAGGACTCCTCCTTAGGTCCATGACATTTTCCTCTACCCAACCTCATGACGCCCTCGTCACAGAGGCTGGCCACCCTGCCTACCTCCCTCGAAGCGCTTGGCGTAGATCGAACGGTTTAGGTCTAGCTCTGATACCACTTGTCACGGGTCGAAACTTAAGCTCCGACCCGTGTGGCTCCAAGACCCGGGCATCCACTCACCCGATGTCTCAGATCATCTTAACCGTCACGGTTCACACCCTTGTGAGGTATTGTCCGCTCTGGCCCCCTTGGCCTCACGGTTTTATCTTACAAAAGGCGCCTCACAAGGAAAAGATGGTGTGAACCCTTTTATACCCCAGTGACTCTCCTATTATGTTCGATGTGGGATTCAAGACTCCTCCTTAGGTTCGTGACATTCTCCCCCACCTAACCTCGTGACAAGTGGTATCAGAACCAGCTCTAAACCATTCGATCTACACCAAACGCCTCGAGAGAGGTAGGCAGGGTGGCCAGCCTCCGTGACGAGGGCGTCACGAGGTTGCAGGAGTCTTGAATCCCACATCGAACATAATAGGAGGATCACTGGGGTATAAAAAGGTTCACACCATCTCTTCCTTGTGAGACGCCTTTTGTAGAACAAAACCGTGAGGCCAAGGGGGCCAGAGCGGACAATACCTCACAAGGATATGAACCATGACGGTTAGGCTGATCTGGGATGCCAGATGAGTGGACGCCCGGGTCCTGGAGCCGCACAGGTCGAAGCTTAAGTTTCAACCCGTGACACATGCACCAACTATTGAGCCCAATGCTTGGGTGCAAAGATATTAGATTGTCAGAAATTAGAAGAACATGAAGACAAAGACAAATCAATTTTCAGAAAAGTGCATCTGTGACAGGTCAACGGAAATGCAATCATCTATCAATCTACCAATGTAAAAAACTGAAGTCCAACAATTTGACAAAGTTAGCAGATATGGTTAGAGAAAAATTTACAGACCTGTTCACACTTCCCTAGAGTCTCCTTGTCACCAGTGTAGCCCTAAAAATCACAAGAAGGGCAAATCACAACCAAAGAAGACAAACTTGTAATGGTAAATGGATTCCTACACTATGTAAAAATCAGTTCTGAATAGCTTAAAATCCGATACCAAATCTAGATATATGCTAAAGCTTTACCTTGAGAAGTTCCATTTCCTCTTTTGTTGGACAAAATTTTATGAGATTTTCCACTTGATCAACATCCAATACCGTATCATCCATTGCTAGCACTGCAGCCTGAGAAAATACATGAAGCTATAATGGTTAGTAAACAAATAAAACTGACAACCTTCAGATAAAAACTTATGAGAAAAAGGAAAACAAAAGAAGTGAGAGGGGATCAAATAATATCTCATTTTCCCCTATGAGTCCATTAATTCAGTCAGATATAGTTGAGAATCCTAAGAATTTGCATTAAACCAAAATAGAATCTGCTGAAGTACAACCACTAGCAAAGCAACACAAAACAAATAACCTTGTCGTCCTGTTCATACATATTATGGGGGAAAACTGCCATATTCAAAGTTCAAATCTATATAAATGGGAATACCATACCACTTCCTCTAGTTGTGTAAAAAACACTAATAAATCCAAGAACATGACCATGTGCAGCTTACCATCATATCAGAAAGTGGCATCTTAACTTTAGTGAGCATAATTTCAGTGTTGTTGGCCCTCCTCAAGTCAATCTACATTGCAAGAAACAAAATTTGTTAGCGATGACTTTGGAGATGGGGGAGGGGAAATAACCACCGTTATGATGGTCTTATAAAGTTCCAGATAAGTAATAAATGCATAAATTATTTAATACATTTCCACAAAGGCATCTCTTACGTCAATATCATGTTCCAAAAATTCAAAACAGCCAAACGTGAGAACAACAGGGCTATAAATAATAAAGAATGTAAATGGTCCGAAAAGGACACCCTAGCAGTTAGAACTTGAGAATTATCTTAAAGGTCTTGAGTTTGAATCTTGCGATGGGTGGGATGGGATGAATGGGATGGGAGAGGGCTACCACTCATTGTATAGCTCAAAATACTTAAATGGATGGTATAAAGAATAAAAACTTCATTAATAGCTTGAGGTTGCAGCCTTTTTGGAAAACTTCCAAGAAACAAAAAGAAAAGCATACATCATTAATTTTTTTTGAAAATAATATATCATTAATTCAAACCACAAGACAAAGATTAAAATTCCTTTTTCCCATGACAAAGTAGAATCCAAACTATATGCTTAAAATTACAAATTCTTCAATTTCTAAGAGTGCAGACCTTGTACCCATTCAAGCCCTATAAGGTAGTTTAAGTAACAGTACCACAATCACCCATAAAAAAAAATAGAAGTATAGGGTTAGTTCAGAAAAATGAAATTCCAGATTACCAGGTGGACTTTTTCCGTTTTTGATCCAACTGACTTCCGTTGCCCTCCAGATTTACCCCCTGAATCAGCAGGTTTAGGAACAACTGCAGAGAAAAGAGTCTCAAGCTCTGACACATCAAATTCTGGCGCACTAGGAGAAAGAAGGCAATGTCAGTGAATACAAAAGAGAAGTTAATAAAAGTAAAAGAGTAATGCAAAAATATGATCCCATGGAATTTTATTATAAATATTTAGTCAGAAATTTATCACTTATGGAAGTGTACTGCAGAAAAACTAAATCAATAAAAGATAAAATACATTTGAGGCTCTCCATGTCTTTGTAATTCTTCCCATAAGCTTCCTTGTATTGCCCTTGTGACCTTGCTCCAGTGCAAAGGCTTTAAGGAAGATCTCCGAGGTGCTGTAGCAGCTGCTGAACGTGATAGCCCACGCTCTCTTCCTCGCACATCAGCTGCTCTGGCACCCAACAGTGGAGGTGGAGGAGGTGCACCGCCAGGAGCTCCAGGTGGAGCTGGAGGGCCAGGAGCTCGACCTCCAGGAGGTGGCGGTGGAGGTGGTGCTCCACCTAGAGATGGAGGAGCTCCACACATAGGAGGTGGAGGTGGTGGGGGTGGTGCTCCATGTGGGGGAGGAGGTGGTGCTGGTGCTCCACGAGCAGGTGGAGGTGGTGGGGGTGGTGCTCCATTTGGAGGAGGAAGAGGTGGCACTCCATGTGGGGGAGGAGGTGGAGGTGGCACTCCATGCAATGGAGGAGGGGGTGGAGTAGGGGCTCCAAATTTTGAAGGAGGTAAGGCACCAGGCATCAATGGGGGTGGTGTTGGTGGGGCACCAGACATAGGTGGGGGTGGTGGAGGAGGTGGAGGAGGAGAAGCTCCGTGACCAGGAGGCAGTGGTGGTGGAGGGGGAGGTGGAGGTAGAGAAGGAGATGGAGCTCCACGCAATGGAGGGGGTGGGGGTGGGGGTGGCGGAGGGGCTGATGGCACTCCACGCATGAACAATGGAGCCATACCACCTTGAATTGGTGGGAGGGGAGGGGGAGGAGGAATATTACCAAGTTTTGATGTACCTACTGATCTGAATGGAGAAGGGGGTGGAGTAGGTGTTGGTGGCGGTGGTGCAGAATGTAGTACAGTAGGGGCAACTGAAGAACAACCAGACTTCCAAGGTGGTGGAGGTGGTGGAGGAGGCAACACCAGTGCAGCAGTCTGCTTATTAGAAAATGGGGAAGAGGGAGGCGGGGGAGGAGCAGCTGCCGATGTAGTTTCCAAAACCATCACAATATTCTGTACATTTGCTGCTATGTAAGATGGTGGTGGAGGGGGAGGGGGAGGTGGTGATGCAAGAGACATTCTAGAAACAGCATCTCCAGTCACTGGCAGGGGAGGAGGTGGGGGAGGTAGTATAGATGTTGAATTTTCCTGAAAGGATTGTGAAACCAACAAAGAAGATCTAGGTGGAGGTGGGGGAGGAGGAGGAGGAGGAGGAGGTGGTGGGGTAGGTGGAAGAGACACCGGTTGTTGCAGACAGGGTGGTGATGTTGGAATTATTGGAGTGGTAGATATTTCTTTTGGAGAGTCTGAAGGCTTCATAGGGTCAGCCTTCAGACTTTTTTGCTCGGATGAAACATCCTTTGGAATCACAGCTCCAGTAGAGCCCCTTTGATTGGCACCTGAATTTGATTCCTTCAAAGCCACACTACTGGAAAGTATAGGAGGTGCACTATTATATCGTGAAGGAGGATATGATACATGCATCGAATTGGTATAAGAGCCTTTGTTAGGAGGGATCCACCGAGATATGGCATTTGGCTTTGCTTGTCTTGCAGGAGGGCCCTGAGATTCTAGTTGTTTGCTCTTTGGTTTCACCAGAACAGAATCTGAAGCTGGTTTTAGTCCCAGCCCAGCCTGTTTCTTTGGAGAAGGCAGTATCTTCTCAGGTTTAGGTTTGGAAACATCAGTTTTCAACCTTTGCTGCAACATCTTAGATTCTGAATTCTTCAGTTGAATACTGTCTTCTCTATTGCCCTTATCCTCCATCTCTTCCAATTTGCCAAGCACATCCTCAGTCACTTCCTTGGTTTCTCCATCGCTCATCACATCGACAGTAAATAACACTGAATCGACCTTAATGTCTCCATCATCAACAGCTATATCTTTCACTACATTAATGTCAGAATCCATCCTCTTAGCTAATTTATAATTTACATCATCCACAGCTATGTCCTTCACTGCATTTATACTAGAATCAACTTTGACATCCTGTTTGTGATTCGCATCATCTGATGCACAATCTTGAAATGTAGGAGGATCCACATCCTCCCTGCAGACGTCTTTCTGCTCTGGCTTGTTGTCATGAACCATTGTACTGTCATCATCCACCTTTCCTTCCAGTGCATCGACTGCATTGCTGAAGATCTCTTCCACCTCGAAAAAATTCCTCCGGAGAAGCCATTTCTATCTCCTTCCCATCCTCACTCGACACAACTCTGGTGAGATGAGGGACAACAGCATCAGGGTCCGTAAAAAGTACCTGATACAAATATGAGTATGCATTCAACTCCTACAGCTTCAGAAAAGAAAAACATTCACAGATTAATAATTTTAACCTACCTCTGCTCTAAAGTCCTTAGGAAATTGATCCTTGGCATCCCACATCACATCAATCTCATCACGGTTGAGCATCAAAATATTTGCTCGAACAAATGCTGTGTGAAACATAACTCTGAATATCATCTCTTCACGTACCAAATCTTCATTTAAATGGATGCACTCAAGCACAACATCCCCTTGAATATGGCAATGTATATCTATTTTCACCAATGCACACTCTTCCTGCAGATAAACCTTATTAGAACATCCCAAATTTTGGGCAATTTATCTTTTCAGTTTCAATTGTGTGACTTAGGCATCACCTTTAGGAAGTAAGGAACTTGTTTTTTTATCTTTGGAGTTGAAAACAGAAGCTTAGAACTTCTATTGGCTGGTGTTTTGGGGTCCTGTCCATAAACACGTACAACTGGCCTGAACCCTTCTCCCCCTTCAAAGGGCGGAAGAACTCTAAGAATTAGGCAATCCAAAAATAGAGGTGTATCAGAAGGAGGCCAATCAGAACCCAAATTTCTTCTAGAAATATACTGAAGATATCTCAACTGGGAAGGCTGAGGGTTCAAAGGAGAAAGAAGCCGGAGAAGGTCCCTAGGAGCTTGCTTGTAGACCATTTCGAGAGTCTTCTGCTCACCATTGTACTGTTTCCGATATAACAGAAGACCAGCAAGCATGAAAGCGAGTACGGGCCATCCTCCTCTTTCACAGTGCATCAAAAGCACATTCTGCTGCCCTTCCAATGACAACCAGCTTTCACTCGATCGAAGGAAGTGATGTATCATTTCAAGCGGCAGCAATGGACATCCCTCATATTGCCGTGGGTAATCCATAACAGTCATGTCATACTGAGATAAAATGTCTGAAATTTGGCTCCGCCTCTCCCCTTCTCTAAAATTAAACACCATGAAAGAAGCATCGGGAAAATAGTCTTGTAGCTGAGCCACAATGCCACCCATATAAACCTTGTACTCATCTTCTTCCAATACATCCGCGGAGAAGCAACAGTCAAATACTGCAAAACAACCAAAACGAAATTGAATTAAATAAGCAATACTTATTAACCATAGACCTCCAAAAAGCAAACTATAATATGGTAAGTTCGTTACTTTAAAATTCATTACAAATGCTTACAAAAAGGTAATTATTAACTTTCCTAAAAAGGAGAAAAGCAAATTAATGTCCTCAACAAAAACATCTATATAAAAAAAACCTTTATGCATTAACAAGAGAGAGACAGCATATCAGTTTCTAAGCTCCAAGTGATTATGTTACAAAGTTCAAAAGCATATCAATTCAATGATTCTACTTTAAGGTAACTATGCCGCCCTATTTCAGCTTATCTCCTCAACAACCAAAAAATCCTCAGAGTTCCTTAATTGCAATAAAATAACCCAAAATAATCAACAAAACCCTAAAAACCACGAAATTAAGCAGTGCATTGTCCACAAAATGAATAGAAAACAAAAAATCGAGCTAAGAATTTCGAAGAGGAATATTTCCAAACAGAATCAAAGAATTCAAAAACTTGTTTCTATTGGCATTTCTCTTGGTAGGATGGAATGAAGACGATTTCGACATTTTGAACCTAAATTGAACCATAAATTAAGCAGAAGACAAATAAATAAAAAAAAAAAGAGGAAAGAAAATATTACCGTAGACACGTTCGGAGATCTCAAGAAGCCGATCCGGCGGCTTCCGGTAAAAGAAACGTCTGAACAGCGCCATCTGATGGCGCTGTTACTTCCCTGATCGGATCCAAAACCCTTTCTTTCTAGCACCACCAATCAGAGCACATCTCAATTCGATGCCCCTCTCTTTCAACAAAACCACCACAGATCGCCGATTCGGAATCTCAAATTGAATTATAATTAACCCAATTCCGACGTAAAATCAACACAATTTTCCGTCAATGCCCTCTCCAAACTCACCAAATTATTCAAATAAACGAAGCTTTCTTATCAGAGAATCATTAAAAAAATTCAAATCCTTTCCCAAAAGAAAAACGAAACGGTAAATTAGAGAGAAAGATGGAAACAGAGAGGAAAAGAGAAAAAAAGGAAATGCTGGGGGAAAATGACAGAAAGTTTGGTACAGAGAAAAATTAAAAGGAAAAAAGAAAAAAAAAGTAAGAGAGAAGTGACAGTAGATGATGAAGGTGGGGATTATGATGAGAAAAGAAAAGAAAAGAAAAGAAAAGAAATTTTGGGATTACAGAACCGAGAGCTGTAATAAAACTACGATGATTCCCTGAGTTTTGTTTTTCTTTTTCTTTTTTTTAAACCAAATCAGATGAAAAAAAAAAAAAAAAAAAAAAAGACTTGACTGAAAGGGAAATTATAATTTGGACAGTTGGACCCGGTTTTTCCTTTTTTATTCTTTTGTCTTTGTTGTTTATTGCCTACGTGTATGCCACGTAGATTTGATTACTAATACTAATTTTTTCAATTACCGCGTGATTAGGATTAATGGGGTTTAACAAATATAAATTTTTTTTGGATGTTTCAAAATTATATTTTTTTTGAAGATTTAAAATTTTTATTTTATTATATTTTAAAATTATTTTTTATTATTTTGTTACTTTTATATTAAAAATCTTAAAATTTAAATTTTATTTTAAACTCGGAAAATTTGACAAATATTTTGTGACAAAATCGTATAAAAATTTTCAGAAAAAGACATGACAGGGAAGAGAAGAGAGGGAAGGATCGTACATGTCTGGACAAAGGCGGTAACGCGTTTCTGAAAGCCGCGAGCAGTAATGGGGATACATAGATTTTTCGTTTTCTTTTCAAACCAATAAAAAAACGTGTAAAATTAGTGAAAAGCGTTAGAAGTTTTTGGATATTTTCATTTTTTTTGTTTTCTTTTAGCAAAACAATTTATTAAAATAGTTTTTCTTTTAGATGGTTAAATTAATAAAAATTAAATATTATTTATAAGATTTAAATTTATTTTTTTATTAATAATTTTTTAATTAGAGATTTACGGTATATAAATCTAATTTTTTTGTTGAAACTTAATGTATAATCTGAAAAATATCTTTTTTTTTATTTATAAATAATTTTCTCACTTATACCAATATTTTATTTGTTCTTGCCCTTTGCACTATATTTGAAAAAGAAAAATAGGAAAGAAAAAATATATGTTTATTAAGTAAAGAAAGATCATTGATTTATAAAGCCAAAATCATTCTCATTTATTTTTAATATAAAATTCGTGACAAAAAGTTTAATTGAGTGACATGATTAAATGAATATGAATTATTGAATGCTGTTATAAATATCATTTGCTGCTAGTGTGACACTAGAAATTACTATTTCATCATTAAGAAAAAGTAAATAAAGGGTCTTTGTTTTATTCTTGCCCCATTCAATTACATATAACTCTCTTTATTATAATATTAAAATTAATGAATTACAATAAAAAAAATTATAAATTATAAAATTTATTTTATGAATCTTATATAACATTAAATATGATCGATTAATTATATTATAGTAATGGATATAATGATGGTTTTATTAATTAACTTCACCATTATTATCTTGCCACGGGGCTTTCACGAAGATTCAAATATTTTTCATTAATTAACTTCTTCCAAATTTTAGCTAATCTTAGCAGTATGATATTTTTTCTTACGTATCTTTGTAAACAAGGTGTACTATTTCACGTGCATTTGATTTAATAGCAAATGCCATCAAATGCATGTATTTTTCGTTGAATGAACAAATTTGAATTTTTTTAGATTTAGAAATATATATATTTTATAAAAAATATAATGATAAAAAAATAAAAAAATTTAAGTTACGTGGCATTATATTTAGTAGAAATTTTGGTCTTATGATTGTTTACTTTACCATAGTATTTTTTTTAAATTCTTTTTGAATTGTAAAATAACTTTTATCATATTTTTTTGCTGAAGATTCTTTAATTATTTTAAATTTTTGAAATATGATAATAAATTGATCCTAAAATTAAAAGCATGATGATAAAATTATACTAAGGAAAAGATAGATGATAAGTTTAAATCATTAACATAAGTACAATTATAAATTTACACTTTATTTATAAACCTTGTAAGTTCAGTTAAAAGTAATCGTATTCACATGTTTTTATTTACTTTGATGGCTAAAAATAAATTTACGGCGGTCAAAAATTTATAGTGCTAATTACTATCGAACGGGCTCAATATTTTCACTTTTCTACCCTTGGTTGGAGAAAAAGGGGGGGGGAGGGGAACTCATCGCGTTATGTGCCCAAAATCCGAATGGTTTGATCGTCCTTTAGCGCATCGAATCACCCAAAAATCCAATTTTGTTGCTTCCCTTTGTTTGTCTCTCTCAAGGTTAATTGCTTTGCTTTCTTTGCTGCCCTGCCTTGATTTTCAATTTTTCATGCCCTTGCCCCCACACTCAACTTCAACTCCAGACATAACATACGATGCAATAATATAACACAAAAAAATAAAATAACATGAATTTAAATTTTAATAAAAATATATAATTTAATAAGAATAAAAAATAAAATTTATATTTTTATGTTAACATAAATTATAATATATATTTTTTATATAAAATATAATATAAATACATAAATTATTAATATTTTACATAATATAAATATATAAATTGATAAATCTATTTAACTCTTCACTTTGTTTTTTTTTAATTAAGATTTTTTTAAATAAAAAATAAAATTAATATCGATGAAATTAAAAATAATAATAATTATTATTATATTTATAATAAAATATTTAAATTTTAATTAAAAAATTTTAATAAATATTTTATGATATAATAAATCTAATCGTACTAAAAATATGGTGTAATTCAAACCAACCCTAAATAAATTGTTTTTGGGGAGGCTTTGTCTGTAATTATTGGCGGTACATCATTGCTAAAAGTTGTACTAGCTTACTGAATTCTCTGCTTGAAACGAATTAGATGAGGACAGGTGTCATCATTGAGTGTAAGGGAATCAAATTTGTTTTTCTAAGCCGAGAAGCATTTGAAACTTTTTGCGAAAATGTCGGCCCAAGCATTATACACAGCAATTAATATTTGCCGTTCATTGTTTGGAAAATAAATTTAGTCAAGCGGGTGGACGTAGATAAGTGGATTATATGAAAGTGGGAATGAAAATTTTGAAAGTGTTGGGAGCATCTAATTACTACTTAAATTAACAAAGCTTAAAAGCATATTCTGCGGTCGTTGGAGTTGTCCTTCACATATTCGTTAACGATGCCATTTCTTTTTACTTTTTTCCTAATCAAGAGTAACCACATTTTAAATTATGTTTTACAAAGTGATGCCTATAAAAATTTGCTAATTAATGCTTTTAAATATAGATGACAATGAATCAGATCAGATTAGATTCAAATTAATTATTTTGATTAATACATAATAATTTAAATTTTTAAAAATTAATTATAATCCAAATTTAATTTTTTAAAATATAATCAATCGAAACTAATTTTTATTAATTCATTTTTTTTTGTTTATCAATTTTTGAAAATTAATTTTTGAAAATTTTGTTATTATTTTTATATCATTTTTAATTTTTTTTAAATATATATAGCATAAAAATTAATAAAAAATATAATTCAATTTGATTTAAATATTTTAAATTCTTTTATTACAAATATTATTTGGAGTACATAAATACTCACGATTATGTATGAATATTCCGCAAGTTCTCTTACATGGTCTTTTTGCTTTTTAAGATATATTAGACAGTGCAACTTTATTTTTGTTTTTTTACCTTTGCTGTAAATTGGTTCTTTTACTTTCAAATAATATAATATAATAATAACAATAACAATAAACTAAATCTCATATCTCATAATTTTGAAATTAATTTTCAAATAATAAAATATAAATATTAATGTCAATTTAAGGCAAAAAGATAAAGTTGTTGTTAAAACAAGTAACTAAATTTTTTAAAACAAATCTTATTATACTTGCATTAAATTAAAGAGTATGATTAAGAAGTAAGTTGTTATGAGCACATAGCTTGGCTTGGCTTAAGCCATAAGAGAACAGTATATTATTCATATTCACGTGTACACACGTGTCTTGCAGCAGAGAACAGTATATTATTTTTTTAAGTATTATTTATTGTATTATTATATTATATTTAAAATTATCATATCTATTTTAATCTCATAATTAAATTTTTTTAGTACATGATAAAAATATCATGCTATGTGATTATATGAACCTTCGAGTTGACATAATTAAGAAGTTGTTTAGTGATAATCCCAACAATAATTCCTTCTAATCAAAGCACCGTTACCGTTGAAGGAATCTGGTGCCCTTTCATCTCGTGCTCGGTTGGATAATTTCTGATCAGGATCCACGTGGCTGGTTCTCACCCATCAGTCAACTAGTGAGCATAACAAAGCCAACATGATGGACGGTTGGTTACTGATGCTGGGATTTCATTATTCATAGCCTTAACCAAATCTCAGTTGTCAGTTTCATTTGTTTGGTGAAGTAATTATGTTAACCTAATGACCTTTATTTCAAGTATATCTACCAATTTCATTCTCATTGGCTAATAATTTTTTATCATTATTTCGAGGAACTTGCATAATTTTCGGTTTGCCCAGCCCATGCATAGTTACATATTTTCTCAACTCTTTTTTATCAAGAATATCCAAATGATTTTCTCATCTGCTTTTTTCAATTAATAAAAAACATGCATTTGGCTTAATGTTATGTAAAAACAAGAGATCAAAGTTCAAATTATATTTTTACAAAAAAAATGAATAATAAATTGATAAAATAAACCCTAAAATTGGTTCAAAGATTAGTTTAATCCGATTTTTATCCAAATCTTAACTTTTGTTTTATATCTTTTATTAAATTGGATATGTCAATAATTCTCGATTCAATCAATTTAATCGATCAATTCAATCAAGATTTTCAATCATTGTATTTAAGTGAAACTAATTACATTTCAAAATAATCCTATTTTAACCAAATCTTAACTTTTGTTTTATTTCTTTTATTGAATATTAACTTTTCACTATTATTAATTTTTTGTTTTTACTTTTGTAATTTTTTTTATATAACGAGACTGTAATGTGGACATTAAAAAATTATAAGTGTAAATATTTGAATATTAAATTTATTAAATGTTATTTTTTAAAAAATAGTTGTATGATCCAACTAAATTAAGATTTAAATTATAATTAATACATAATATTTTGGTGTGACATGGAAGAATTATTCATATTAAAATAACAAATTAAATAAATTTGGCAATGAAGAATATGTTAGGTTTGGTTAAATATTCGATCCATGTAAAAGAAAAAAAATTGCTACTATTTTGATATGTGATTATCCTTCATATTTAATGATTTATTGATCAATAATAACATTATGATTTTCTAATTACTAGAGGGTAGAGATATAAACCCTTTTCTCCATTCATGTCCAAAGTGAAAGAAAGTGCTTTTTAAAAGTTCTTTCAATACAGTTTTTCTGTTTCAATTTAAAACAACATATTAAGGCTCAATTCGGAGGCCTTTTTTTTTTTTTTATAAATTGCATCATGGAGTGTATTGGATAGATAGCACCTCATAGTGCAATTGAGTCTGCCATCATTCCAATTGGCAATTGGAGATTAGAGCAAGAAAGATCCAATGATTCATTGAATTTTAGGGCAATTGGTTGTTTTAATATAGAATTTAAATAGAAAAAATTTTCAATTACGAGAGTCTGACAATCTTTTATAATTTCATTGTCATCGTTACATTTATATTTAAATACATTTTTTTTGTTATTTATTTTAATTTCACTTATATAATAATTAATCTCATTATTAAAATTATTTTTTATTTCTCTTAAATGTGAAGATTTACATTCAATTTAAGATATATTATCTGTTTTAAACCGAAAATTTTATAGTTTTGTTTCACAAATCATGTAACACTTAATTTTCATTATCAAATGAGGATCGTTTTAATACCATTTATGAAAATTGTCACTCAACTTAAGAGAATTGTTCATTTTAATTCAAAAATTTTACGATTTTATCTTATAAAAAATATCTCATAAATTTAAATTTAAATATGTATATCATATTATATCTATCAATTTTTTTAATATGAAATTGGAGGCGTTACACTAAATCAATCTTATTGTTCAAAATCTAAAATATTTTATATTAATTCCATTTATATTTTTAAAATAGGGTTGTAACAACTACATAACTTATTATACAAAACTTCACAAAAATATTAAAAAAAAAAAAAAACCTTCCCCACACTTTCCTCTCTGCAAAAGTAAAGATGATAACAACATAAGATAAGAAACCAAAGCGCATCCATTTTCCCCCTTTTTATAAAGACACATTGGCCCATTAGACCCTTTCCCACTCTTATCACTGCACTGATCATGGAGGCCTTTTCCCCACAAACTTTCAAATACCAAAAACACCCTTTTTCCCCCATTTTTCATAACCTCATAAATCAATTCAAATCATCCCATACCTTGCTTTTTCTCATAGTGATTGAAACTGAAGTTTGTGTTATCCCATATGAATTTAACCTTCTCCAAACTATGCTGCAACTTCTTACTGATATGCCAATATTTAAGGAACTTTGTCTTAACAATTTTCATAATTAGATTTTATTTGTTTATTTTTCAAATTTATTGAATATAATTATAATAAAAATAGCAATTCATATCATTCAAAATTAAATTCAGTTAATTCATACTAAATGTAATATTCAAATTTTAACCTTTATAATTCTTTTTCTATTCTTAAATTACAGTTTTTTTATAAAAAAAAAATCAAAATCTTACTTTTATATAATAAAATATTAAAATCTTATTTTGTTTCTTTTGAGAATCAATTTAAATATTATCTCTAATAATAATTATTTATTGACCAAAACAAGAATTGTTCTCCAATCTAAGAGGAAAGGACAAAGCTTGTTATGGGATGTGACTTCCAACTAGGCCAAGGCTGTGGCTCATACCAATCCGTTGGAAGGAGGCATGCACTTGCATGTATCAACTGCTATGGGAATACATAGACAAGGTCTGGGTCTGGGGTCCTTATCTTTTGAAAGCAAGTTTGCTACTTTCGCTCTCATTTTTTTCCCTTTTGGAGCCTAGCTAGAAATTCATGCACGAAAGGTTTTATCATCAAGTAACCAGATCACAACTAAACTAGTAATACTCCATCCAATTGATACTGTTTTTAGCCAAAGAGACTTAGTTTCAATGGTAGGAAGGAGAATCTTATGTTTTTAAATATCGAGTTCAAGTTCTATTATATATGAGTTTAATCTAATTTTATGTTGATTTTATTTGATTTGTTTGTTTCTTAGTTTCCTTCTTAGTTGCAGTATTGATATCAATTTGTACATAAGCAATAAATAAATAAAAAATAAAAACAAGAAAAATTAAAATTGAAAAGTTTCCCTTGTTTAATCATGCCATAATAAAAGTTGCTAAAGCTTTGTTTCTGAACTAACACTACTATTTTATGTGGCTCAAATGAAAAATTGGATGGAGGGTTGGATATAAAATTGCAGATGAGATGAGGATTTCTCAGCTAGAAAGCCTACTAGCCTACAATTCTACTTTCTGTACCACTGAGCCCAAACTTTGGCGTTGGATCCCAATAATGGATTGGCAGGCCTCTTATTTTTTTGAAACTTATAGTATTTAATTTGGTTTCAGGATTGGCTAGCCAACTTTTTGCACACCCATTCTGTTGATGTCAAATGGGATGGGACTGGGATTGCTCAGATTGGTGACATACAGATTAGAGATGAGGTAGCAAAGGGCTACATGTACACCCCACAGGGTTGTGCTGTTTTGGGTATTCGGATATCGTCTTAGGGTGCCCAGAGCCATTATGTGCATGGGTTATTGGGTTATAGCACATTCCACTATATTCACGGAACCGAACAGCTGACATATACAACAACATTGTGTAATGCAGATCCTTCTGATCGAGATACCAAATAGTCCTAGAAGTCTACAACTTCTTGGTTTAGCCTTAGTTTTTGGAGAAAAAATATGATTTTCACAGGTACTGTAATAAAACACAATGATCTTTTTAGGCTATGCCAAAACTTAGAAAGAGAGCCTGGGGAAGAAAATGGCAAAGAGAAGGAAACATCCCGCTGTTATTCTAAACATTTTCAGTTAACTACTTGCCAAAGGCAAATGATCACTTTCTGTCGCACTTTGGGCATAATCTAGAGAGTCGAGTCTTGTAAGAGGTCCTAAAAGACATATGTGAATATAGATGCATGCTCCCCGTGACTAACCCTTTCTGGCCATGACTTGGTCCTGACTCCCCACATTTGACATTTTCCAAAATCCATTCTTTAAGACTTGAAAAGATTCCAAACAACCAACAAAGTAACACTGAAATACAGTTATGAGAAAAGAAAAGCCAGATATTGATAAGCCTTATGAACCATGAACGTGTACAGGACTGCTTACAATCAATTGCTATGAACCTATACATAGTGGGGTCAGATTTGAGGAGGAGAAAGTAAGGAAACAAAAAGGAAGTGAGAACAAAACTTCAATTGAAAGGTAAAAAATATAATCATGGTTCTTTGCAGAAAGGGACTCAGCAGCCACCCAAGGGCCCTTTTCCTTTCCCACTTTCTTTAGAGCTCTAGGAATTGTACATGCAGCAGTACCATCATATTGTAGTCTCTCAGTTTCATTCTTCACCGCTCTTGTGCAGAAGGTTCAACATGATGTTGTTATAGGCATGATTGATGGGCATGTCAGCCAACTTACTGCTTTTGCCCTTGGAGTGGAGGATCCTGAATGACTGCCTCCGGCCAGAAGCTTCTTCTTACTCATCCCTTAGACATGAGAGTATCTGAAGATTACTTCCCATGTTTTTTACCTGCAATGCAAGTTATTAGCATAAATAAATAATTTTGGCCTGTATAATCTTGTTCAACAACATGAACTTATTGAAAAATAACTCTAGGGCGAAAGGCTTGCAAGTATGTACAGCTTTCATCATTAATCAAGTTCAGTCTTATGGTTGCTTTAAATGGTATTTAAGTCAACATAAAGTGGTTGAGAAGAAGGGAAAGTTATAACACCAATAATAGCCATCATAAGTGTAAATAATTGTCTAACCAGATTTTGTCCCCCACACAGTTAATTGCCTCGCACTTTATTCATTTAATGGACTGAAATCCATTGCAAGTAAATTCAAGTAAATCATAAAGCCAACAAAACTACAAGAGCAACAGGACTCAAAGGCAGGCAAACCAATAGGGCTGGCAATAGAAATCATTTATTAAACAAAAAGAGATTGTTACTAAAGTAGTTTCTGTTTTTATTTTTGTACCTCTTTGGAACCATGATTTTCTAATTGCTTGGCGGATTTGACGTTCATGTCGTTCTAGGAGTTCATCAACTCTATGTGATTGAGACAACAAAGGACCCGAAAATTCAACCTTGTCCCCTTCATCTTGGTAATCCTGTCACAATAATAATCATAATTTGATCAATATAGAAGTTCTAAAGAAATTTGATGTGATGATGTCTACCGATTTGAGTTTAGGGACATAGATAGAAATGAGTTCTTTTTCTTTATTTGCTTTTAGTTTTAACATGAAAAAATAAACAGGATTGCATCTACAAAAGCCACATTCTTCTCTCTCTGTGTGCTGGGTATGAAAGGCACACTATAATAGGTAGTTTTCTGTTTCATTTCAGAAAGGAAGTTTTTATAATTTATAAAACTTTATTGAAATTTTTTATGCTTCCATTTATTTATAATAATATTGTCAAAAGTCAATTTCACAATAGCATTTTAATTGTGATGTAGTGGCTACTACAGCAGTGTAAAGCTAAACTTGTAAAACCTCCAATTTATTAAAGATCAAAACTGTCACCCAACAATTTTTTTTTATATTTTTATTTTTAGAGACAGATTTATTAAATTTCAAAACAAAATATTTGTTACCAGAAAATGAAAAAACTAAATGGATGGAAACTCATATGCTACAGTAATCCAAGTTCAAGGAGAGTAATTACTTTCAGCTCTTCAAGTTTTGAAGTTTTATTTAAGTTTCCATTTTTTTAGTTTTATATCGAATTCAAATCACTTTAAATCTAGATGATTTACATAATTCTTCATGCAAAACTGAATAATTGATGTCATGTGATCTGCAAAGAAGTTTAAATTAGATGTCAAGAACAAAATTTTAATATAATTTCTGGTTCTAATATTTACAGACATACCAAATTATTTCTCTTGGCTGCCATTTCCTCTCTTTGATAAAGTGCCAATGATAGCTCTTGTGAGTGGTATCCATCAGAAGCATCAAATGAATCTGGGCGTTCAAACTGGTTCCATTGTTTCTGCATAGCACGCTTGGCAGCTTCACATGAATCATAGCCTCTAGAATCGGTGCGAATTCCATATTTTACATCCCCATTTTCATGTCGTTTTGAATCAATATTATTTCGTGTATGTACTTGAGCAGAAGGTTCTAAAGAATTAAAAATGTGACCTCTTGAGATAGATCTACAGTGTGATCTTACGGATGCATCATTTGTTCGCCTTTTGGCCCATGCAAAGCCACTTGATGTAGAAACTTGTAATGGACCAGAAAATGGAATATCACCTTGGGATGCATGCTTTAAATGGGCAGCCTCTTCTAGTGCATCAGTAGATGGTTTTGACACTCCCTCACTGATAGTAGCATTTCTTTGCTTTGAGTTAAGGACATGTTTACCATTAATTTTCTGAGAACCTCGACTCTGTGCAGCAGCGGCAACATCCTGCATGTAAAAGAAGTTGTATAGAAAATTAGTTTTGTGGGCAACCATACTTACAAATATAAGGGGACGGGGAAAAGAGGGAGAGAGATAGACAGACCTCAACTGGAGCCAATTTACTTATTCCATGGAGTTTTCTTATTGGCTTTCTTGTTTCAGGCCCACGAACTCTTCCACTTATCTTTTTCCTGAGAAGTCATTGACACATATTCATTGAAGTTGACATCAAACAGTGTTAAGTGGTATATATGTGCATATCTGGTAGAATTTGCAGATGATGATCATTGGGTAAGTACTGTAACATGCATGAGTTGACTACATATTCTCCCAAACCTCAGAAAAAGAAAAAGATCAGGTATACAAACATCAATGGAGCATTTCCATGTTTCATGGAAGCAAATCATTCTATGTCTGTGGAGATTTACAATAATAGGGGTAGCTATCTTAGAAACTAATGATACTACTTCCTGTTAGATACTTACCCTCGAATATGAGCATGCAGGTGGTACAAAGTTTAGGCTTGTGCATTTAAATGATATGATACCTTCCAAAACATATAGAAAAACATAATTTTTATCCGGCATCCAGCTGACAAGGAAAAAGGGAAAATTTGGGAAAATATAGGATGGACATCATATGCAACAGTCTAATTCAATGCAGATAGACTTAAAATGGATATGAAAGAAAACAGAAACAACAAGGTTACAGGTTCCAGTAGGCAGAACGCTACCTAAATTAATGTCTCTGTAGACACATTTTTAACAAAGTTCTCACCTCTTTGCCTCTTCACGATGTTTTGCATCTATCTCTTTGCTAGGTGGATATACTGGCAAGCTTGATGGATCACAAGCATAAGGCTTTGTTGTGAAATACTGAAAATTGTAGATTAAGAATCAGAATTATTGCAAATGATGGAACATAAAGCTAATTAGAAGTATAAGATTTGCAAAAGCATGCACATAACACTGGATATTGCATGTGTCATGTTTTCTAAAGAAAATGCTAGCTGATATATAAGAACAACAAAGACATATTGAGACAACTTCAAACAAAAAGGAAGTGACATAGAACTGCCACTAATAGGTAAGTTACTTCACAAACAATATCCAGTTTATTAAGGAGTTTAAATGATGTTATTCCAAATTTGCTAAGTTTGGTTAGTTCTGGCCTTATATTCAACTTGGGCGTCTCCACATGCTGCTTATAGATGTTATGATGGATGCTTAACATGGTACTGAAACTCAGGTTGTTTGTTGCCATACTATGGATCAAGGATACAGACAATGTACACATAAACACCAACAGACACATTATTTCACAAAAGATAAGCCTAAATACCTGATCTCATTCCCTTATTTCATCCCTCCCAAATGAAATTTTCAATCCATAGCAGCCCACACCCTTACACCAGTAAATTCTTCTCTGCCATAGCCACCCCTTAACCAGCATACTCTATCTCCCTCTTCTGCCAAATACTTTCCCTCTCTTAATCTTCCCCTTCCTCTCTATTCTCAACACAGTAACAAGAATAGCCAATTCTCCATCAATTCTATTTTGGCAATCAGCCACTGCTGCCAGAAATCACCCAAGGCCCAGGCATATGATGATAGAAAAGCCCTTCTCCTGTGCCTATTTAATGTCCTCGTTACATATTCCCTTATCTGGATCTTTTCCGTTTGGTGTCTCATTATGTTTGATACAAATCCAATCAGTTTAGGGTATGTTCAGTCAGACACAGTTACAATACAGACACAAAGCGGGATATCATGTACCCCTGCTTCATAGTTGCCTCATCAGTTAGATGATAAGTTGTTTGTTGCCCCAAATTTCTTGTCTATGTCATAGGCCATTTGTTTCATTTGTTAGCACAGGACCTAAATGCAAGGGTGTATAGTGGTGTTATCTTAAGTTCTTACTTAAATTCAGCATTTGTCGCAACCTTACATTCAAGTTGGAGTACTAAACCTATAGTCAATTAATATCAGATTAGATGCTTAACATGGGTGAACAACAAACTACAATTTCGAATAAGAAATGATCACAAAGCGATTTTGTATAATTACCTCTGATGCAAGAGCAGACGAAGCCGTCCCACGCTTGTATGGCTCCACTGAAAGCAAAGTTTCTATTAGGTTCACAGCTGTTGCTGGCAAATCTTTGAAAGTCTCCCGAAGACAACAATCATAAGGTTGTTGTGGTTTGAATAGAGTTGCATGAGGAAGTCTGGATTTTTTCCAGTAATCATCAGGTGGGGACCCACAGAGCTTGAAAATTTTATGCAGTTGTTCGACCTGTGCAAGAACAACATTTTGTCATTTGTCTGAGATATGTATATCAGCAAAATGTTATCATAAGGACCACCAGAAAACAATGAAGAGATTGAAGAGAAGCAATGATTATCAGACAAAGCACTCTCATATAGAGTTTTCTAATCAAATTTCTAAGACTGATAGTGTAGAAGCAATACTCAAAACAATTACTCAATAAAAAGACACAGAGGAATGGCCTTTCCAGAGACTCTTTTTGGCACCATATTGATTCCTAGTAGGATTTCCTATGCACTGTGAAACTTGTTCTGTTCTTGCAAGTAATCCTTTTCCTTATTATGATGAATCAATTATTGTATACCGGCTTATCCTAGTAATACAAGTCATTTCCACTGAAATTGTCCTTTTGTTTCTTTATAAAAGATCCTTAAATAGTCTTTGATGATATTAAAATTACAAAATGAGTATAATGTAAAAGGAATGTACTTTTGCAAGGTGCTTACCTCTGTTCTACCTTGCAGGATAGGTTTCCCAAGAAGAAGTTCAGCAAAAACACAGCCGACACTCCAAAGATCTACAGCTGCAGTATAATCTGTAGAACCCAACAAAAGTTCTGGGGGACGGTACCATAAGGTTACAACACGACTGGTTAAGGGTTGCCTGTGCACAGAACCATAGAAGTTTGCCAAACCAAAATCCGCCATCTTTAGGATTCCTTCATTATTTACAAGGAGATTTGATCCTTTAATGTCCCGATGCATTATACCCCGTGAATGGCAGTGATCAAGTCCAGATAACAACTGCTTCAAATAGCATTTAATCTACAAGACAAAATCAATATTCATCGTCAAAGATGCATGTTTCTATTTTATTCAAGGCATGTGAATACTTCACTAGTTTTTCTCAGCATTATAACACATTCAATTTTGGGTTTCAGAAAACATATTTTCTGCAATTTGTATTCCAAAGACTTTTGATTCCATCTGAAATAATAACCAAAATAGATGATACTACAGAGAAAAAAAAGTAATGTCCTCATCAACATGTATTCTATATACATGCCATCATAGAACATTAGACTAACCTTAGCCACAAAGGCAAAGTGAACAAACCTGTGCCTCGCTGAACTTGATGTCAGGACAAGACAGAAGTCCAGTTATATCATGCTCCATATACTCAAATACAAGGTATATGCTACATGACATTCGCGAAGTAATTATCCCCTCCAATTTTATGATGTTTGGATGGTCAAGCCTTCGAAGAATTAGTATCTCTCTTGCCATAAATCGAACACTCTCAGGTTCAAAATTGTCAAACCGCACCTTCTTTAGAGCAACTATCTTTCCACTTTCAAGGTCTCGAGCTCGGAACACTGTGCTATATGTACCTTGCCCTATCTGTTAAAGCAGTTGAAAATGGTGCAAGATTATTACAACAAATATGTATGGCATTCCAAGACATGTTGAAAAATTAGACATAAAAAGGCAATAAAGAAACCAAAAAAAAAAGGAAAAAAACCATACCAAAAAACACAATGCTCTCAACGAAAATACACACATCAAGAAAATGACAAAACAAAAACAATAACTTTTGAAGAAGTAATATTCAAAACCAAACAAGTTTATGACATCCAAAAAAAAAAAAAAATTTATAAGAAAACATAAAAGAAAAAGAGAAAAAGAATCCATACCTTCTCAAGCTTCTCAAAAGAGTCAGCCTTGAGTGGAACCCAACCGTGGATAGCTTCACCGGCAACGGCACTAAGCCAAGCAGGCCACCCGGCTGCCACTTGTTCACCTTCTATATACTTTTGTAAATTCCCCAACCTCAAACTCAACGAGTCGGATCTCGAACTCGCCCGACCCGACTCACCTAACTCGCTCCCACTCAGCCCCAACCCACCACCCAAATCACTCACACCCCCACTATTACTATTCTTTTTCTTGTTTTTACTACCGGCACCGCAGCTGCTCCTCTTCTTTTCAACTTCTGATAACCCGACCCGAGACCGACCCGAATTGGTCCCAACGCTACTGGAACCCGCATTGTCACGTAAAGCGCCGGAGTGGTCGACAGCAGGCGTCACCGACACCGCCTGCTTCGAACTCACACAACCCATCAATGGCGGCTGATCATGTAATCAAGAAACAAAGATCCCAACTTTCTTTCTGGGTTTTCTTTTTAGCGCCAACCCACCCAAAAAAAAAATCAACAAACAGTGGGGGTAGGTGAGTTGTAAACTGAGCTTGAAGCTTTCATCTTCTCTCTTTTTATCTCTTCTTTCTTCTTTAAAAGGAAAGAAAAAAGAGAGCAAAAAATGAAGCCCTTTTATACAATAAACAGGGAAAGATACAATTTTTTTTTCTCAAAATTTGTATAGAAATTTTTTTTCTTTTGGGAAGCGACAATTGCGGAAGATAATGGATGGAGAAACAAAGGATTTCAATGTGGCTGCCAATCAAAACACTCGGACTACCGAAATCAACGGAAAGATTGAAATGAAAAGATTAAAAAAAAAAAAAAACCTTTGATGATGATTTTTTTTCCTTCGAAATTTTTGAAGGAATTAATGAAAAAAAAGGAATAAAATCTTACAAATACCCTTTTTTTGTTTGGGAGTTCACATTCTTTGTTCTTGTTTCTGTCTGTTTTAATGAAGTTTGTATGATTCTCTGTTTGTATTTGACAAAATGAGTTCAAATAAAGGCAGAAAAATTGGCTGGCATTTTACCACAAGTGGGGTTACATTTTTTTTTTGGTTGGTTTTGATCATTTTGATATTGGAATAAAAAAATTATTTTAAAATATTAATAAAAATCATAAATATTTATTAGTCCACCACTTTCATTTTTTTATTTTAAAGTTAGAAAAAGTATCATTTTTATGGGTTTTTTTTTATTTTCAAGAGTTGGGTTGTTGTTGATTAAATTAGGGTTTCGTTTATGAAAATTCACACTTACAAATAAAAGGAATTTTGAGTCAAACTTTAATTAAATTGATTCATATACTTTTAAAAATAATATTCAAAAAATTAAAATTAAAATTAAATATTTATAATTTTTTAAAATTTTTAGGTTATAATTTTTATATAAAAAATAAAGGATATTTTTTGTTTTTTATTAAAAAAGTTATTTTATTTTTATAAATATAAGTTCTATGGTTGTTTTTAATTTATTTGAATGAATGAATGAACTGTTTTATGGGGTATGGATGAGATGCAATTGAAGAAGAATAATAATGGTAGGATGGGGCTTTGAAATTTCTGTTACGTTAGAGTTGGGGATAGGGAAAGGGAGAAAGGAACATGACCTACAAAGGAAAGGACACCCCAAATTCCCTTTCAGCTAGGTCATGTGAAGACACCGGAAAAAACAAACAAGTCATTAAATTTGAAGGAAAAAAAAGGGCAAAAATTAATTAAGGTTTCTGAGGTTTTATTTTTTTCTCACTTTTACCCCCAAAAAGGAATTCTCCCTAGCTTCCATGTACTTCTTAACTTTTTACGGTTTGTCTAGGGTTGATAACAGATCATATCAAAATAAGTTTTTATTCGTTTTAAATTTAATCTAATTTTACAATTATAAAATATATATTTGATTTAATTTAAAAAATTTTTTTATTTTTAATATTTAAATTTAATTTAAAATTTAATATTACATAAATCGTATCAAATTTGATCTGACTTAAAATTAATAAAATATTATTTTTAAAATATAAATATATAATTATATATAAATAAAAATTTTAAAAATAAATTTTAATATAGTATCGTGTCGGATCAAATCGGATTGAATTTACTTAAAACTCAAACTCGATTTAATCTCGATTTTTCTTAATAATACTTGATCTGATCCGAAATTTGATTTTCAAAAAAACAATCGACATTATAAGATTGGGTCAGATAAAAATTCATAGAGCTCGGATCGATTTTCAAACTTTGCTTCTTTCTTTTTTTTTTTTTTATTAAGTGATAAAAATTGGGTCCAATAATTTTGAGTTGCGAAGTCTAATACTTAATATTTTATTTATTTATTTACTTTAAAATTTAAGAATAAAATTTTATTTGATTTTTTATTATTTATGAATCTATTAAAATTTTATTTGTAATTTTTTTAGATTTATAAATTATCTACCAACGAAATATCATAATATATTCTAATCTAAATGTTAATACATTTAATATTCGTTTTTTTATCATTTTTATCTATTTAATTTTTTTTTATTTTTAATTTTGGATTCCAGTTTCTAATTCTAACAGTGGCTAAAACCAATCTTCAATTCCTAATGGGGAAATATCTTATGGTAACATCTTTTTGGTAAGTTTGAAATTGACCCTTTAATTTTCTTGAAAAAGATAGATACTTTTTTTTTCGGCGTGTTGGAATGGGAATTGGGTTGCTCCCAACTCCCAAGGGTAGAGAGTCAATGATGATTTGTGAAGCTTTCTTTTTTTCTTGGGGGGGAATTAGCTAAGTGCACAAGGAAATTTCTAAGCGAAAAAAAAAAAAAAAAAAAAAAAAACTCTCTCTATCTCTTTTTTGTTATTTTTTTAAATGTTTTAATATTTAAAATATTTATTTTTATATTTTATAAATTTTTTATTATTAAAAGTTATAAAACTTTAATTTTATAAAAAAATTTAATTTTAAAATTAAATACATTAAAATCAAAAATTTTTTATTTTGTAAAAATTAATACAACCCAAATTTTTTAATATAAAAAAATAATATTTAATAAATTTAAATTTTAAATTATAATATTTGTATTTTTTATAAAAAATTAAAATTTAAAATTAGTCATTTATACCTTTTTACCATACGAGATAATTGAAGTTGTAAATTTTATTAATAAATAAAATAAAAAGGATTTGCACATAATACAATAATTTTCTTTTGATTATTTTAGTAGAAAATCTTCCATAAAGCTATGCTTGATTTACTATTAATCGTGTAGCCGAAAGTCATTACACAAAGCACTATGTTTTTTTTTTTTTTAGCCACTTATCCACCAAAAAGCTTCCAATTATGTCTTGGATAAAAAGTTTACATGGAAAATTCTATAACATGACTTCTTATATATTATGCGAAACTTGTTACCCAACAAATCTAGTTAAAATGGTAAAAAAAAATTATTTATTTAAATGCATCACATTGATTTTTTAGATTGAAAAATAAATTAAATCAGATAAAATTTAAGAATATCTTTAATCCAATTATTAAAAAAAAAAGTAAAAACTTGTTAATTGAATACTTTTTTTTAAGCTTCTCTTTGATAATTTAATTAGACAAAAAAAAAGTCCATTAATTTGTTATTTAATTAACAATAGAATTACCTGATTTTTGGATAAAATGTTAATTTTTATTGAAATTATTTGTCTTAAATAATTTACAGATTAATAATTGGACTACTATTAAAGTATAATAAGATCTATCTCAATACTAAATTTGCTTGTAAGATTTAAAATTTCCTACGGATATATAAGATCTATAAAATCTTAAATAATAATTTAAAAATATAGGAAGCACCCATATTTGTATATACTAAATCTCACAAACCTTAAAATTAAAAATTTTAAGATCTAAATTATTTTAAGGATTTTTTTTTTTTACAAAGAGATTCCGTAACTTACAGATGAACAATAAATTACATGTGTTAAAATTTAAAATTTAAATTTATTAAATATTATTTTTTAAAAATTACTTATTTAAATTATTTATGATTGTTTGTTGAGATTATTTTGAATGTAAAATTTATAATCGTTTATTTTAAATGTATGATATATCTTATCTTGAATCGATGAATTAAATAATTTTTTTAATTTTAAATATTTCTTACCAAAAAAAATTATTTAGTTGACTTGAGACAGTAAAAGAGGCAATCAACTATATCTGGTCTATGAACAAACAATGTTAAAAGTTTGCTAGGGATTTGAACCCCAAAACAAGGCTTTAAGTCTATAAAAGAAGAAACATGCATGTTTTGTCATCATCAAACTAGCCTTTCTCAAAACAAAGCAAGAAAAGAAAAGAAAACGGAAATTATGTCCTGTGGATTCATCAAACGAGAAAGAAATTTTAGACTGTTAAAGATATGGTCCTCCCCTCTCCAACAATATAACAAATATTGGAAAGGGATTTGGGAATAACAAAAAGCTAATGGCTATGCCATCATTGATCATGCCCATTTCCATGCAGTTTTAAGAAATCAAGTGGTAGTTTTGCAAGATTTATGTAAAAAATAAACATTTTTAAGATCATGGAGTTTTTCTATTTTAATATTCCATTCAGAAGTTCTTGTAAAAAAAAAAAAATTCATTTAAAAATTCCATTGAAATATTTCACTATATGAAAAGCATGTTTTATATTCTTTCTATCTCATTTATTTATTTGAGATGTTTTAAAATTATATTTTTTTGAATTTTTAAAATTTTGTATCTTTTTATATTTTAAAATTATTTTTATTTTTTAATATTAAAAATCATGATACTTTAAATTTGAATATTAAATATATTAAAATTAAATTATTTTTAAATTTTTATAAAAATCAATATAAAATAAATAAATTAGGACAGAAGGAGTAATTGAATTCTTAAATTTGAATAGAAAAAAAATTAATATTAACTTTTTATTCTTTTTATAAATTTGCATGTGAGATGTTTCATCACTTCTTCTGTACTCTCGTATTAAGACATAATTGCTGCCTCCCATTATCTGATCAAATCCATCACATGGTACAAAAAGCATTCATTTGCACCCATGCGCAAAAAAAGAAAAAGGGTAATTATTCAAACCTTTCACTGTGACATGGATCATTTTCTTTTTCCCATTTTGTTTTTATCCTGATCTGTTGCTCTGAGGGAAGAACATCAAACAATTAATGTTTCTTTTAAGACATTTTAATCAACTTCTAGGCATGGTTTTTAATGGACAATTTCATGTTAGGTAAATGTACTAAACTATAATTAAAAATTAAACAAAGAAATAAAAAAGAATCCAAAGAAATTAGCCTTTTTAATTAGAACTTACAAACAATACTGTAAACCCTTAATTAAATTCTTATTGTTGCTCAACAGGATGTATTTGATTGGAAAGAAAGCTTATCCAACTAACATTCAAGGAGTGGGTTGTTTTGTTCTCTCTTAAACCTACTGTAAATGTGTATTCTCAAACAAGTTATGTAAACTTCGTTTGGTTGATACTATTGATTTTTGTTTTTAGTTAATTTTTAATTTTCTTTTTTACTAAAAAGACAAAAAAAAAAAAAATCAACTGAAGCCTGAAGAGATAAAAATTGGTTTGAGATTTTTTTTTGCCACAAACAAGCTATGAAACATGGATATTTTTGAATATCTTGTATACTTGTGTTCAACATTTTTATGCTTATGATACATTAAAATACTTGTTGAATTTGACTGAATATAACTAAAAAAAAAAAAAAATCACGTGAACAAAGATATAATATGTTCTTTCATTATCATATCTATTATTTAATTTTTTCACAAAGATAATTATCATTTAAAATCAACCTAATATATATCATATATTTTTAATTGATAATTATGATATATATAAAATATTTTTTTATTATCATATTTTATCTTAATCATAATTTTAAAAAAATAATTATATTATCGTATTTATATTATATCATATCATATTGTATTCATAGCATGTATCCTATCTATACTTCATAGCAAACCAAGGTTTTAAAATCAAAGATGCTAATCGATGTGGTTGGTTTGTGTTTAATTCTTTGTCTGGAGGACCAGCTGGTTTAAGAACACTCTTTAATATGCACTTGGTTGCAAGTGGGACATAGCTTCATTCAAAAAAAAAAAAATTCCACCAAAAGTAGCAAACCAAATTGAATATTTACAGGTTATTTTGATTTCAATGAAGGAAGAGAAAGAAAGAAAGAGTGATGAATGGGATAAGTCAAAGGTAGGTCTAGTGGTGTCATTATCCAAATCATTGCACAACAGCCTTACTCTATGAAAAGATCAACATTTCCTTACCCATTTTCCCATCCCCCTTCTTCTTAATGTTTAGTTTGGTGATGGCATTTATATTATGGGAGAATCTATACACTTGGAGCTCTTCCTAGCCATACAAGACAAATGGTAGCCTACATATCATTAAGAAAAACTATAGGTTAAAATGTTAAAAAAACTTGTAAAATACTGCTGAATTAAAATTAAAAAGTTATTTAAATTTTTAAATTTTTATTGAACGAAAATTAATCAATCATGAGTTTAGTTAAATGAAAATAAATATTTAACTAGTTAATTGATTGAAAATAAATGCTTAATTGTCCATTTCAAAGTAGTTATTGAAAATGCTATACCTTCTACAAAGAAGAAAAAAAAAAAAGGGTTTTGACAACGAAATTTAAGGGTAGATTTCTCTATCACTCTTGCCATCTTACTCCACTATGATTTGGTCAATACATGTGAAGGAGTTAGATTTTGTTTGCCAGCTTGAGCTGTTCTTATTATGGTTAATCATTACTTATAAATTTTTCAACCCTCAAATAGAGATTTAAAAAAAAAAATTGACGTGAACTTAGGGAATGAACTCTCCTTATATATATTTATAAAACAAATCGCAATGTAAGAAAAAAAAGAAAAGAATTGTAAGTACTTAAAATTGATTCTTAAATTTATTGAATATTTTTTAAAAAATGATTAGATAAAATAACCAGACTCAACTCCGTATTTCTTTATCATTGTATTTTATTAATCAAAGTTGAGAGGATTAGTGAAGACTGAAGAGTCTGAGGCGACCATCACATGCTGAGACTTTTGTTGGTGTGGTTGGTTGAAGTGGGGAGCCTAACTTTTCCAATTCCATCCACTCAAACGCAATTCTTTCGTTTTTTCCAATGAGAATTGAGACAGCATCCGATAAACAAAGTTATGTTAGCCGATACCGAATAAACTATGAACCATGGGTCAACTTTTTCTACTAATCTTGTTTTAATTTGTTTATGTCATGTACTGGGAGCTAAGTATGACTTTCTAGAGCTCTTCTGGAAGGAAAATGGAAAGAATTTGTTTTTTTAAGCTTTTCAGTGGAAAATTTTTGGAACGTCCTGTCAAATTAATTGACGTTTTTCGGGCATTTACTTGGGCAGATGCATGTCCTTTTCAAAGATCTAACAAACGAAGCAGTGGCAGAAGCAGCCTCGAGCTGACGTTTGAGGCTTCAAGACTCCAACTGATGAACCCAAAAACAGAGGAGAACAAAGGGTTCAGACTTCAGAGTATTCTGTTGGCCAAGTCATTGCCATATCCGCCACGTTATCAGGGCTACAAGATGATTTTGGTAACATACCATGTTTATCGTATAACTTGAGCAGCAAGGCATCGAAAAAATGGTTCAATGAGCTCAATCTCCCATTCCATTTTTCCTGTTCTTTTCTCTCTTTTTCCAAGTCAACACAAAGGTGTCATCAACACTTCAATTAAACCCTATTGCGCGTTAGAAATATGAAATATGGAAGCACAAACAAAGCAACATTCGTGCAAAATACACAAAGAAATGGAAATGAAAATGACATCTTATTGCATCAAAGTATCATCAAGGATCTGATACACAAGCTCAATTAGTGGCCCCAATGATTTTGGGGAGATTCAATTCCGGATATCACACCTATCAAATGAACATGCTCTCAGCATCCAGCACAAGATCAGAAATGCAGAATCAAAAGCATGTAGCTTAAAATCTTCCAAAGACTCCAGCATCTATGAATAATAACCCTTGCTTGCTATACAGATTCTTTATCAAACGGCAATTTGCAAGCAGCCAAGTTGTCTTTTGACTTGTATTTTCCAAGCATTTCAGCAACAGTTTTGCAACGACACTGATTACCAGGCCGAATTACATCCCCATAAACAGCCATTTCTATAATGTCAAGCTCCTTATCTGCAAGTTGTTAAAAGTACATTTGATTTAGGAAATACTTCAAAACTGAAATGATAAATTTCATACAAAAATTAGAGATATGAAACCACCATGTAACAAAATGATTATTCGAAGAAAATTTTCAATAGATGGTAAGGCAAGAACTGTCTATTTTATGCCTAAGGAAAGAAAGGATGGGATGTTCAGAAGCACATAGGCTGAGGCAAACCAGAATGGTGAACAGGCTAGAGGTCATAGTTGGCTTGGATCAAAATATACCAACTCGCCAGATCAATGTTAAAAGTACATTCCCGGTAAACATAAACCAATAGGTACCATTTACCATTACAGCGACCAATGAGGGGGACCTATCTACTTTTTACTGCAACCACAATAACAGCAAATTAATGGTTTGTTGTGAAATATATCTCTGAGAACTAAGACATATGCACCCTTGCTAGTTAAAATAACATTTTTAGCCTTTTAAAACAAGTTAATGTATTTTAATAGGATGCTTCTTGATTTTACCTACAACAAAATTAAAGGAACCAAAGTTTCAACTGTTAAATTTTTGTTATATTAAATTTTACTTAGGTTATCTCCAACATTAAGATTGTGATCAAGAAGTTCTCAACTTGCAGAAGTGCACCAGAATTCTAGTCCTACAGAATGAAAAAACAATCATCCATAAGGATACCATCATCAATGGTTGATGGATAGTTGCATACATACAGGGCTGCTTATGAACAATGGCTGTGATGATTCGGCAAAAGTTTGATGATCAGCGATGGCAAAAGAAGGTATTTGAAATCCATTAAGAGTAGTAAGGAAATTATAATGAACCAGTGCCAGCAGTTTATCCTCCTTCATCACGATTCACAACCACAAGTAAGTGGAGAGGATAGTCAACGAGCAAAGGCATGTTTTGTAAACCTGTAACTAAACCAATCAGAAATGAAAAAGCTTTCCTAGAATTTTAAAAATAAAGGTTATTCTCAGAACACTGATATTTCCAAAAGTAACTTCTTGTTTTCAGAGGTTTCTACCTACATTTGCTACCTGAAAACCAGTTTTTACAGGAAGGGATCAGATTGGGCAGTTCAACCATGCCTTCACCAGCTTGGACCAAAATATCATCCCTGAAGCAATAAAAATTGGTCTAAACCGTTCAAACTGCTTAACCAGGCTAATAGCAGTTAAGCTGCTTTTCCTGTTATTTGTTACGTCTAAATTGGTTTTAAACCACTTAAAACCATGTACTTTCTAGCTTAAAGTTCTAAATTCCACTTCCATCACCCAAAAAATAGAATCCAAGCTGCTACATATCCACTTCAAGCTCACAAATTCTCTTTTCCTGATTAGTCCTATATAAATAATTCCATACTTCTTCTCTTCTTGTCTTTTCTAATTGAATAATATCAATTGGCTAGTTGCCACTTGCCAATACCCAGCCATGCATCCAACCAACTCTGCACAGCAGTCTTGTTAATGCTTGGTTCCAGTTAGAATTTCAAGTTTGTCTCTTTGGATTTTAGCATTTTTTAACTCATTTTTGGTTAAAAAGCTTGAATTTAGTTCAAGAACAATAGTTCTGATTCTTTATTGTACTTTCCAAATCTGTGAGATATGGCTCAGATCAAGTTCTTGAAGTTATTCGAAAGGCAGCTTTAGTTTTGAATTGTCAAGTTGTTGCCGTTTCTATTAGAGAAAAAAAAAATGACATTGCATGTACTTCAAGAGAGCCTTTGTTTAGGTGCACTGGTCAAGGAAATTTTTCTGAAAATTGTTGTAATGCTGTGTATGTGAGGCTTGAATGCTTGCACTTTGAAGGTGCGCCAGTGGCGACAAGAGTGACTGGTTCTCTTCCTCAACTCAAGTGAAAACTTTGACAGCAAAAACTACAATGAGTTCAACAAGTTGAACAGGGATGTGCCCTTTAAGGACAGAAACAGAATATTGACCAATCATGCCCTAATTCCCCGAAGTCCTCAAACTCCAAAATACCCATATATTAATCTAATTTTCTAAAGCAATATGATCCTCAAAGGAAAGTTTCATTAGAAGGGCGTGTGAGAGAAAACTTAATACCTGCCTGCTTGGGCAGATTTTGACCCATTGGGCAGCCCCATGTAAAGGAAAAGCACAAAGATTTAAAAGTGCTTTCCTGACAAGAAGGGAAAGGAGAAAAGGGAGGAAGAGAGGGAGGGGGGGGGGGGGGGCGTTTATAAGGTTATATGTATTGGGTTGTCAAATATGACATATTCGTTAAACCAGCCTTGCAAGTTCTAGTTAAACACATCATGCCAGAGAAGGTACCTACAAAAACATGTATATTTGCCTGTTGAATGCTAAGTCACTGTCAAAAGCAATTTTTGCAAGAGATCTATGACATTACAAACAAGAGACAACCAGACAGACAGAAATCCCTGACCTGACTCAATTTCCCTGAATTAGAATAATACCAAACTCATAATGCTAGGACCAAAGATGATCTTTCTAGTTAGCTGTCTCTGTCCCATATCATCGTCTTACTTTGCCAGAAATCTTTTGTTTATAATCATTCAGATTGTGTTGATAACATCATAAGAAATGGACTTTGTGTTTAAAATCCCTCTGATCCCTCTAAAATGATCAACAGATTACCAGGGACTTTTATGCCTTACCAATTGATCAAAAGCTGGCAACTTCTGCAGATAATAGTGATGGATTTTTGAACCAGAAATATTTTAAAATTCTTTTAAACTTAAATTCAACATTATTCCCGTTGAACACAAAACAAATGAAAACAAAGTGAACCAAATGGCAAGTTAGAGGTCCATTGTTGAACCTCTTGGCAAACTATGAAACTAGTAACTAACAATCTAGGGAGGCAGTAATAAAAATAAACAAAGATATACAAGCATTCACATTGCAAAATCTTTAGATTAAACTGAAAAGACAAGTGAATTAAGGCAAACATACCAGCAAACTGGACCTCGCAAGAATAACCTTTCAATTGGGTATTATCCACATGTTCTTTGTTTGATTTAAGCCTATTCACCCTACTTTGAAGAATTTGACAATTTTCTGCTATGGACTCGCCACCTATTAACGCATAACACAAGTAAACCACCATAAGTCACACAAATCACCTGTAGCTGCTAATGAAAAATATACTTAACTGCATTCAAATGACACGTTTTAAAGCAAATTTAAAGAAGGCCTACAATTTTAAAATTTTCCAGATACTCTACCGTCTACTGGTTTTCAAAAATGAAAATTTGTACTCAATTTATCTACAATTTCCAATTAGTCTCGCTAGAGCACCCATTTCCATTTTCTCAGGCAACAGGCGGAATAACGCATTATCAAAGAAAGCATCAAACAGAACCAAAATCCCAAAATAAGTCGACCCAAAATCAACCGAGCTCACACTGATACTACCCTACGAAACCCCATTTGAATATCCAACTAAATCAGCTAAACTTTATTGGAGCAAATGGGTTATGTCAAGAGATATAGAGAGAGAGAAAGCAGAAGAGAGACCTTTGGAGTAGGGAATGATATGGTCGTACTCAAAGCAGAGGCAACCTTGGCAGTTGCAGAAACGCTTGCAGACGATGTTGCCAGCAGCGTCTTTGCGCCATCTCTCAGGATGACGACCAGGCACTGTTTCAGCATTGTTCCAGCACTTGATCTTTGCCTTTGAGTCGAAGAATCTTGGCCTCTCTTCTGCTTCATTGCTACTACGAGAACGACGAGGCGAAGACGAGGAAGAATAACCCATACTTTTCTATTCTGAATCTGTATTTTGGAGTTTCAGTTCTCCGCTGGTTTGTCCGCTTGGCCGACAATGCCCCCTCTCACCTGCTCTGCTTTTTCACATGTTATGAGAATAATGTCTTAAGCCCGACCCGAGCTTCAAATATTTTGTTCTAAATCCGATTGCCCATAATTTTGTTCACAATCTAAATAAATAGTGCTTACATTTTTTTTTTTTAAACATTGTTTGATTTAGATTTACATATTTTAGTCTAATTATTTTATTTAGATAAAATAAATCTGAAAATTCTTGTTTTCGTGATAACTTCAAAGAGATTTGAACAAACAAACAATTAAAATTTGAAGATGAAATTTAAAAAGGTTAAAACTCAGAAAGGCTATCATATTGTATTTTTACACTTTTCTTATATGGACTGAGAGGATTTTTTTTTTTTGGTATACTAGTATATAACTAATTGGAGGGAATTAATTTACATAAAAAAATTTATATTTTTTAATTATTAATTTTAATAGATTAAAAAGATAAAATTAATTCTTTTTCACTTAACACTTTATCTTTTGAATTTATTAAAATCAATAACCTTTTTAAATTAATTACAATCAATGATAAAATAAATATAAAATATTTTAATTTTACACTGATAAAATTAATATCTCCACATAACTAACTATTATATTACAATTAATTAATTTTAATTCAAAATTATATACAATTCAACAAAATTTTATATGAAATACATTGATAAATCCTTACATAATTTTGAATTACAATTAAATAATATAAAATTATTCATATAATTTTGAATTACAATTGAATATATAAAATTATAAATTATAATAAATAAAATGATGTCATGCATTAAGACAGTTGTTTTTTTTTCTCACATTTTTGTAATTTTGAACTTAATTTTAAATCCATTTTGCATAATAATTGTGATTTATTAATAAACATAACCATAATGCCACTCCGAACTCGCTTCCTAATAGAACCGTTAAAACGCATAAAAAAATAAAAAAAGGTCCAACTTACGAGGTCAAACAACCGAACCTAAATTAACCCAAATTCTAATAAAACTTAAAATTTGAACATCCCAAAAAGTCTACTCCAAAATGAAATTGATTTAACTCAACAATTTAAACTTGAAATCACCGAATACAAACATTCAAAGTATTAATCCCCGTATTCGAATCCAAAATGATCTAAATCCAAAACAATCCGAATTCTCTTAAACCATAATGATAAGATCTAAAATCATATTTAATACACAAAATTATAATAAGATAAAATAAAATAATATTATGAATAAAATTAAATTAAATAATATAATCTTATTTTTTATTTAATGTATGCAAATAGTAAAATAAGATTATTTATTTATTTATTAAAATTATTATTTTTTAAAATTTATATAATTTAAATTATTGATATAATTTTTAAAAGTATAATTAAAAATGAAAGTTTAATCCTATAAATTAAAAATAATCCTCTCCACTAAGAGAGGATTAAATTATCCTATGCTAAGAGAAATATTAATCCTCTTTGCAATCACTATTTCTTTCTTTAGATACAAATCAAACATAACATAAACTAAATCAAACATAACATAAACTGATTATCATCTATTAATAATTCTATACATCAAATATGACCTAAATCCAAAACCCAAGAGACATCCTCGAGTAAGCCTTACCTGGTCAACTTACAAGTTTTCTAAAGATTTTCATTCTATCTCCCTTCTTCGTGGAGGATATATATTAATTGTTTTCTAAGATCATCTAGTCCCTAATTGGCGACTTCTGCTTCTTCCCATTCAGAATTCTCCTGCTCTATCACCAAGCTTGCAATTAAATTTTATAATTGAAAAATAATAGCATACAATAAAATTTCAAAAGATGAAAACCAAGAGCAAAGCCTTGACAGCATAAACGGTAAGCCATAGCACAACAAAGAAACTAGTAATGGTGTTTTTTCGTATCCAAACCAAACATAACAACTCATCCAAAGTCCAAACAGCATCTATACCTAGACAAGTCTTGGATAACCAAGTCTTTCCATTTAAAATTGCAATAACAGTCTGCAAATCAATTTCAAACTACTTGGGACCAATGTCCTTGAGAGCGCAGATCTGCTCCTCCCCCATTGCAGACATAACAGACACAACCAGGTCTTTCCCCTCGGCAAAACCATCCTTGATCTGCAGTCACCAAAAGATATCATTAGCAGCAATCCCACATAAGGATGCAGAGACATGAATGCAAAATATAACTATTATCATGATGATACAGAAATGTGACCATTTCATGGTTTAAACAGGTACCAATCATATGTAACAACATCACATCAGGTATTAATCATGAGAAATGCAAACATATAAACACACAGTAAAATGAGATGCAAAGTTGAGTAACATCAGAATTAAAATAAGAACAAACACTTTCAGCTTGTTTAAACATGCCAAAAGGACTATATTTTTCCCATTGGAATATGGGATTCAATTAGGATGCAGACATCAAGAGGCTGGAAATCAAAAGAAGACACTTTGAAATCTTGCTTTTATCAAAACTCCTAGAAATGAATAAAACATAAACCTCTCATGCACAATATTAACCTCCCTTTCTTATTTGTTAGAAGAAAAAGATAAGGCAGCAATGCATGCTGCCACTGGAGCCCCTCAACACAAGGGTGATGTGGCCAAAGGGACCCAATCGTACCAGTCAAACTTAGATGGTGCAAAAAGGCTTTGCTTCTTGTTTTCAGAATTCAAATCAGTAAATTAAATAACAATAAAGGCTACTCAATAGCAGAAGCACCATATATCAGACATAAATAAGAAATAGTTAATTGACCTGCTTCACCAAGTTCTCATCAGTTGGGAGCCTCAGATCATCCTTAGTGTCTCCACTTTCAGTCAGCAAACTCAGCTGAAATATTTAACTAGTTAAGAAGAAAAACATGCAGATACATAAAACATCAAGTAAAAAGAACTGGCAGTCAGTAGCAAATGAACTTACAAATCCATCCTCAGAAATGTCAATTAACTGGTAGTCAGTACGGTTGACATGCGGAACCTATTAAAACAGAAACAGAAACAGAAACATTCATTAACACCAATGCAATTACATGACAGATTAACAGTTAAACCGAGAATGATAAACAATAACGATTTATGAAATAAGTTACTATTTCATACATCACAGTTGTGGGAAGAGGGAACAATATCTTCCAGCTTCTTGGCAGTGAAGATGTCAATTCCAACAAAGTGACACTTAGCATGGCCATGCTTCCCAGTCTTGGAGGTGGAAACTTCAACAACCTGGTGCACGACATAAAAACAGCAATCAAGTTAGCCAAAATTGCAAATCAGTTTACACCCAAATCTAAATAGAAACCATAGGGTCCAAATCAACAGTCAACCCATCAAACACTAATTGATCACATGCCAATAAACATCAACAGCTTGGTCATAATGTGAAGATTCATAAAAAAACAACCTAATTTCTTAATACTAAAGGCTCCGGATTGTTTATTTTTATTACTTTTTCCAGTTTGTTTTGGCTTCATCAAAAGTTAGTATAAAGCTAAAGATAAATATTAAAAAAGTAAAGGCTTATTCGAATCTTAATTCTTTTGATTTTTCAATCAAAATCAAACGAAATATATAGATTTCAATAATTAAATTATTAAAATTTATTTAAAAAACCAACAGATCTGGACCATCAAAATCTCAGCTAGAAATTATAAACAAATCAAAATACTAAATCAAAAAAGATCAATCAGAGTTCAATTTCAGTATAATATCAAACAGATCTTTCAAAAAATAAACAAACAAATTCCAACATTCAAAAGAGGGGACCTTGCAGGGACGGTTTTTGATGACGATGTAGCCGTTCTTGCGGATGGTACCAGCCTGCTGAGGGTAGGTCTTGGAGGCGCCAGCGTCAGAGGATTCGAAATGATGCTCCTCGTCCGACATGTCCGTATTTCAAGTTCTCCTTTTTCTTTTTCTGTGTGTTTGGTAAAGGCAGAAAATGGGGCGGAGCAGATGGGGGAAATAAAAGTTTTTATTTATATGTTTAATTTTTGGTATTAGGGTTTTTTCCATTATTATTGGTCCGAGTGATGCGTGGGTCCTCTGGGGTCCTTTTTGGGCCGTTGATTTTTGGAGGTGATGGGTGATGGATGGATGGATTTTTTGGATAGACAATGAGGATCAGGAATATCCTGCGTGCTTTAAAAACGACACCTTTGAACTGGGCTTGAGCTGGATTGGACCCACATCTCCTAATTTTTCTTACGAACAGATAATCAGACCCAAACCCAAATTATTGATCGTTGAGTGAGACTCTGACAGTGATAAGTCTAACAAACAATTGTTAAGAAAATATGACGACATGATCATCCTACCACATCAAATTTATTCCTATTTGATTTGTATTAAGTGTATATAAAATATAAAAATTATTATATTATAATTTATATTGATATATTAACCATAAAATATATTTTATTTTTATTAAAATTTTAAATGGTATTATTTTTATATTGTATTTGAAATTGTAGAGTCAAAAACCAAAGGATAAAAAGCATTCTTGACATGAAATGTAATGCTTTACTGCAGCTAAACTATAATTTTTTTTTTTACAGATTTATTTTAGTTTTCATTTTTTAAAACAATTTACATAAAATTTCATCTTTGTTGGTACACCTAACATGAATAAAAAGAGATGAAAGAAAAAATATTGTACATGGTCATCAATTTTCCTAATGATATATATTGTTTACTTCGGTTGATCATAATTATAGTCATTTAAAATTACTTTAGAATAATTAAAAATGAGCATAAAAATTAATTTTTTTATATGAAAAAAGTCATAATGCGAGAATAAGAGAAATGAATCAAGAAGTTGGTATTTAAAATTTAATCAATATTAAAATATGATTATATGAATGAATCGAATTAAGTTTTAAGTTAAAAAAATTAATTGTTAAAATTGATTTTAAAATAATTAACATTTTAAAATTTTCTTTAAACAATTTGTGCAGCAGCAATACGAAGTTTGAAAGAATAATTTAAAAACTAAATTAATATTCATATGTAAAAGAAAAATTATCCTATAAAAATATCTATGAAAATTAATAAGAACATATATAATATTTGGACAAAAAATAAATAAATGACAACCATGTAAGTTCGCCTGCATGAGAAATTCATGGTTAGTGTTTAAACAACATGAGGAAAAGTTGACGAAATGCCCGCCAAATTCCTAAAAGAAACCGTTTCCAACGAAATTTTAAAACATAGAAGAAGAGAAGGAAACAGAATTATGCTTTTGTCGATCTCGATCGTTCCAAGGAAGTTTGAGAATGAATCCATGTCGGCAACATTAAGCTGTTTCAACTGAGACAAAAATCGTTGACATTGTTTTCCCCGACAAAAGTCTTAGTGAACAATGTTTTGTTCTATGAAACTTCGGTGTTTCCTTTGCATATTCCCTGGCAATTCAGTTTGCAGCAATTCCAGGTACTTCCTTCCTATGCTTTTTTTGTCTTCCAATGTTTTGCAATAGGAAATTGTTGGAAAAGTGTTCATTTTACTGATTCTTTTGCAGTTCAGATTGGTTAGGATTTGATTGATTTGCCTTCTGAAATATGCATGTCTTTGATCAACTTTAAGTAAGCTAAATCTATGGTTGTTTTAGCCTTTAGTTTTCAAAACAACAAATAAATTTGAAACCAGGTTGGCATAATTGATTGGAGAATGACCATGGCAAAGTTCTTCTAAGGAATGAAAGCTTCCAAATAAAAGCATATTTTTCTAAGAACCCAGAACTTAGCTCAGTTATGCATCCACCTTAAGAAGTGCCATCCAGTAGGTTTGATATTGAAATCTCCTGCAACTCTTTCCCTATTCCTGATGTTGCGGCCTCCTTTGTTAAAAAAATTATAGTTGTCTACCAAAGTATTTATTCATATTTGATGACCAAGGGCATGACACGTGTTTCGGAATTCTAGTTTTCGTCATGTGAATCCTAATGCCAAATTACTACTATACTTTGTTTGCTGCTTTAGATTCTTCATACAGTCAAGTTATGAATACAAGTGAGACATGGTACCATGCTTCAATTTGTTCAATGTGATTTGAATTTCTTTCAGTCAACTTTCAGTGTTTTACTGGTTTGCAGTATTGTGCTTGGAACACTTCTGAGCATTTCTCAAAGGGAAAATATGGATGAGATTGATACCAAACCTATTGAACCTGTTCAAGTTGCACTATCTTTGTTTGGCAAAAAAGTTGATCAGTTGAAACACCGGTCAACCAGCAGCAATGTAAGATTTTTGTTCGCTGGAGTCTATCAGATAATGAACTCTTGTCAATGCACATGCAACGTTACTAAAGCTTCTGATCATGGCCATTTGGCCCATTTTTATGTCTTCCCTTTTTTCTTTTGTCAGTCAGATGTGGAAAAAAAGAAAGATATTGAAGGCCTAGAAAAGGAATTGGCCAACTACAAGCTGCAAATAGAAGCAAAGGACTCTGCATACATGCAGGCTCTTCTTCAACTAGAACACTACAAGAAAACAACAGCAGAATTTTCTGTCCTACTAAAGAACTCTGAGCTCGAGAGAGATAGATATAGAGACGAATGCAATGAAGTCAAGAATTGGATAGATAAGTTTGAATCCAAGATGAAAGGGATGGTAGATCGGTTGTCTGAAACTGCGAAGATCTGCGTGCAGCTTTCGCATGTTTTAAATGAGTTGAAGGTTACACAAGCTGATCTACTTAAAATGGAAACTGAACTTGCTTCTGCAAAAGATTCGGAGCTCAAGGCAATGACACAAGCAGAACTGATGGAAACCTCTGCTAACATGGAAAAGGAAAAGTCAGAAGAGCTTTTAGGCCGCATCTCGGGGCTTCATGATGCTGTTCTTATTTCAAAGCTTGCTGCCACTGAAGCTGAGAAAGATAAGTGCAGAATTGTATCTGAGAAAGATGTTGAGATGGAGTCATTGAAGGCAATAGCATTTCAAACACAAGAAGAGATAGAAGGTCTGAGAAAACAATTGGAAACAACAGAAGAACTTGAGAATCAGCTCCTGACCAGGTCCGCATATATTGATTCATTACAGGCAAAATTTGAGCGGGCAACTAATGTACTTGGTTCAATGGGGAATGCTGCTTCGGATGGTGGGATTGATCTGAACCAAATAAAACAAGACTTGGAGTTCAAGGAAAGAAAGATATAAGATCAAGCATTTTATATCAAAGCATTGGAAACGGAACTGAATCGATTAAAACTTGAACTGAAAAAAGCTAATCAAGAGGCACAGAACCTGAAATGCAACGTTGAAGGTCTTAAAAGTGATTTAGAGAAGCTAGTAATTGAGATGGATGAAGTTAGGGAAAGAGAGAATGAAGCACAAGTCGAAATAGCGATGTTAAAGATTGAGCTTCATAAAGGGAGGTCAAAAATCGCAGCTGAAGAAAGAGCTCAAAGTGCTAAATCAGGGCTGTATCTTGCTGTTCAGCAGCTAGCTGTCGAAGTAGAAGAAGCCAAGAAGGAAAATCAGAAGTTGAAACAAGAAGTGGAAGCTGAAGAATATTACAACTCCACCTTCAGTCATCAAGATGAGATTGAGAAGTCACCTCAAGGTACACTATTTTCACATATTGATGATCAAAGAGATAAGTGTGTTGACCATATAACAATTTCAATCAAGGAATACAACTCCTTGATCCGAAAAGCTGAGAAGGCAGATGAAATATCAAAGTCTCTAGTAGAAGATTCTGAACAGTTAACCACAAAGTCAGAAAATAAGAATGAAGTTGAAGTTTTGAAGAAGGAATTGGAGGTTGCAATGGTGAAAATTGGGTTATTTAGGAACCGGGCAGATCAAGCTGCCACGAGGGCGGAGGCAGCGGAGAAAGCCAAAGCAACCCTAGAGGATCAGCTGAGGTTGTGGCAAGACCAAAAGCAGAGGAGAAAATCTGCTTTAGCTGCCATGAGGGAGGAGTCTGCACCTAAACAATTCAGTACTCCCACCATTGAAAAGTCACCTACAACATTTCTGCCACCGGGTAAAGTTCTTAACTTGAAATTCTAGTATAAGAAAATTTTCAGAAACTTGGTTTGATTATAATAGTTCTGAGTGCCAAACTATATCCAAGCCTGAGCTGGAAATTTGAAGACTGAAATGATCATATTGGTCTATTTGCATGAAAGATCTTATATCCATAATGATAAAGTTGTGTTGAATTGTGATGTAATTGGTTTGCATAAGGCTGTAGAAATGCATTACAAAATAGTCATGTAAGAATTTATGTAGGAAAGGACCATTTCCAAGTTATGTAAATTTTGACCATCTTGAAAATTATGCTCCAATTATCAATACAAAACAAGGCAAAAACAAGACCAGAACCCAATGCAATGAGCCCAAAATTTGGCAGGCCTGCTTTCTCACTCCAATGATGGGCATAATGTTGTCAAATTATTAGAACTGCAGCTCATATTTGGATCAAGTTATTTCACCATAGACGAGAAAATCAGGCTCTTTAGTCGAAGCCCATTCCATTGCTTCATGCTAAAATTCTTGGAAAAATACTAAATAGCATGTACTTACTCTTTATTACTTACCATTTGATCTGACTCAAAAATGATCAGAACCTGAATCCATCTATTTGCAACTTCTAGTTACCGAACCATATTTGATTGTTTAGCTTGTTGAATGAGTTAAGCTTTTGATCCTAATATTTGATATGGATATCTATAATTAAATTAATTATTATTATATCGTATAAATTTGTGAACTTATTGCTAGACATTAATTTATGAGTCATCATTAATATTTTTTATTTAAGTATGATTGATTACTTTATTAAATTTATCACATTTAAAGAGAAATTTTAAGATTGATTCAGATATTTTTAAATGTTAAATTCTAGTCATGAAATTAAAGTTTAAGTTCAAAAGTATAATTACACAAAAAAAATATTATAATACTCTCACAACGTTTATCCGAAATATAGTATGAAATTGATTTTAAATTATTCAAACTTTAAAACATATTTATAATTTACAAAATAA